ACGAAATTGGACCATTATCTCTCATCCACACATCCAAATGTTCGATAATATGATATCTCATTCTCTTTTCAATCAATTCAACAGAAATATTATTTCTTTGTTTTAAAAACTTTTCCACATTCATCTTATCTTCCTCTTCATGAATAATCAAATCAATATAAAACTCTGATCCATTCACATTATTATTCAAGAGCAAAGCTTCCATCATTGGAAGTCTATCATTCATTAATTCACAAAGAATTCACAACATGATCACTTACTGCACTTGATGGAAAGGACTATATCTGATTGGTTCTTCTGGACAAACCTTGAATGCAAATTCATAATTATTCTCCTTTGTGGTTGGGCCTAATTAAAGTGTAAAGTTAGTGTCATTCGGAAGTTGATGATCACTTACCAAGAGCCATCCAAATACTTTCGTGATGTTCAAATTCACCTATTTTCATAATAGAATTCATTTGTTTCATCATGGAATGTCCACCAAACAGAAAAAAACAATTAAATCTATCGACACATTGAAAATGTTTGTGGAAACGTACCTGGGAAAACGAAGGACATTTTTTTGAAATTGTTTAAACTCCTGTTGTGAATCCTTGGGAGGATAACACTCCGTTAATGTATGCACTCTCAGAGTTGATATAATTTAATAAATACTTATTGCCAATTTTGTTTTGAGTAAACAATTCAAAATGTTACAATTTCTCTTAACATTAGACTAATCTGTTCTACTGATTCTAATCAGGTGAAGAACCTTTATGTTTCAGGTGCAGAACTTTCTCAATACAATCAACTATTTCGAATACCATCGAATGTATGTCAATATCGAATGTGAAAAATGCAAAATGATCTCAAACAAACACCTCCAGCCTGATTATTCCATTAGTTTTTCTTTCCACTTACACAAAGGATCACCAAGGGTTGATCTATTAGTTTTCTTCTTTTAAAGGTTGTTATCAATTTCCAAAGTCCGTCCGTTCTCCATTCTGTGTGGCGAGGTTTTTTAAGATTTTGCCTTAAAAAAAATGAACAATTCAAAATCTTCAATGATTTCATTCGGGGCAGCAATTGTCTCGATGATAGCAGTCACATTGATGATGCTATCAATAGCCTCTGCCTTCTCGGTAAAGAGTGATATCGATTATCGTACAGTATTGTCTGATTATGTGAAGGGAAATAATCAATACTTTAAATATCAATTGAAGGGTACTTATGATAATGATTATGGAAAATTCATAATCTTCAACATGACCAGTGTAAAGTGGTTGGATGAGAAGGAGCTTGGGAATAGCTGCTATTGGTTCCACTTGGTCGAAATTGCCATTCCAAAGAAGATTAAGCAACAATCAAATGTGTTGATGTTGGTTGCTGGTGGATCTCAAAAGGAGATTGCACCAACAAGTGATAATGAATTAATGAAAATGGCTGCCAGTACTCAATCTATTGTTGCATCTATTCATCAAATTCCAAATCAACCTTTGGTTTTCAATTCTGATCCAACAAGACAACAAAGAATTGAAGATGAAATTCTTGCCTATGCTTGGGCAAAATTCATGCAAAACACAACTCAAACTGGGTGGATTCCAAGATTACCTATGGTTAAGGCAACCATGTTGGCAATGGATGTTGTTCAAGAATATTTGAGAACTACCTTATCAATTAATGTAATGAATTTCCATGTTGCAGGAGCAAGTAAGAGAGGTTGGACCACTAATTTGGTAGGTGTTGTTGATAAGAGAGTTAGAAGTATCATGCCAATCGTTATTCCAGTAATGAAAACTAGAGATATTCTTGGTAAGTTAACAAAACTATATTAGTTAATGACCCTATTGTAAAATATAGAACATTCTTACAATTCGCTTTGCACATGGCCAGAAGCAATGGGTGATTATGTTAAAGAAGGTATCACTACAAAATTAAACTCTAAAGAATTCCATCAACTGACAACAGTTATAGATCCTTTCGAATATAATGATATTTTGGCAACAATCAACAAGTATTTCATTTATGCCACTGGTGATCAATTCTTCCTTTGCGATCTTAGTCAATTCTCTTATCCATACCTTAAGGGAGGTGACCAACTCAAACATTTAAGATATGTTCCAAATACTGATCACTCTTTGGATGGATCTGATGCCCAAGTTTCTGCTTTAGCTTATTACTTTAGTTTGGCCAACAAGCTTCCACTTCCAGTTTACAATTTTACAGCAGTTTCTGATAGGACTGGCGTTTCTGTTGGTGTCAAGGTAATGAGCCCGATTCCACCATCTGCTGTCCTGTTGTGGGAAGCTCGTGCTCCACAAAGAGATTTCAGACTTCAAACCATTGGAAAAGCATGGAAACCAAGACCACTCCAATTGTCTAAAGATGGTAGTGTTTCAGTTCACCTGGATAATCCAGCCACTGGCTATTATGCTGCCTTTGTTGAATTAACATTTGATTATTTAGGAACACAAATTCCTCTCAAGTTTACAACATCAGTTTATGTTCTTCCTGATATTTTGCCATGTAAATACCATAATAAAGTTTAAGATGTGAATAAGTTTGATGTAAATCTAGCAATCTGCTGATCGGCCAGTAAGAAAATGATGACAGATTTCAAATAGGAATATATTACAATTCTTCCAGTATTATAATCTCACAATTATAATCTCAACGACAAAAACATTCTCCATTAAATGTCAAAAATCATTAACAGAAAACTCACTTATTAAAAAAATGCATAGCTCCAAACTCATTATTGCTGTCTTATTGATGGTTATTGCCTCATGTGTTGTCGTTTCTTCTAGATCTCTCCCATACAGAGGACAAAGCATTGTTGACTTTATTAACTCTCTCCAACTCGATGAGGAAAATGAAGAACTCGCTGACACCTTCTCTTTTGATTCAGGTGATGATATTGCTAGTGAAGCTATTAGAAGATATGGACGTGTTGCTACTGCAGGTGGTCATTGTGCTCGTGCTGTTAGAGAATCTATTGAAGGTGCTTTGGACATTTCCTTGCAAAGAACTGAAAGTGCTAAGAATTATGGACCTTCCTTGTTGGCTGCTGGTTTCCAAGTTGTTTCTGGACCTGCTCAAGATGGTGATGTTGCCATTTTCCAAGCTATCCCAAACCATCCTCATGGCCACATTCAAATCAAAACACCAATTGGTTGGGTTTCTGATTTCAAGCAAAGAGATCAATATCCAGGTCCAAGCTACAGAAGTATCAGTGCTCCATTCAAATTGTACAGATATACTGATTAATTGGCCACTTATCACTTGCAACTTGTAGTGTGCTGAATAAACACATTCTCAGTGTTTTTTAACATGCAAGAAAGACTTTCAAACATTTATTTATTTACACAAAGATATCACATTGGCCTAGACATTATATTTTACAATAACTATTCATCATCATCTGACAAGTCGACAGCAGCACTCTCAGTCTTTTTTCTCTTTTCTTCTTCTTGTCTCTTAATTTCCTTTCTGATTTTGAAAGTAAGGGATGGGCTTTCCACAAGGTCTGCTTCAGTAATTCTTGATTCCCTACAACCAATAATAGGACATTCGAAAAATCCCCCTCCAGTTCTCAATTTTTGGAAAGCCACTGTCTTTTCGTATACGTGTTTACATTTCTTTGATTGAATAGGTTCTTGTAAATTAGAACCAGTCCATGGACATGTTGTTTTAATAGTAACTTGTGACAATTGAATATCATCATCATCGTCACCTTCCTGGTTCCAATCCAATTCTGCTGTTGGGTCGTGCACTTGCATGATAGAGAGTTTGAAATTTTGGTATTCCTCCACTTTCTTGATTGACTGATCATCATATTCCTTCTCAGTATTTGTTTTGATATTATTATCATAAAATTGTGACACTGTTCTTAAATCCTATTCAATTAATAATAATTTAGATAATAAATATTGTTGTTAATTATTGATTAAATTGTTATTAAATTCTACTACGTACAATTCCAGGAGATTCCAATATTTGTTGAAGTGTAGCCGTATGACCTTTTGTCATTCGGAGTAAATCCAAATAATCCCTAACAATAGAATCAATTTGTTCAACTTGTATTTTGTTACGTTCATATTCGGGATCGTCAGGCAAAGATGATCCTTCAATATCTTTTGCCAGCGTTGTCAATAATTCTATATTTTCCAGCATGGTTGTAGTATTTTCATTGTGTGCTTTTTGCAAGGGTTTAATTTCCAACTGCACAAGCCTAAATGCGCCTCCTTGATGTTGACTTGAAGACATTTTTTGTGTGATGGAAATTAATTCTTCTTTAATTTTTAGGAAAAATTTTTGAAAATTTAGCGCCAAAACTTTTAAAAAAACACAAAACTTTGCTTTATCACGAATGAGAATGTTTAATTACGAACATTAATTGTCTATCGGAATCAAGAGATGGAATGGCTTTGATAGTTTGCTTATTGTGCAATGGAAGTATCCGTAATGGTAACTCTATTATGCTCTTCAGCAATAGGTTCTTTGATACCTAATCCTGCCTTAATATATGAAGTGATGAGAGCCATCATTGATCCTTGTTTGACGTCCCAATATTCTATATTCATATGAAATTAATTGTTAATTAATCGAAATAATAGAAATGATACAAACCTGCATGATGAATATCACAAACTAGAAGAGTTAAATTAGGATCGTTCAATCCCTTTGGGAAGTAAATCTCACAATATTGATTCCATAACTCTCTCATAAGCTCCTTATTGGTTTCATCTGATTTGCAATTACAACTCAATGAAACATAGGTATGATTGCTTGGATCAGAGAAACTCAAATTGACTTGATGGTCAGTATTGATTTCCTTACACTTCCAAGAGTCTTTACCACTGAAAAAGTACAAACGTTGTCTCTTGAAATCATCCTCTCTAATGATAGCATTCATTGGACGAGAGTGAATGTAATTATGACCCATATTATCTTTGGTACATGTTGATAACATGCAAAATTGAATATCCTTGATAAGAGTTCTCAATTTTTCAATACCTTGTTGTTCAGACATTTGTTTTTTTAAATTGTATATATCCTGATTGGTTTGTCCATCTTCTTAATCGAATTTGGAGTATTTATCGATTTGTGCATTTTCCAAAATTGTTAAATGGTTTTATTAATCTCAATCCAAAATTCTCAATAATATTTACAATATGAAGAAAGTATGAAGGAAGAAGTATTTACACATTTCTTGCATTTTCGAGAGAGGAAAATAATTGTTCCAAATCATCAGGATTTGGTAATGAATAAGAATCCAACATTTCAGAAATTTGAGCACTCCTAGAAGATGAAGGGAAAATTCTACTAGTATACGTTGACTGATTATCGGCTTCCAAATAATTATTATCATTATTATTTACAGAAGATGATGGAGGTGGTGTTTGGTGTCTATTTTCATGTAATCCAATTGAGTGAATATTTGGATACACGTTTTGGTGAACTACTGGAGTTGTGAAAAAAGAGGGTTGAGGTGGCAAGACTGGTTGAAATTCTGGTGAATTGAAACTCAATCCAAATGGTGTTGACTGAGTTGGAAACTTGTTTCCACTGTTGTGTGAATTGAATGGAGCGACAGCATTAAGCGGGATGTATGGTGAAGTGTTTCTCATGGCCACTATCTGTTGCATAAATGGATTATGAAAAGATGGATTTGGTTGAGTAGAGGAATTATTTTCACCGCTAACCTTTGTAAAGGTAGTTTGAGGGGAACAGTTTTGAAAGGATATTTGTGAAGAGGGAATGGTTTGACCAAATGAGATGAGTTGTGAATTGTTCAAACCTGGTGATTTCACTTGTTGAAACATTAAATAACCAGAGTTGACAGTGGATTGTGAGGAATTTGAGGAAGTAGAGTTGTGACTCATTTCACTGTTTGTTGAAGAGGTAGAACTTTGAGAGCAGGCTGAGGAAATTGAAGGAGAGGAAACATTGTTGAAAGGATTGTTACCCGAATACAATTGTGAAGGAGTGGATGGTGAAATTCGTGTGTGAGGAGATGTGCTAGTGGATGATGAACAAGTTGACTGATTGGTATTTGTGTTGGAATTACATGTTCGAGGAAGAATTTTCATGTTGAGTGAGTTTTTTCTTTGCTCTTGCAATGTTTTCAATCTTTCTTCTCTTGTGGTCTTTCGTTTAATTTGTTCAACACATTGAATTCCATTCTTGATGCATCTAGAGCAAGACCTTTGTTCACCACAAGATCTATCACATCTTGCATGTGCTTTATGACAAGCAACACAAGCCACTGTACAATGATGATGACAATAATTTCAGTTCATGAGGATTAAAAAGGAATTAGCAAAAATCTTACCTTTTTTACTCTTCTTTTTTTTAATACCATTGTGGTCTGTGTTTGTATGAGGAGATGAGTCATTAGATTCACTACTATTTGATTTATCATCACGACGATTTGCAACACCCTTATGATCAACACCTTGAGAGTGATTGGTGTGGATATTAGAGTGCATTCTTTTTTTTCTGGTTATTGAAAGAAATTCAACCTCTTTCACAGGATTGACTAATCATTTTCTTCTCGTTAGTGTGGGAATTTTCTAATAATAAAATTATGATATGCAGGAGTTTGACTGACACGATGATATCGGAGGGTATTTGCTCTTATCACAGTGGCTTATTTTCGATACGAAACATGACGATTTTGATGAAAGCAAAGGAGATTGTTGCCAGAAAGAATAGACACTAACCATAAGGAATTAAAACCAATAGTTTCTCCAAGCCAACTTCTAATTGCGAAGGAGAAACGTTTCGATTGTGTTGAGAGATAAGTTGCTCTAGATCCTTCCGCAAATACTTCTAATTTACTGTCTCCGGAAGCAAGGTGTCATTGTTTGTAATTACTTTTTGTGGATAGAATTAACCTGTTTTTCGTATCGTGATTTAGTAAAGAGAGAAAGTATCATGGAGTTCTCATGTTGTTGAAAAATTATTCGAAAGACTATTCGAGAAATGTTTCGTCACCACCTGCCTTTAAGAAGATGAATATTATTTTCCAATAATATGATAAATACCGTATGAGAGTTTTTTAAGGTTCACTTAGGTCAAAATCATTTCGTTGTGATATGCTCATGTTGAGAGTGAACACATCTCATTCAAGTCGTCAATCATGTTGTATTTGTGTAAATCGTAGTGTTCTTTTACAACTTTTATTTACACCAAACTACAGTTTTCATCTGGTCAATACTTTTGAAAATGTTGATTATCCTTGTTTGGTGTTTAGCCCTAGTTCGTATTTATTACAATAAAATACCACTAGAAATATGCTTATGTGCTTATCCACTTGTTCAAAGTCATGTGATGTAGTAATTCATATTCGAATAAGATTGGCAGACTGGACTACAAACAAAAAAATGTTCGCCTCAAGGAGAATAGCTGTTGTTGGTGTTGGTGAGGAAAAATCAAGTTTGATGACCTTAATCGAACAAGAACACGGAACGGTTACTTCAAGTGTTTCTAGCACTACTCACATGTTAATCACAATGAACAAGAAATTGGTAGCAGCAAAGAATGCGTTGAAGTATAACATTCCGATATTCAGTGTTGATGAATTTAAACAAAAGTACTTCAAAAACATGTGATTGTTAATACGTTTGATTTATTTTACCTTCATTATAGTGAAGAGGAAATCCCAAATAAGAACAAGAGAAAAGCTGACCCAAGTGTAACGGATATAGCAGAAGACTTGACAATGCGTACCCCAAATAAACAACTTTCAGAGTCTACTACTATTGTTCAAAGATTCGAAACTCCAACCAAATTTTTTAGTTCTTTGGGCCTTAGTCCCCAACCGATTTGATTCGTCCAAACAGATAGCTCAAGCACTCTTAGAACAGAAAACCTACCCAAAGGGAATGCTTCCAGTTTTGAGTCAACATTTTGGAAGTGGCAAAACAGCACTTGTTGCAAACTTCCGTGGTGTTTTGGAACAACAAGAATACATCAATGATGATACTTATTTTGATAAATTGATGAAAGCAGCTTTGGTGAGACTTGACATGACTACTATTGATCAATTTGTACCTTTAACAACAAACCTTACTACTGGAATAATTCGTACTCATTTAGTGGCGAGCATTTCTGAAGCACTGGCTAAATTGAGAGAGAACAATCCTAATACTCTTAATCTTGAAAAAAGCTATAGTACAATATTAGAACTATCATCCACTCAACAAAATTCCCTTGTTGCAAAACAACTCGAAGATTCGCCTAGTATTTTTTCATTTCTCCAAGCATGGTCTCTCAACAACATCTATTCCTTACTTGTATTTTTTGATGAATTGGGATCTCTTGAAAATCCACGGATCCACTCATGCAATTTTGGAATGATATTGCAAATTTAATCGGCCAAGAAAAAAATATTCACAATATATTCATAATTGTGGCCGGAAAATCTGCCACCTTAGCTCAATTAGGTAGGCAAGAACATGGAAGACTCGTATCGCCTACACCAGCTACACATATTGTTCTTGATATGCTTTCTATTGAGTTTGTTATCGAATTAATAGAAAAGTTTAACCCTGACATATCTCTCATAAGGAAATCTCCGAACAAAATTAAGGAGTTTGCACAGATTACAAAATCAAGAATTTTTGTTCCTAAAAGAATTGAAGCTATTATACTGGGAAAGGAAGCATTTGATACATTCTTTACAATAGAGGACAAGAACATGTTGGACAGATTATCTTCAAATGAGCTGCCCAATATTGATTACTTGAAAAATTTCTCCCAATCAATCAGTTGCATTCAGAGGCACCATTGGAATGGCGTTAATTTAAATTGATTTATTGTAATGTTACTTGGAGTATTCGATGAGTTTAGTAATACACAAGTTATGAGAATTTGACAACTGTTAGAACAATTGCAATTTTTGGGAGAACACTTCGTTACTGATTGTGGTGGTTCTTCAAATCGAATATAATTCTTGTGAAACGTTTCAAAATTGTGTTGTCCTTTGGCTGAGATTGCTTGATTGTTGATTATTTTCTAATGAATTCTCTGACACCATTGAAAGCGTGGAAAGTTACGAAATTATTGCTTGTCGACAAAATAGTAAAGAACTGTTATGCATGTGAAAAACACATTTCAAGTCGCGAACCATGTTGTTGTTTTGCAAAATAAATGTTCTATTACAATTTCGATGATCATCAAACTACTGTTTGTATCTTCTTAGTATGCCTTATCAAATGGAGTTGACCAATTGAGATCCAACCAAATTACTTCTCTCATTACAACATTGTACAAAAAAAATTACAACAACATTCATACCACCATCACTAGCAAAAAAGGGTAGTTTGAATTTTCAGTCTTCTGACCCACACGCACTTTTTGATTCTTGCAAGACATCATCTTCCACAAAATTAGCGCCTAATTTTTTTGGTAAAGCTGAAAAAAATATTTTTGTCAAGATTTGGATTTAATTTTTGTTGTATTCAATAAGCATCATCACCAGCAATAGACTGAACATCAAGAGTTTTTTGTCAACACTAAACTTTTGTCCATCATTGATATTGTTTAAATAGGATTGTAGATAATCAACTGTTTTAAAGATCCGATATTGTGATTGAGAAACAAATTCACACAATCAGCATCAACATCAATTAATTTATTATTTAAATAATTATTATTGGAGTACTAGTAACACAATATGCCATTATTTGGAATACCTAAAAAGCCACTACAAAAAAGAGGATTAGGTCAGGCCCAAGATAAACAATGGCCATCCAATAAGCCTGTTTTTCATATTCCAATCACCGATGAGGTTTTTGATGATTATGAGTAAGTAGTGATGATCACATAGACTTGACCATATTTACAACTTACAATAGGGATTATGTCAATAGGCAAATAATGTATAAACTTCAAATTTGGAGTTGTCAATACACAGGAAGAGAAAACATGACATATGAACAAGCATTGGAATCAGAAAAAGAACACAAACAACAAGATTTGTTTAAATATTATCCTAGATATATTCTTCGTCATATTTGTTATATGGTACATAATTGTAGAAAGGGTGAAACTTTCCAAGAATTAGCACATAGAATGGCCAAGTTTTTTGAGTATAACTTCATAGAGGGTGAGGAACTTTACTGTGAGTTGGACACAACGTAAGTATTTTCAATTATTCACTCCGAATCAAATATTGTTATTGTTGATAGTATTTCTGTTGTTTTAAAAAGAATACTTCTCAAGAAACTTCACTATTATTTGAATGATCCAAATTTTCCTCCTTTTTCTGCACCTTTGTATATAACAGATGCTGATAGTCATCAAATTGAAGTTTTTCATCAAACAAAACCACAGGAACATCATTATGATTACGATTTACTGAACATGGGATATGGTACACAAGGAAAACTTTACGAAGTTGAAGTTGTTTCAAATAATTCTACTTTTGAAAACAAAATCATTGTTGTGTACTACACTGTATTACTCAGAAAACAGAGCTCTCTAATCGAATCTGTTGATAAGATTATGAGATGGTTACATGAATATACCTTTTTGGATGAGGATGGAATGATTTTATTGAAACCTGAATTATTGGAATATTTCAAACTTGAACCAAGAGCTGCAGCACAATGCGAAGTTAAATCAAAATATCAAAAGAAAATTGATGAAGAAATGTATGATATTGAGAGATTTAAGCATGGAAGAATCAAGTCTTTGTATGATTTAAAGTATCATCATGTTGATAAGTTCGGAAGGCTTATGTCTGATATCAAGGAAATCGAATCATCGCTCAAAGGCATTCCTGTTGCAGAGCCATCACATTCTTCATCAACAAATGGTAGTAATATTCAAAACAGTCATTCAACAAATGGTATTGTTGTTGAACATTATGAACAGCCAAGTGCCCCTGTTGTACAACAAATTAATCCATTACTATTACCAAAGAAGGATGGAACCATACTAGATGAATATATTGCGGATAGAGAACCTCAAAAATCTGATGAAAACTTTCCAAAGTTCCATTATGATTTCATTATCAAAACTCCAGAATGTATTCCTGATGCTTTAAACATATTTAATTTCCTTTTTTCTTTTAGAGGACCTCTCAAATTGGATCCATTTACTTTTGACGAATTCCAAAATGCTTTAGAATGTAAAGATGAAAACAATCCACTATTAAGATCAACTTTACAACATGGTAAGAAACAAGGATCAAAGAATGATTAATCTCCCTTCAAGAAAATTAGTCATCAATAGAGATGCAACTGTATACATTGCTCAAACCATTCCAGTTATTCCTCTCCGTGAATATTGGAAAGTGTTCATGCCTCACGAAATAATTAATATTAAAAAGGAAGAAGTTATCAAACAAGTACCTGAAGTTAAGCAAGAACAAGAAGAAGTTAAACAAGAAGAGCCTAAATCTGAATCAAATGGAAATAGTGCTGCAGAGCCAACTATTATTGAAGATGACAAGGATGTTGAAATGAAAGAAAGTGTAAAGGTAGAAACAACACCATCATCTGAACCAACAACAGCAACAACAACAGATGAGCAACAACAACCTGCTGAACCTGCTGAGGTCAATCAAGTCAAGGAAGAAAATAATGAAACAACTAACCAAGAAGTGAAAACTGAAGAAATTAAGGAGGAGGAACCAACTGCACAAAGTAATAATAATATGGTAGATGAAGATGTAAAGCAGGTAAAGAGTGTTGTTGAAAGAGCAATGGAATTCATCAAGAGTGATGCCTATGATGATAATGAAATTGACTTTTTCAAACACTTGGATTCCGATGTTAAAGTATATATTTTAAGCAAGCTAACAGAACAATGCATTTTGACAGCCACTATCAGAGAATTTACAGATGAAAATATTGAACACATGAAAAAGTTGAAGAGACAAAAGAATTTGGAAAATACTGAAGATATTGAAAAATCAAAAGAAGAAACTGAAGAGGCAAAGAAACTAACTGCTGAAGAATTGAAATCAAGAAGGAATAAGAGAGAGAAAGTCTATCAAGATTTACTTTCCCTTCATGCAATTAGAGCCAAACCTCTAGGATATGACAGACGGTTCAATCGTTATTGGTTCTTCCCAACTTTTGTTGGTGTACTTTTTGTTGAACCATGTTCTCCATTCAGACTTGTTGTAAACAACGGTGTTGCTGATCCAGTGGAAACAAGACATTGGGGATATTTATGTACAAAGAAAGAGATTGAAACTTTAATTTCCACCTTAGATCCAAGGGGATTCCGCGAAAAGAAACTTCTCTCAAATTTAAATAAGTATAGAAGAGAAATAATAGATCAAATCACTCTGAGAAATTCTGCCATTAATCCAGAAATGGTAGCCGAAGATGTACCATTAAGCACAGCTCAAACGACTGAATCTGTCCCATCATCAAATGGAGGAGAATCAAAGACAGAAGTAGCCTCGTCCTCCTCAACTACAGACAATGAAATGAAAGATGAAGCACCAATTACTAAACCTGAACAAACTCCTGAAACATCCAATGTACCTTCAATTGTTATTGATGATGTTTCTACAGATTCTCCATCAAAGAAGAGAAAACATACAGATGACAATGTATCTGACATTAGTGAAGTGTCATCTAGTTCACAACAACCTAAGAGAACTAAATTAGATACAACCCTCGAAGAAATTGCAACTAAGTATCCTACGAAATTCAAACCAAGCATAGAGTCTTTCCAACCAACTTCATTCCTCAAATATCGAAATAGTCAGGAAGAAGTTATTCCTGCAGACTCTGAATGTTTCCTTCCAGACGAAGATGAGGAAGAAGATTAAATAAAAAATGAAAACTTTAGTGTTGCTCGGAATTTGTTTGTGCTTTTTAATGATAATAGCACCATCATCATTAAATGCTCAACAAGGACCAATTGATAAATATCGAGTTGAATTTTCAGTGGATCAGGGAAATACTTGGAAGGAACGTGGATTTATTGTATATGATGCTAGTAGTAGAAATCGTTTACAATTTCGTCCAACACTTACCAATGATGCCAAATGGTCAGGTGATGTTATTAAAACCATCTCCGATAGAATTTTAAAGAAGAAGACAGAATCTTTAATTTATCAAATTCGTGTTACTACTTTAAAGGATGATTCACAAATTGTGGCCTCAATTTCAATGGTTGGTATTAATAATAATAATTTAATAATGATGATTACCATGATGATGAATAATATAATAATAATTATAACAATATTTGATGATGAACAATAATATACAACAATAATAATTTGGAAATAGTGTGATTTTATTAATTCAAAATTCAAGGAAGTGTGGCATTTAGTTTTTGATTCAAAGGAAAATTTAGTTTCAATTACCATTAATGCTGATACACATACTGCTCCAACACCATATCACTCCCAATCATGTACTTCCGATGTTATTGCTTCTCTTGAAAAATTGAAGAATGGACTTCAAAATGGTGTCAGAGAATCAGTCAAAATTATTAGTCACAATCCTCCAAAAACAGGAGAAAAGATTAGTTTTACTGGTGTCAAATCACCTGAAGAAAAGAAGAAAGAAGTTGAACAAGCCAATGAACCAGGATTTTTCAGAAAATACGTAAGTGTGTTAATTAATCAACATGAATTTTTAATATTTCAAATAGTGGTATTTGCTTGTACCTGCTGTTCTTATTTTGTTTGGTTCCATGTTTACCGCATCCGAATAATAAATTTACATCACAATCACTATTCCAATTTTGATGATTATTTAAATATTATTACTTGTTGGAATTTTCTAATGATTTTTGTTTTTCCAAAATCTTATCAACAATGCCTTCCTTTTCAATTTCCTTTTCAAGTTCCAATCTTACACGAGTACGGAATTTATCTTCCCACTTTTCTTCCAATTCATATTGATGTTTCATTCCTACAAGACCTCCGATTGCAGTCAACACAAACATCCCTGTAACCTTCCAGAATGTTGAAGTCATTTTTTTTCAATTTTATTAAAAAACAATAATTTAATATATTAAAATTATAATATTAATAAATATTTAATTATATAATTAAACAAGTATTAATACTATTCACATTCTACAGAGTTTCACAAATTTCACCTTCAACAATCTCCATCACTTTTTATTCAAAACAAAAATAAACCGTTATTCAAATAAATTGCAAGTTCGAAAAAAAAATGGCTGATAACGTGTAGGTTGAGAGTTTTATTGTTTGGAGTAGTCTAAAATTGGCTTGAAAAATGTTATATTTATAAATATTACATCATCACTTTTTATTGATTAATATTTGGATTATGTAAAATATTGGATGATACGGATTGGATGATCAATTATATTTCCGGAAATAATTTTTTATATTAAATAATATACAGATTAGAACAATTTGAAGGTGATGACAATGTTGAAGATGAATATCAACAAGGAGAAGATGAATCAGAAATTCTTCCAGAAGATGATGTCATGTTAGAAGAAACTGATGATGTTGATGCTCCATATTTGCCAGTTGATAAAAACAAAGTTCCAAAGGAAGACAGAAAAACCACTAGAAAGATGACTAAATTCGAAAAGGCTAGAGTTTTGGGAACAAGAGCTCTTCAAATTTCTATGAATGCTCCTGTTACTGTAGAATTACAAGGTGAAACAGATCCACTCCAAATTGCTAAGAAGGAACTTCAACAAAAGAAGATTCCAATGATCATTAGAAGATACTTGCCAGATAAATCATATGAAGATTGGCATGTGAATGAACTCGAAATTGACTTTGAATAAATTATTTATTCTTCATCACTGCTACTACTACTGCTATCAGAGCTAGAGCTGCTTTCATTATCACTATTGACATTTTCCTTAGTTTCTTCTTCACCATTTTCATTCTTTGATTTTTCAACAACATTATTCTTTTCTTCATAATCAGTATCACGAACATCTGAAAAATCCTCTAAATTATATCTAGATCCACTATCCTTGTCAGTTGCCTTAAGAACACGCATAACTGTCTTGGCCCTTTTATATCTCTTATTGTCTTGAAGAATATCTTTCATTTCATTGACACATTTTGCTCTGATTGACTTATCGGTAAGTACTAATTTTCTTTCCTTTGATGGGAGTGTATGGAGAGCATTCTTTTGAGCAGCAGCTCTTTGAGTCTTGACATATTCTCTACAAGTTTCAAATAATTTCACACGGTCAAAACCAACTAGTGGAGCTACATATTCAAGAAAATATTTGAATCGTTTTCCATCAATAATTTGTGCATTTAAACATTGATTAATAAGTGTTCTTTGTTTTGTACCATCAAATGTCCAATTACTTCTATCATTCTTCCACTGCTCCAAAAATTCAACAATAGGATGGAGAATAATTTTCTCATCATCTGAATTATATTCCTCAGTTTCCGTAACTACAACTTTTTTCTGTTGTTGTGTTGGTGCATTCAGTGCTGCCTCCTCCATCTTTCTCTTCTTTCCGGCAGACATTGGTTTATTTCTACGAGGTTGTTGTGGTTTGCTTGCTGTTGTTGGTTTATTGGTACGATTCATTTTTTATTTGAATTGAATTCTTCATCATCAAATATTTGATGTTCATCTAATCATTTAATCTTTTCTTTATGGAATAAAACTTGTTGAATGAAGAATAACACAACAACCCTAGTGTTTGTTGTTTCTCTCTGATAGGATCTAATTAATTTGAATAATGTCATCATCCCTATCATTGCCATCATTATCTTCTATGAAAATAAAAATAAGCTTCATTCTGTGATTGAAGTGAAGAAAAAATAGTCGGAAGAAAATAACAACTTTTGGAAGAAAATCAATCCCTCATTATATTTGCCAAAACAACAGAGTAGTATCACGATCTATTATTAAATATTCATTTAGAGATTGAAAAGCTTTTAATTTAAATAATAATAACATGTTTTTTGTAAATTTTTTTGACAAATAAAAAATGCCAATAGTAAACATTCCAAAAAGCAAGTCTGACCAGCATTACAGATACAAAAGAGAAACTCTAGAATTGAAGATTGAAGGTAAAGGAAACGGTATCAAAACCGTCATTACCAACATGAAGTCTGTTTCTGAAAGTCTTAACGTTCCAATAGAATGTATGTTTTTTTATGAATATTTTCCGTGATTAATCATATCCAAAATTTATTCGTGGATTGACGCTATATTTTTCCTTCTTCTTTTCGCAATTTGTTTATGTATAACTATTTTACATTATTTGGACCAACAACAAAATATTCATCATTTACTACAACAACAATATTCTTTAACAACAACAACAATAGACCCAATTAAATACTTCGGTCTTGAATTGGCCGCTCTTAGTAAAGTCGACTATAAGAACGACAAGGCCGTCATCAATGGTAAATATGATCTTAATCAAGTTGAAGATGCTCTTGAAAAGTTTATTCAAAACTTCTTGTTGTGCTCCAAGTGCCATCTCCCTGAATTGGATTTTGCTATTAAGAGCAACAAGGATCCTGTAGCTACAACTTGCAGAGCTTGTGGTAATGCTGGACAAATTGACTCTACTGAAAAGCTCTATACTACTATTATTAAACATCCACCTAAATCAAAGGGTTTCAAGGATCCAAAGGCTCCTGCTGAACCTGTTAAAACATCCAAATCAAGTAAATCTCAAGCCGGAGCTGTTACTGAAAAGGCTGCTATTGATGATGGTACTTGGTCATTGGATATTTCTCAAGAAGCTATCAAGAAGAGACGTGAAATGGAAGGTCTCTCTGAAAGATTTAGAGAATTGACTAAAGGAATGGAAGATGAGGATGAAGAAGAGGAAGAACAAGAAGTTTCACCTGTATCTATTTTAAAGCAATTCATGGAAGTTAAACCAAAAGCTACCAATACTCAAATCTATCAAGCAACAAGAAAATTGAAGGCTGATTACACATTGTCTGATAAGGATTGTGTTTGTTTGCTTTATGAAACTTTCTTCACACCAGAAAATATTTTGACTGATATTACAAAGAGAGCTCCATTGTTCAAGGCTTTCATTTCTTCAAGTGGTCAAAAGCTCATTTTGGGTTACACTGAAGAACTTGTTGGTATGAAGAATCCAGCCCTTATTCCACAAACTTCTGTTATTTTACTCGAATTCTACAAGAATAGTTTGCTGTCAAAGGAAACCATGGAAGAATGGTTGTCAAAGAAGAAGTCACGATTCGTTAAGGATTCTGCAATTGTTGCCAAGATTAAGGAAGCAGCTAAACCATTCGGTGATTGGATGGCTTCAAACTAAACAATAAATACTTTTAACTATTTAATTTGTACTTTATCATCCCATGACCCTGTCATCAGTCATACCATCACTGAAAAAAAATGGTCATTCTTTACACTTGCGTTATTATGGATAGAAAGATCATGGCAGAATATCCAACCGGAAAGAAGGTAGGATCTCTTTTACTCATCACAACTTATTAATTTTAATTAAAGGATATGATGCAATTGATCAACAATTTATTAGAATACATTCCTAATCGTGAACACAAAAAATCGTTGAATTACGAAAGGTAAGATTCTAATGTATGATGGACTAAATTATTAAACGATTGTGATGATTTATTGTGACTGATAAATAGTAAAAATCTACGTATTCACTATGAATGTATGGATGAGGATGAAAAGGAACCAACACATCGATACTTTACAATCATTTCAGTAACTGATGAAATGACACCGTACAGAGTTGTGTTTGGATTGAAGAGTGGATTTTTCAAAGATTTACAAAAGGAAGTTCGTTCAAAATACACTAAAGGAGCAAGAAATCAAAAGAACTCTCAATTGAGATCTTTTATTCAACAGAAAATGACTGAATGGAATGATCCAAACGTATGTTTGAAATTATTGTAATTATTTAATTAATTGGAATATTAGAAAGATAAATTGACTCATTTGGGATATGAAATCTCAAAGAATAAGAGCAAGATGATTGAAAATATTGACAAAATTTTACAAAATCACGAAAGAATGGATTCTTTAATGGACAGAACAGCTCTTGTAAGTTAAAATTATTACAATAGATGTTATTTACAACTGATATCAAGTTGGTCGACAATTCAGACCACTTCCAAAAGCAAGCTAAAAAATTGAAATCTGTCGTTTGTTGGAATAATTGTAAATTGCTCATTATTCTAATTGGTGTTCTTGCAGTTATTGCATTCATTGGTATTTGGTTAGGTTGTGGTTTCCCAGATTTCAAACGTTGTGCAGTTGGTGATACCAACACTGATAGTACTGTTATTTAAATATATTATCATCATTCCTAAAATGTTGTGTATAATAGCAATCACTTCTTAATGTGATTCATATTAAAAATTTCACTTTCTAACTTGAGCTGGTGCATTAATTCTGTGTTTAATTCTCAATTTGGGTATTTCATAAGGTATTGCATTCGAATCAGTCGATGATTTTTCTCTCTTTGAAATTTCACGTTGTCTCCTTCTCCAATATTCAATTCCAAGTGGTAAACTAAATTGTAATGTTTCATCTTCTTCAGAAGGAGGATTAAATATATTTGCATTCTCTATCGAATCATATTGTGAAAAATTAGGATTATCATGTTTGAGAGCTTGTTTAATTTGATACCAATTATAAGTATCTCTATTCTTTTTAACATTGAAAAATTCAATAAATATTTTGAAAAATCATCCACATACAGATAATTCAAATTCTTCATATTTCCACGACATGTTTTCCAATTTTTCATCTTTTTGTTTCTTTGAATCTCCATTATTCATCAAGGTCCTAATATCGTGATATTTATCGGAGAGGTAATCATTTTCAGCTAACTGAATTTTTGTGTAGATTTGAGTAGAGAGTTTTTGAATGGCCTTCTCCGTTGAATTACGATAATCTAGTGAAGGAAACGCCATTTCCGAGTAGCTTGTCGCTGATGCTTGATTATCTTTTTGCATTTTTTTTAATATTTAAAAACATTTTTGTAAACAATTTTATTTCAAAAATATGAAAACAATTTAAAATCTTTGAACTTCTAAGCCCTTAGTCTTGGATTCGTTCAAAATGAGTGGAGTAACAAAACATTCAGTTTCGTATTTGAAATTTTTCCAACTAGTTTCGACTTGATTCTTAACTGTTTGAATTGATTCTTCATTTGGAGCAAAGAGAATTGAAAAAACTGCATCGTAACCTCCAGCACCTGGAACACCAGCAATTAAACAACCATTAGTTGCCATTGTTTCGTCCAAAAGTTTAGTTTGTTGATTAGGTTCAATTGGAACATTTTCAGCTTGCTCTCCCATATATTTGAGCTTTTTACGAATTTCAATAAATGAATTTCTAATGGTTAACATGGCATCCTTGACTTTAGATGATACAGATTCAACCTCTTCCCATTCACTTGCTGGTAATTGATACAATTTTTGTAAAGTATTTTCGTAATCTGATGGGAATTCCTTAGCTTGTTTGGAAATAATTTTGAATTGTTCCTCAACAGTATTATTCAAATCTCTAATAGAATTCCACAATTCAGTTGATTCAGTTGGATTTTGTTCCTTCCATTTGAGAACACATCTGACCATACTTGGAGTATTGGATCCTTGGGCAACATCAGCAACAAACAAGTGGAAGTTAGGTGGTAATTCGAATGTCGAATTTTCATTGTCCCACACAAATTCCTTCTTTGGATCAACGACATTGATAATTTCAGTAATTGCTTGTTTGGAATATTTTGGATCAGATGGGTCAACCAATTTCATAATAGATTCCAAAATACTAGTTCCAAATCTCTTGTATCTTTGTGAGCCATAGGTAGCAGCTGAAACATCAAAACCACTTCCAATTTTACCTTGAGCGAGACAGTGACAGAATTGAGCAACTCTGTGAATCATTTCTCTACCATTTTCATCATTTATATCCAAACCAGTAAAGTGAAGAATAATAGCAGATGTCAATGAAGTAACCATAGATGCGCTACTTCCCAAACCAGTTTTTTGAATTGGTTTGTTTGAATCTGGATGAACGTAAAACTTTTCTAAATTTTCTAAATTTTCCAAAGTAACTTCCTTTCCCAAATCAATCAACTATTTAATTATCATTCAAATATTATTGAATCACACATAAATACTAACATTTTGTCTTTGAGAATAAAAATCATTATCAGCTTGCAAAGTAATTGAAATCTTTCTATTTTGAATCTTGGAGCCATTCAAATATTCAGAAATAGCCAAAGCATAAAGAATTGCATTTTCAATATATGGATTCTTGTTCATATTAACCAATTTCAATTCACCTCCATTTTCACTTGATTCATAAACATATTGTCCACTCAAATAGAATTGTGGTGAATGTAAATCAATAACTAAACCACCACATGAAGTATTTTCCACATTTTTAACATCTTTAATAGTTGTGTAAAATCTTGATGAAGTTGAAAGAACAAGTCCAGAATAATCAGGATCCAAAACTAAATATCCACCAGTGATGAGAACTTTTCCTGGAGCTGAAACAATTGTAGTTCTATTCATTCCGATAATAACAATTATTGCACATAATAATAAATTTGTAAATTTTACCTTTCCAATGTAGTAGTAGTAGTGGTGATGTTGCTTTTACAACAGGTAGTTGTTGTTGATTCGGGTTGTTTTTGATATTTGGCAAGTAAGTGTCCTAACAGGGTACTGGTAAGCATAAAACCAGTGGTCAAGAGTGGTGATGGTTCTTGTGATGATGACATTTTTTTGTTGTGTGAAAATTGGTTGGGTTTCACAAATTGGGAAATTGTAATAATTATTGTTGTGATTGAATATAATATATGTACAATTTATGCTTCTATTGAGCCTAATTATTTCATTTCATAAATACTCTTTGTAATGCCAAGAGTGAGTTTTTGAATGACAAATTGGAGAGAATCTGGATTGTGACGGAATAATCCAAAGGCATGATGGAGAGAATAAAAGAGGAAGAGTAATAATTCAATCTCATCAATATGTTTGGCAAGTTCATCAAAGTAACGATCGGCTATGGTTTTGAAATTAATGTCACTCATTGTTTCTGTAAAGTAGAGAATGGCTAGGAAAACTTTTCCTCCTGTGAATCGAGGTTGCAAATTCTCAAAGATGTCTACCTCACCTTGTTGATTATTCAGAGATCTTTCGAAAGATTGCATTGGTGTGAAAATATCATGAGCTATTTGACGTTCTCTTATTCTCTTTTTCGAGTCGCTGCTGTCAACTGAGTATTGCAAGTATGGATTACGGTATGAACAATGGTAAGTTGAAAATGGCTTAATCTTGAATAATTCCAAAAAAGATTCTAGTCTAAAGAATAATTTTGCATTCTTGATTCTTTCGTCTCTTAATAGAAAATTCCAAAGTAAAAAAGTTGATTTTTCACTCAAGGCATCCTTGAATATTTCATCTATTATGTCAAATATTAAAGTCCATGTTTCAATATTGAAATGACTTTTTCCAATGTCATTAGGAAGTTCATAGAAAGTATCTTTAGTGCTTGGATTTTCCTTGAGTGTTTTGTATAATTTAGAAACGGTTGAAAACTCCTTAACCAAAGTAGGTGCTACAAATTTAAAAACACCTTTCTTTCCTATAGTAAATAATTTAATATCAATTTCTGCGGAATTTACACAAGATTTCATAATACCTCTATTAATAATTGGTACTATTAAATTATACAATTCGAGATTTTCTCTTAAATCTTCAATATTTAATTGTTGCAAAGTTTGTTCATTAATTATAAAATTATGACGATGATAGGGATTCACCCGACGACCATCCGATTCAACAGGACTATAAAACCTCTTTTCAATTTCTTCTTTAAATACCTCTCGGATGAAATCATCATAAATTAATTTCAAACACATTAAACTTCCATCATCCACATCCGTTAAACTAAAATCTTCAGAGAGTAAATCAAAATCCATTCCTACGCGCATTTTTTTTAATATTGTTTTTTGATGTTTGATAGAAGTTGAATAATTATTTGATCACCATTCAAATGAGAAATAAATTGGTTACAACAATGTTAATAAATATTTAATGTCTATTATTGGATGTATTTTCTGAAATATGGTTAAACCTGCTGGCGTGTCCTCGATTGTGAATTTGTGTTCTACAATCGCGACCATACCAACAAGTTGGTCTGGATGTTACAGTGGCAGGTAAGTCAGCAGAATCAATTTCAGCTCTATAACAGTAAATGAGTTCGTTAAAGTACTTGTAGGCACATGATTGACAGAATCGTGAATCAGTTGTAAAGTTTGGATAGGAAGGGTGAGTGTAGGTGCCAGATTCAACCTTAGTCATGCATGTATTGTAAACATCCTGAACTGTAATATTCTTTGTTCTAATATAATCAATTAAGATATCTCGTTCAACTTGATTATTGTTCAAACAAGTGGAAGGCAAAGAAATTATAGAAGTGTGTTCTTTGAGTTTGTGAATTCCTGAAATGTAGCATGGACTTTGAGTATTGGTAACTTGTTTGTATAAATTACAATAAATCATTCCACATAATTCACAGTTTTGTCTTCTATCAGGGGAAAGAGAAGTGTCATGGTGTCTGAAAGCTAATCTACAATTACATGTTGAACAAGAGTTATGGAGGGCATGAGCAGCACATTGATAGTTATCGATAGGATTTGGATTTGTACATTCATCACAAACACGAACTGGCGTATCATCATCACTGTCACTTTCATCAGATGATGTCTCATCACGTCTGTTTCTTCTACGACGATGATAATCATCGTCACTATCGCTGTCACTATCGTCATTATTATTATTATTTCTCTTATAGAGAACAAGATCAGTCTTATTAATGTAAGCATCCTTCTTGTCCATTTCCTCTTTTTCTTCCTTTTCACGATCTTGCTTTGGATGTGTTTTCAAGTAAGTCTCTGTCAAGTTGTTCAATGTTGGATTTTTTCTAACTTCTTGGATGGTAGCTCTGCAAGTTGGACAATTCATATTTTGACCAAAATATGAATTATTATTGCTTGGATTTAACCAAGAAGAAAGACATGAAGAGCAAAAGTTATGCAAGCATGGAATAACAGACACTGGTCTATAGAAGATACCAGAACAAATTGGGCAGGTCAATTCATTAGCCATTGCATCATCCTCTTGACTTTCTTCCATATCTGAATCAGTGGCACCAAGTAAGGCCAATAGCTTTTTGTCTTGTTCAGAGAGTGATTTCTTTTGTTTTTTTCCACTGCCATTTTCTGGTGTTTCACTTTCTGCTTTTCTCTTCTTCTCATTTTCGTCATCTGATTCTTTTTCAGAGCTAGCAGAGGCTGTGGCACTACTCGATGGATTTACGTCATCTTTGGATGGTGTCTTAAAAGGTGAGTTTCGTTTTGGTGTAGAAGTAGTATCAGAGCTTGGGGATGAAGCTCCAATGTTACTGGAACTGGCAGTAGCTGATGATGCATTTTCAACTGTTGCTGGTTCCACAGCAAGGTCTACTATTTCTTGAGTACGTTGCTCCTCTTGATCTGCCAATTCTTGTGTTTGTTGATTAGGAGGAGGTGTACTATTACAAAGTGCCAATGTGTAGATTGGTAATTCTGAGCTTAGTTTGTGAGAAATAGAGGGAACAACCAATCCTATCGTATCTCCCTCTGAAAGAATTACACTATTATTGGTACCAAGTTTCTTTCCATTCACAAAACATCCATTTCTTCCAAGATCAGTGAATTGAATAGAATATTTAGTAGGATCGGAAGATGCCTTTCCTTCATCACAGATAATATTCACTCGTCCATGCACTGTTGATATTCTTCCATCAGAAAAAATACATTCGGGTCTAAACTCTGGCTTTCTTCCCAATTCAATTACCTTCTCATCACTATAAATTATTATTGCATTAAAATTTGATGGTGAAATAGCAGGAATTAATTTTGCAATCTCTACTCTTTTCACCTCTGATTCTGCTATTACCTCGGATGATGGTGCATCATCTTCGTTATTATCGACAATAATTTCATCCAATGTTGCGTCGAGTGTGGCCATTTTTTTTCTCTGACTTTCTGGAGTTTTTTAGTGAAGGTAAAAAGAAGTTTTGCGATTGATACTAGTAATTGGCATCATCTGGAAGTTGTAAAACAGTTTGATCATAATTTGCTAATTCAATTTTCTGTTCCTCTATTGGAGGCTTAACACAGAACAGAGTACAATCGTATGAGATTTTACAACGATTTTTCCAAATTCAATGAAATTAATAAATGAAACAAGCTAGTCGTGGTGAAGTTCTTTTCAATTTTCTCAACTTTTTCAAGTATTACAAAAAAAATGTCGTCATTCTCCCTTTTTATAATTTTTCTCATTTTCCCGTGTTGCTGCATGATCTGCTCAGTTCACGCACAGCAATGCACTGTTATTGAAAAGACGTTGCCAACTTCAGCTTTTTGTTATGGATTTTCTAATTATTGGGTAACAGGCTCTGCCACTCTTCAATCCATGGATTCTAAGGCTGTACAAATTTTCTCTGTTTTGAATGCCACTCTCCAGACACAGGATGCAATCACTAGTAGAAACGGTACTTCTGTTTCCGATAGGTGTATTGACTATATGAAGAAGTATGCATGTTACACAGCCTATCCAAGATGTATTTTAGCAACTGGATATACTGCATATGATCAGAAACCATGTCCTAATATTTGTGGAGCTGTTGACAGTTATTGTCAGTATTCATTGACTAAGGTTAATAGTTTGATATGTACTGGTAATACCAATGACAGATCAACTTGTAATTCTTTTGCTATTTCACATAGATTGAGCTTGTTTATTGTAATCATTCTTTTTATTTCTGCTATTTTAACTTAAATTAATTCTAATAAACTACCTGAAAAGGGTTTGCATGAAATATTAAGATTTTGATACAAGGCTTCAATTCCTGGACTGATACATCTATCTCCGATCAATAAATTTTCAAACTAACTACGGATTTCAATTGTCGATATTACAAAAAGTTCAGACCAAAGTAAAAAAACTCAAGTTCATAAAACAAAAAAATGTCTATCCCGAAGATTCAAGAATTAAATCAAGACTTGCTACATGTAATTTTTAGTCATCTAACGGAGGAGGATGTACACAATTTTATGATTTCCAACAAGTCTATTTATGAGTATTGTATAAGGGACGATGTTTATAAAATAATATTTAATCAAGTGATTGATCGAGTTGAATTATTTCCTATGAAGGAAGTGTTCAATCCCGAGTCAAGAAATATGGAGGCCAATACTGAAAATACAAATCATAAACTGAAGAATATTGAGAAAAATTATAGAAAGGAATTAGTGAAATATGGAAAAAACACCAAGTCAACCAATCGTTTTTTTACTAAGCAAGAAATTATGGAAATGACTGTGGATACTAAAAAACTGAAAACAGCTACAGAAAATAAGGAAATCAAATTTGTAATAGTTGGAGATGGCGCTGTAGGAAAAACCACATTTTTACGAAGGATTGCAATGCCAATGGATATTGATGCATTTATTCCAACAGTTTATGACTTTTATTCATATCAAGCAAAAAACCTATCATTTCAATTGTAGGATAGTGCAGGACAAGAAGAGTAAGTAATCATTTATTTTGAAAATGATTCAGATTTTTAGTTATGACAAATTAAGACCATTGTGTTATCCAGGAACGGAAATGTTCTTGTTGGCTTATTCAATAACTCAAAGAGAGAGCTTTTTCAATATTAAAAAGAAATTCATAAGGGAGGTGAAATATCATGTACCAAATGTGAATTGTGTACTTGTTGCATGTAAAATTGATTTAAGAAATAATCAAGATGTAATGGACAGATTAGCAAAAAGATATGAACAACCAGTCTCATTTGAAGAAGGATTGAAATTAGCCAAGCATTTGAAATGTTTAACTTTTTGGGAAACCTCATCTACAACTGAGGAAGGATTTGAACAAATAGGAGATTTCTTTACAAAATTATATTACCTGAAACATTCTTTGGCCTTCAAAGAAAACAAATCTAAAACTTGCTTTCTTCAATAAAATAAATAACATGATGAACTTCTCAGCAAACAACGAATGTTTAAATGAACAATACCATCTTGTGTGTTTTATTAAGGTCCAAAATTGTTCGCGGTCTACAGGACTCGAACCTGTGCGGGTCACCCCAATTGATTTCTAGTCAATCACCTTAACCACTCGGTCAAGACCGCTGTACATCCAATAAAATAACATAAACAAATTTCTGGCTAAATGAATAACGTATGTGGAAAACATTTCAAGTAAACAAAAAATTTGCCGACACCAGGGATCGAACCAGGGACCTTAAGATCTTCAGTCTTACGCTCTCCCAACTGAGCTATGTCGGCTTCATATTCAGAATATATTCTATCTAGTATTGTTCTTGACTATCTAATTTAAACAGGAATTATTTTGTACATTAGCAAAAGAACACTTCCGTTTTAAGTAAGTTTTTTAAAACAACATTCAAATGCACCAATTAATTTATTATTTATACTATTTCAATTTTCGATTTACCAGTTAATTGTCTTTCATTAAGTGTTTCTAAAATGTGTTAAGATCTCTCTGTCACTTCTCAATCATAAAAAAAATAACACCAATCATCACCAATTTTAATCCTCATCATACGAATCCTTCATGGTTTTCAGCTCATCCTCTAAAGAGGAGGCTTCTCTTCTCCACAACAATAACCATGAACAACAACAACAACACAATTCACCCAGCAACAGTAGTGGCGGGTTCAAATTTTCCCTCTCTTCTCTGATGGGCGCCAAAACCAAAACACAAAATAATAACAATAACACCTCAACTACAATTTCCGCCTCCTCATCAACCTTGGCATCATTGAATAATCCGTATGCTGCCTTTACAAATTCATTCTCCTCGGAGGGAATCCTTTCTAATTTAAATAATATTAATAATAATAATAATGGAAGTACATCAAGTAGTGGCAATAATACACCAAGAAGGAAAATATCAAATCCTAAAGCTATTCCTCTCCTGAATACAGCATTGATTTCTTCGAATTTAATTTCGGAACCAATAATTGATCATGGCACTACTGTAAATTTTGCAACTGCTCAAGTTGATCATCCCAATACGAAACTCTATTCTATTATTCACGAATTACAATTAAATGTAAATTTTAATCAGGGAATGAATAGTGGTAATTGGACTGGATATTTTGAAGGAATATTACAGGAAAATGTTAATAATTTTGGATCACCTGGAATTGTTTCAACAACTCCGAGAGGAAATCATCATGTTATTTCTCAATCAATGCCATATCTTTCAAATTCAAATCCTAATTCACCTTCGTCTTCGTCTTCATTTGGTGAGAAAACCAGAGGATTGAGGAATTTAGTAATGGGAAAATCAATGAATAATTTAGATTTTTCGCCATCATCAATTAGTCAATTTGATGCCTACTTGATGAAGAAGGAAAGGAAATTATTACAAAAGTTTGGAAGATTTCCATATATAAGAATTTCTGCAGTCAAAAGTGGGAATGTTACTCCAAGAACTCCTCGAACGCCAAGAACTCCAAGAGCTAGCCCTCTTGTCATAATGAGGCCAAAGGAAAATACAAGTAATATGGAGGAATTAGTATTGGATGCCGGAAGTCTAATACTTTCACCTAGACCAAGTATGTCATCAACACCAAGATCTGATAGATCATTGGATGGTGATTCACCAATCACTGAATACTCAATTGATGATGTAACATTTCTTGATCGTCCAACAACTGACAATATTACTAACTTGTTAGAATCGAGGTATAACAAAAAGGATCAATCACAAAAGAAATCTCCCCAAGTTTATACTTATCTTGGAGATGCATTGAGTAAGTTTATTCTTTCAAATCAAGTGGTATTAATACTGGGCTAGTTTTTGTAAATCCAAATGATATTAAGGAAACTGAAGGATTGTATAAGAACAGCGTAATGCACTTTTACCACAAGAAACTTCCATTTGCTAGAGCTCCCCATATTTTTTCGATAGCAGAGAATGCATTTAGAACCATGAAAGAAACAAGGCAACCACAAACAATAATTGGTATGTATTTGTTTTAACATTAATTTATGACGTGAAAAATTACAATAGTGAATGGTGAAAGTGGTTCTGGAAAAACGGAGAGTAGCAAACTCATTCTCAAATATTTAACAGTTGTCTCACAAAATGGGCCTTCATCTTACTTTGTAAAACATGTATTAACAGAATCAAATCAACTTTTAGAAGCTTTCGGAAATGCAAAAACTCTGCACTGTGACAATTCATCCAGATTCGGTAAATATACTACTGTTTATTTTGGATTTGGTGATAGAATTGAAGGTGGAAAAATTAGTACAGTAAGTATAATTTAAATTATCAAAACTCATTTCATCCTTTCAGATTCTGTTGGAAAAAAGTCACATTACGAATCAGAGAAAAAAGGAAAGAAATTTCCACATATTCTATCAGCTATGCAGAGGAGCAGATAGATCTATGAAAGAGGAATTCAATCTGCATGATCCATCTGAGTTCTTGTATCTAAACTCTACAGAGACAGTGATAGATGGAGTCGATGATATGCGAGAATTTAAAAAAACAATTAAGAGTATGGATTCAATAGGATTTTCGAGTAATGACCGGAAAGAAATATTCAGGGTAGTTGCAGGAATTTTACATTTAGGAAATATTCAATTTTTGGAAGGTAATTCAAAAGATAGAGCAGAAATAGTGGAAAATGATGCCCTCAAGTGGGCCTCATTATGCTTGGGAGTTCAACCTAATCAACTAAAGCATGCTCTATTGGCACGTACTTTGAATACCGAGGAAAAGGTTGTTACTTTTCAAACTGCTGTTCAAGCTAGATTCAACAGGGATGCTCTGGCGAAAGGTATTTACGAGAGACTTTTTCTGTGGATAGTTCAGAAAATCAATTCAGTAATCAAACCAAAAACAAAGAAAATGGTTACAAAAATTGGTATTTTAGATTTGTATGGTTTTGAAATTTATCCATCCGATAACTCTCTAGAACAGTTGAATATCAACTTTGTAAATGAAAAACTTCAACAACACACATTGAAGCTCTTACAACAGGAGAAAGATGAATATGTGAAGGAAGGAATTTTCAACATGGATCTATTCACCATACTGTCTAAGGAGTTGAAAAAAGATTTTCTCTCTGATTTTGATACTATTAATGATTGTATTAGCTGTATAGAAGACAAACCACTGGGTATCTACTCACTCCTGGATGAAGAAGATTACCTTAACGTTTCAGGTGATGAAAGATATCTTGCTAAATTGAAAGAGAATTTGAAAAAGTCAAATAGTTTCGAACCTGCAAGATTCAAAAGTACTACCTTTAGTCTTAAACATTTTGCAGCTAAGGTAGATTATAACGTTACTGATTGGGTCAAAAAGAACAAGGATACATTGTTCAAAGATCTAATTGATGCCATGTGTAAGAGTTCGTCAGACCTGGTACAAGAACTTTTTAAACCATTAGACGACTTCTATTCAGGAAGAGAAAGCAAACGAAGACTTCAAGAAACCATTGTAAAACAATTTAAACGAGATGTAAACAAATTAATGAACAAGAAACTGAAAGGGAAAATCCATTTCATTTACTGTATAAAACCTAACTATGAGAAGAAGGCACTAAAATTTGACAAGAAATTAATCACCAACCAGGTCAAATGTTTGGGATTAAGTTCAATATCCATATTCAAACAACATGGATTTTTCTTTAAAATGGATTATCCCAAGTTCTTTGCCAAGTATAAAGCACTTAGTCCTAAAACTTGGCCCTCCTCCTCTGCAGATTTTGATATTGAAGAATTGAAATCCAAAATTAGAAGTATTCTGGCAGAAACCAAAATAGAGAGTAACAATTATGCATTTGGAAAAACTGAAATTTTCCTTAAAACACCACTCGATGTTGCTACTTTGATAGATAGATTTGAGCAAATTCAGGAAGCTGTTGCTGTACTCATCCAGAGAAAGTACAGAGAGGTAATTCACAAAAGAGTAAGAAGAAAATCTGAAAAGATTAAGGGACAGCTGACCAGTGTACATGAGAGAATCTACTCAGATTATGGAGAGCATAATGTCGTTCAAATTACCAATGGAAAGTCGATATCAAGGTTATTGGTTATTTCAAAGACAAATATTTGCTTTTTAGAGCCCAATACTTATGAATTGGTGTTTAATTTCCCTCTCTCAATCATTTACAGACTTTGTATGAGCAGATTTAGTGATGGTATCTTTATAATTTGTATGAGAAATTTTGGTGATATCATTCTGGATGTAGAAAATAAGCAACACCTATATCAAGATATCGAATCTTCCTTTCACAAACTAATGGCATCTTTACTGGACTCTTACAAACCAATAAGCATAGAGTTTCATTCAATATTCTATGTTAATCCTTCTGTGCTTGTATTGGAAGATAATGAAATGAAACAAAAAGCAGAATATGAAATATTCTCAAATTCTTTACCAAGAAATAGTAATGGTGATTATCAACACCAAATCAATCTTGAAAATAATGAAGAACCTCCAATGAATGAGAATGGCTATACTGTTCAATTTTTGAAAGACTATACAATAGCAGCTATGAAAATAGAAAGAAGACCTAACAATGAAGGGTTGATAGTTTATGTGAAGCCCAACGAGGATGTCTACTCTGGTAAAAAGAAGAGAAGACAAGGAAGTTTTGATAGATATTTTGTGGGAGACTCTTTGAGATGGAAGGAAAAATTGGGAGAGGACAGAGATATTCTATTTTCTGACCTAGTTGACAAGTATCACAAATCATTTAAAAAATCAGAAAGGTATCTCATTATTACAGAAAGATCCGTCTATTTGGAGCATAAATTCTTAAAGAAGAGAAGAAGGATACCTCTTAGGAAAATTTACAAAATTTCTGTTTCTCCATTCACTGACCACTACTTTTTTATTCACGTGAAGGGAGAAAGTGACGTGCTATTGGAAAGTATCAAAAAGACTGAAATTATTTCAATACTTACTAATACTGTTAAATCTACTCTACCAAGAGTTTTTGAAATTGACATTACAAATACAGTAACGCAAGTGACTAAAAATCCTACACTAGTTCGTCAAGTAATATTTGAGGAAGTTTCATCTCCAAAATCTTGCAAAGTTGAATACACAAAAGCCAGTGAGCCAATCAAAGTCTATATTCATAATGAGGATGTCGTTGATGAGTTTGCCAAGACAATTCTGGATGTATATGGTGGAAAGAAATCGAGAAGAATTTGTTCTCTCAAATCAGCTGACGAAATTGAAGATGCTATATTTATGAGGGAAGTACTAATGAGTGACAATACCACTCCTCTCTTTGTGGCTGAAGTTGAGTTTGTAAATCCATATTCATTGAGCTCAGTCAGAAAGAATATGAGTATTTCTAATAGTACAATATTTTTACTTGGAAAGAAGGGAAGTGATGGTTTAAGAATTGAAATTGAGGAAATCACTTCTATCAAATGTAGCAGTCAATGTGATGATCTATTTGTAATGTTTTGTGGAGATTCGGCATATCTGTTCAACTCTGAGTTAAAGACTAAAATTATTGAAACTCTCAGAGCTGCCAATAGTAAGATACAAATTTTGGTTGAACCTAAATTAATAATTCCATTCAAAGATTTATTTGTTTGGGATGGAGAGATGAGTGTTAGCAGTTCTGAATCTTTGCCTAGCCTTATTGAAAGACCTGTTGAAGTGGAAGAGCCTATGACTCCACCATCAACACCATCTACACATTTTCTTGAATCTCCTCTCGTCAAGAAGAAGGGCACAAATGGATACTTAATTATAGTTGTCCTTGTTGACAGAAATATCTCAGAACCAAAAATTATGTGCAATAATGAACAAGCCAATGCTAAATTGACAATTCGAATTAATGATCAAGATCCTGCCTTTCCTTTTTATCCTCTTTTCTCAAAGAGTAAAAAGGTCTAATAAATTAGAGATCTAAAAGTAATGATATTCCAAAGTTGCACAATAACCAAGTGATGCTGTTAATTTTGGTCTTTCCCATTGTTCAGCCTTAGTAAGTCTATTTTTTGAGCTATCTTCTTGCATCTTTTGTTCAATGTAGTGGATTAATTGATTTCCCTTATCATGTTGAATCATTACAACTTGAATTTTAATGGAATAGGCATCTTCGGTTCCGTCATCGCTTAAAGAGTGCATCTCACCTCCTTCACTATTAACAATAACAAGACCATAAGCTCCTAATCTTTGAGCAATGACTGCTTTTTGTACAAAGGAACATTTTCCTCTAGCTGCAAGAATAATTCTATCGGTATAGTTTGTACTAATTCCTAAATTTGCAAAAGACATTGGTTCCTGACAAATATCCATTGGATTGGCCAATACAACTTCCTTCACTTCTCTACAATTTGTATTCACATAAAAACCTCCGAAATGTGCTGTAGTAAATCCGATATGACCAGATAAATAATGAGGTGAATAAACATGAATAGCTTCAACAAGAGTTGATAGTATCAGGAAAATTGCCCCTATGAAAAGAATGGCTCTAGTATTGATGATCATTTTTTTTGTTATGAATTCCAAAATTATTTAAATAACAAATAGATAAATATTTAATAATAATAATTTAATCATCAAATTCTCCATAACCATAGTAGAGAGCAGATCTCTTATCCTTATCTTTAATTGTGCTGTCGGCGCCATTCTTTAATAAATATTTACAAATTTCTAAGAGAATTAAAAAATTAAATATTTCAATAATAAATTAAACAAACCTTGAAAGCCAGCATACGAAGCATAATGGAGACATGTCCAACCATTTGATTCATTTACCATATTTACATTAGCTTTTCCTCTTTCAATAAGTGATTTGATAATATCAAAATTACAAGCTTCCACAGCTCTCATTAATGGAGTTCTACAGAGGAAATCCTTCTCATTAACCTTGATTCCAGTCACTCCGACAAGAACACTCACAATAGAGGCATAATTTCCACCAACTGCATAGTGAAGGGCTGTATATTTCTCTCTATCTGTAATATTTACATCAGCTCCACGATCAACTAAATAATTTACAATATTCAAATGGCCGTCACGACAAGCCATATGTAAAATAGTCACTTGTGTTGCAGGTTGTTGGAAATTTACATTATAATTTAAATCGGAAACAATAAATTTAATAACATCCAATAATCCAGAACAAGCCACTTCTTGTGGAAGTAATCTCTTTGTTTCAGGACAAATTTCCTCGGTAACATCAAAATTATTAGATGGTGCTGTTTTTAATAATTCAATAATTTGATTTTGATTTTTAGATTTTACACTTTCCCACACCTTTCCAGCAAATGAAGACATTTTTTATTATTGTGAATAATAAAAGATTTAAATCCAATGTAATTCAATACATCTATTCAAAGAGCTATATCTTTGAATTGTCAAACGCTTGCAAATATGTGTTTGAAAATCATCCAATTCCGAGATCGGAATTTGCCATCTTACAATTTTGACACATCATTGAAATGAATTTATTCACGTTTTAAAAAAAAGACAACTACAACACTACCTCATATTATCTCGTCCAGGTCAAGAGAGATTCGGAAAAGATTAAAAAACTGTATTTTAAAAAAGCCTATTTTACAACCATCATTTGATCAATTTAAATTGAACATGACTACTCCACTTTATAAATGTTATGGATGTGATAGGCAGATGAATGCCATTACTAATAATGAAGGAAATTTAGCCTGTGCTTTCTGTGGCTCGGAATTTGTCGAAGAAATAGAATTACCAACAGAAACTGTAACAACAAATACCTCACCAATTCATTCACCTTCTCCTCAAGCAAGTAATATTGTGGATTTAACCAATTTGGATGATGATGACATCTTCTCTCGTGCATTCAGCACAGCAGTAACAACTCCTGAACAAAATCAATCAACTAGAAGTTCCTCATCTACAACCACTACAACAACACGATCTAGAACATCATCTTCGGGAACACCAACTGTACATAGCCAAACAATCTCCATAACAATTGGACCAAATGGTACAACAAGAAGAACAATTACAAATGCAACACCATTCAATCCATTTGGATTTGGTGGAGATAACAATAATAGAGTGGATCCACTTACATCACTATTTGGTGGATTTGGTGGAGACAACAATAGAGATCCAATTTCTTCAATTTTTGATGCTTTAAATAATGCTAGTCAAAATGTGGGAAGTAATACAAATCAACAAGGAACCTTCCCAAGAATAAGCTTTGGACCAACAATGGACTTTTCTAATTTCATGAGACACATTAGACAACCTTTTGGAAATGGAACAACATGGGGAGATTATGTTTTCTCAGATAACTTGGATGACATCATTACTAGAATGATGGAAGCAACTGTTGGTCAAGGAGGAACTCCACCAGCTTCACAAGATGTCATTTCCAAACTCAAACACAGAAAAGCTCAAGAATGTGATTGTAAAGATTGTGCTGTATGTCAAGATCAAATTAAGGCTGAAGAAGAAATAACAGAGCTTCCTTGTGGCCATTTGTATCATTCTGGTTGTGTAACACCATGGCTTGAAAGACATGCCAACTGTCCTATTTGTAGAGCTGAAATTGGAAATGATGGCAGTGCCCTCCCACCACATTCCCACCAACAACAGCAACAACAACAGAATAATCCACATAATCATTAAATTATTTACTATTAATTAATTGTTGGCAGCTTGTGAAAAGATCATGGTGGTTTACCATTTCTTCCCTCCACTCGAAATTTTAAATTCAAAAAAAAAGCCGTTACGCAAAGATGGTGGTGCTAACAAAACTCAAGCACCCTCGCAGTCAGTTTAAACCTCCACTCAAGGACTCCAATAATGGATCATCATCAACTACTTCATCCAAGAGTACTACTACCGACACTACTAGTAAAATAGCTAGTAGTCTAAAACAACAAACTCTCAATTTTCCAACCAAATCATCATTGGAAAAACAGTCACTCGAGTCTTCCTATGAATCTTCCGAATCATTGTCATCACCTTCATCCTCTGATGAAGAAACTCAAGACAAGAAATCAATAGTGAATAATGTTAAAAAGAACATTAACTCTACCAAACCACTCTCCACCAGCAACACCACCACTACTTCTGCACCAATACGAAAGCCTTTCAAAACACCCTTTAAAACACCATTCAAAGATAATGTTAAATCATCATCGTCGAATAGTGTACCCTCTACATCATCAACAAGCAAACCTTCCACCACAAAAAGTAAGCCTCTCCCACAAAAGAAATCGAATACTCACACGAAAGAGAAATATGATAGCGAGTCTGTTACTAGTTCTGACGAAAGTGATTCTCCATCTGAGGAAGATGAAGAACAATCATCAGAGGATGAACAGGAAACAAAGAAAAAGCCAATCACTTCCACACCTCAAAAGAAACCTCTCCTTTTGAAAAAAGCCATTTCTAAAACTGAACCAACACCTAGGACTAATATTGTAAATATGAAATCTTCAAATGAAAAACCTTCTTCTAAGGTTTTTGAAAGTGTTCAACCAACAGAAGTTGAAAAACCTAACTCACAAGAATGTAAGAAACAGCAAGCATCTGAAAACAAATTGAAAGACAAGAAGGATGAAAATAACAACCATAGTGAGGAGACTCAATCTAAAGTTGCATCAGCTCAGTCATCTTCCTTATCACTTTCTTTAGAGAATGAAATGGACAAACAAACTCAAAACAAGACTTCACAAATTTCTGTGGATAAAACAAAGCATTCAACTGCAGCAGAAGAACCTTTAATTTTGGAAATCTCAGACTCTTCCATGTCCCCGCTATTGAAAGATTCCCCACCAAAGAGCAAAGCAAAGAAAAAGAAGAATATAACTTTTAAGGCAATAGAATCGCCTCCAACACAAATTGAAATTACGGATAGCATTCTGTATGAGGATATTTTTACTTCAAAGAAAAATCCTATGGAAGATGAACCAAAGTGGAAACTAAAGAAGAAACAAGAAATAAGGGAAGAACATGTCCCAAGACAAATCAAAATTTCAAAATTTTTCAAGAAGGAAGCTCATGATGAATCAGAGATGAAACCAATCTCAAGTGTAAATAGATCTGTAAATTTATCAAAAAAGAGAAAGGAAAAATCAACCCCTGTACAAAACAGCCCAAGCGTAACCACACCTATCTCAACAATCAAGTCACCAGAAATGAAAAAGGTTAAACCCATCTCACAAACGACCTATACTATGAAAACCGATACTCCCGAGAAGTTGGACCAACCAACACCAAAACTTTATGCAATGGATATTTCTCCTGTTACATCAATACTATCAATTCTTGATAGTCAAGATAGTCAATGCTCACCTCCAGTGATATTGTCCAAACCAAAACAGGAAATAATCGAAGAGGAAGAGGTGGACGAGGCAAGTAGAGAGTCCTTATTACCGTGGTCTCAATCATCACAAATTGAGGATAGTCAAATGATTACATTCTCCCCTGTTTATAATTTGAAATCAGATGAGACACAAATAGATGAAGATACTCGAGCACAAAAGAAATCCTCAATGTCTCTTTCACCGCTAATTGACATTATTGGGTCAAATAACTCACAACAGGTAATAGTGTTGGACTTTGATGAAACACAAATACCTGATACACCAACACACAAAATTAACATACCTTACTTGGATGATGTAAAAATGAAAGAAGAAGGTGAGGAATTTGATGAGGAGAGTACCTCTATTGACTTCTCAGAAAAGGTTTCCATCACACCCCCACTCACTAACACTTCCAAAAAGGATTATCACGTTGGGTTTTTAACTTTACCTTATAGTATTGATTTAGGTGCAACTATTCATGATACTGAACTACCAACTGTCAATATATTTCCATCAGATAATCACATAACAAACCCATCCACTTTGCAACAGCAATGGAATGTCCAACCTAAAAAGCCAATCAAGGCAAAGGCATTTGGAAGAAGACAGAAAGTTTCATTTAGACCAGTTTTCAAAGAACCAATCGTTGACGAGGATGTGAAACCAAAGCAAAAAGTTGACGAATCTGTAATGAATATCATTGCATCACATATTGAATCACAAAACCAACCAAGGAGCGATTCATCTAATTCACTAAGTGATTTGAATAACAATGATGTTTTGAGAACACCACCCTCATTTAGCTCACCCGAGTTGTCACTGTAATTTATTTACAAATTGGGAGTTTCTTTTTACATACATGAATATCATTTAGGTAAATTTCCATTTCAAACAAATTAAAGCCAACAACTCAAAAAAATGAAAAGCCTCCATTTCGTACTGTTTTTCCTTCTTTTATTTTGTATTCTCTTGCTTCTAGATAAAACAACTTGTGAGAAATGTTCTGGTGCAAGATTGAACAGATTTGCCAATAAAGATTGGGTACAATTATTAAGAACAGAAGGAAAAGCCCTTCCAACTAAACCAAAAAGACCCGTTGACATTAATGATGCTCCCCTAAATCTGAAAGACACTGGTGGTTTTGTACTGCAAAGGATTTGCAAACTTCCACAACAAGCTTATTTTCCCTTTCAATAATTCCTTATAAAATTCTTCTTTCTTGAAATCTTCCAATTCAAAGACCAGTTTTTTTGAACCTTCTTTGAAATTATCGAATTTATCCTCTTCTTTCCCTTCACTACCGGAAGAGATTGTCCATAGTACCATCAAATATAATTAAGCGCGTTCCTGTAAAATCCTCTTCTCAACAGATAACAAATTATTAAGGAACAATTTGCAATACATACAGATAGAGATTCACTACAGTGTGCATTGTTTAAATACTGGAGAAACAGCTCTTATCACATTCTCCACAATCAAAAACAAAATGCTCCAAAGCAAACATAGAATCTCACGCAATTTGTGTGCTTTCCTTCTTATTATACTAGGTCTCATCTGCACAACTCTTGTGATGGGTGCTACAGAACACACAAGCCATGGTAAAGATCCACTCCCAAATCATGACTCTAACGATTACAAGTATGAACACTCAAGTGGTTACGTGCTTGTTGATAGTGTTGCTCAAAAACATTACTGGTATTATTTCCAACAGGCTGCCACAAACCCAACCTCAAAGCCTCTCATCTTGTTCTTGAATGGTGGTCCAGGTTGTTCCTCAATGGAATATTTTGGTAGTGGTATCGGTAATGCTAACGTTAGTGTTGATGGAAAGGTAACTTTGGAAGATAACTATTACTCTTGGAATCAATTTGCTAACATTATCTATTTGGATGCTCCAGCTGGAGTTGGTTACAGTTATGGTAATACTAGTTTTTATGCTGTTAACTCTGACGATCAAACTGCTCAAGAATCAAGAACTTTCCTCGTTGAATTCCTTACTCATTATTCTCAATTCAGAAACAGTGATTTGTATATTTCTGGTGCTAGTTATGGTGGTAAATATGTTCCAAACTTGGCCAAGTTGATTTTGGAAGAAAATGTTAAGGGACAATTCGTTATCAATTTGAAGGGTATCACTCTTGGTAACCCATTGATTCACTGGCAACAATCTGCAATTAGTTCAACTAATCATTATGTTTCTCTTGGTATGGCTTCTAAGGTTGCTGCTGATGAAGTTGCAACTGTTTGTGGATGGAATGATCCTGATAATTGGCTCTTCACTGCCTACGGTACTAACAATCAAGAATGTCAAGACAAGTTCAAAGATCTTTATGAAAAAGCCATTAGAGGAATTAATGTTTTCAATCTCTTTAAGGATTCATGCAATACAACCACTAACTTGAACTCTGACGCATGTCACGGAGAACATTTGAAGAGATATATGAATTTGGACTCTGTTCAAACATTCTTCAAGGTTAGAAGTAAGGTTGCATGGGATGCATGTTATCCAGAAAATGGATTTGTCTATGGTACTGACCAATTTGTTAGTGGTCTTCCAACTCTCCAATATCTTTTAGATAAGAAGAATCTCAAGATTTTGATTTACACTGGTGACATGGATGGATCAACTCCAGTTAGATCATTCTATGATGTTATTGCCAAGGCTACAGGTCTTAAAGTTCAACAAAATCTCACTTCTTGGTCAGTTGACTCACAAATTGCTGGTAGAAAGACTGTCTACAGTAATGGATTGACCTATGCTACTGTCAGAGGTGCTGGTCATATTGCTCCACTCGATCAACCAGCCAGAGTTTATGCTTTGGTTTCAAACTTTATTCAAAATGGTGTCATTCCTGACTCTATTACTCTTCCAGAACTTCCAGAACCAGATCAAATCAATACTCCAGAAGTCATTGCTCTCAAGACTCTCTCAATTTTGTTCATTATTTTGACATTTATCTTGACCATTGTTGTCATTGTTTTGGCTGTCTGTTTGGGCGTCCAATGTTCTAAGGTTAGAAAATCTTCTAACACCACTATGGCTTAAAAATTTTGTTCTCTTTTTTAAGCTACTACTTACTGTACATTCAAATTTTCATCAACAATAAACTAAAATTTAAAAATTCATTTCAATTAAAATAATGTTTATTTGAACTTGTGCAATTTTGAAAGTACACAATTACGCTCAAATCCTAATTGCTTAAAATAGACTTTAGGAAACAATAGAAAAAAATGGAAGAAGGAACACAGGAGTCACAGCACTCACTTTTTGATGGTCTTGATGAAGTAGAAAATGGTTTGGTTCATGTTGATGTAGCACTCTCGGGGACTACAGCTAGAAGAGGATCAACAAAATCAACAAGACAAAGGAAAACTAGTAAAGCAAGCGATTTGATGGTAAACATTCCGGAGAGGGAAAGATCAAATTCTCAAGTTTCGGATGATGGTGATTCACAAGATGAGGATGATGAGGAGTTGAATATAGAATCTTCCAAGTTGCCAGATCATGATTTTAAAGCAGAATTGAAAAGCTTGATTTCAGAGGCAATCATGCAAAATGAAGATTCTTCTTTGGAAGAAATACAAAGTGAAAGTGTAGAATCTTACAATGAGAAAAAGTTGACTAGATTTGCTACTTCACAAATTGAATATGCTGAATTATTTGAAGCTGACAGAAAGAAGGGAGATTTAATTTATGATTCTCTCTTTTATCCTCATCATGTCAGAAGTAACTTGTTAATTCAAAAGAGAAAGAAAAAGTCATCCAATCAAAATCCTCTCAGCTCTCCTCACGGTGTTCCTGATTTAAATCTGAATGTAGAGGATAGTGAATTGACCATTTATCACTTGTATTATATGATGTCTATTATCAAGTCTAGACAAGAGATTCAATTGAAGCAATATCTTAAAGGTGATACAAAATTATCTGTCACTGCTTCCACTGAACATGAATATCCAATTTTTACAGACGATTCTATAGAAATTCATGTAAATGATCTTGGAGTTTCCGTTGATACCCTATGTTATTGCTTGGAAAGTAATAGATATTTGGATGAATCCGAAGAAGGAAAAGTGATGAAATCCATGAACAATACCTTCTCTCAAATTGTAATTACTAAGAAAAAGCTAGTTGCCTATTTATCTCTCTACCCTGAATTCTTTACCATTCAAAAACCTAGAAAGAATCTTGATTTAGTATCACTCAATTATTTATGTTTCGGAGTAGAGAATAACCAAACTAGAGAATTAATCAAGTTTAAAGTCAATGGATCCAATATTGAAATTGTAAACATTGAAGATAATAATATTTTGTTATCAATTGCATACAGAAACCTTCCTGAAAAAATTACTCTAGATGCAAATAATGAAGAACATATCAAATCATTGCTCAACATTATCACTGACTCATTTCCAAAAGGCAAATCCTCTTTCAAGATTAGCGTTTTGAAGCGAATACTATTCAGCAAGTATGATTTTAAACCATACAATATCGTCCCATTCATGCATTGTTTCCCACAATTCTTTGAATTGAATAAGAAGGGTGTTAAGGTTAAAAGATTGTATCCTACTGTCATGGATTACAAACCAAAGGTTGAGAATGTCATGTTCTTAAACAAATCCAACTCAAAAGCTGAATCAAAGCCTGTTGAGGGAATGGCTATGTTTGAACTTCCAAAAACTGATTATTCCATAATATTTACTACTGAGGAGAAGGTTGTTGATCAATGGATTCAAGAAAATGTATTTAATCATTTTGGAGAATCAAATGATCAAAAGGTTGTTGTTGGTATGGACACTGAATTCGACTTTTTCAAGTTGAACAAGAACTATCAACTCAATCCAGTACTCCATGAAAAGTTGTGGAAAATTTTCAAAAAGCAACAACAGTTCACAACTACTACTTCCATATCTGTCTATGATGAAAAAGAATATTCAAACTTGAAGCAATTGTACTTTAAGGAATATGAACAGACAGTCTTCCCAGATCTTATCCAATTATCAACTGGTAAATCATGTCTCTTGTATGGAACAAGCGAAGGAAAGGCTAAACCATCAAACCTGTTCGTTGAATTAATGTATGACAAACGCGTTATCAAAACTTGGTGTTCTATGCATGAAGACGTCAAATTAATATCCCTTTGGATTAAACACTACAACATGATTTTAGAAAATAGAGAATTTGAAGGCCTTATTGAACTTGACCCTAGCCAACTTGGTGCTTCAACTCTATGCGAACAACTATTATCCTTAAAAATGGCAAAGGAAAGAACTGTTCAAGTTTCAAGATGGTCAAGATTTGGGTTATCAAAAATTCAAACCAAATATTCTGCACAAGACAGTTACCTAAACTATCTTCTTTATAATATTGTTTCAGAGAATAAGGAAGATTTAACCCAAGTCGAAGAACATGAGTCCATCTCATTTTCTTTGTTTGATCCAAGTATGAGTATTTAATTCAACATTTACAATGTGTAAAGTTTGAGAACATAATTTATTAAGCCATAAAATTTTCTTTTACAATCATAATTGGTTCAAATAAGATTATTTTCTCATCTTTTTTCTCATTTCTCTCTGCTTACGTCTTCTTCTTTCTTCCTCTTCTTCTTTACGATCTTCAATATCTGCAACTCTACTGGCATACTCTTCTTCCTCCTCAATTTCATCAAATCTTGCGTCCATATCAGCATCATCAAAGTCATCATATGATCTCAAGTGCCATTGCTGACCTGGTTTTCTAAACATTGCAGCAATAGATCCAGGCCTGTAATCATCGTAGCCACCTCTTGGAGCATATGGGTTTGGTGGTGGCACATATCTTGGTGTATCGTCATCATATTCATCATCACTGTATTCATATTCATCTTCTTCATCATCATCCTCGTCGTCATCATCAATTTCCTCAATCTTTCTTTTAGAAGCAGGAGGTCTCATATTCGAAACTGGCTTACCTGCACCATTTCTAGGATTATTACTCATTGTTGATGAGCGTGGTGGAACCATAGCATTTCTGGAAGTTGCTGGTGGAGGACCCCTCATTTGATTTGGTCTGGTTGGTGGAGCTGCCTTCTGTGGAGGTGGCTTCATTGGAGGATGTTTTTGGGATGAACGTTGTTGAGTTACTGATCGACTTGGTGCTTGTTGTTTTGAAGTGGTTGTTGCTGATGATTTTTGGCTACTAGTTGCTGAAGATTTGCTTACTGAACTTGATTTTGGTTTAGCTGTTGTGGTAGTACTTGAAGTTTTTGAAGTGGTTGTAGTTGATTTTGCAATTTTTGGAAGAGTTTGAGATGGTGGAGTTGCTTTTGGTTTTGCAGAGGTTGATGATGCTTTAGCACTGCTATTGCTTGAAGATTTAGAAGTACCATTACTACCATTACTACTACCACTACTAGTAGCAGAAGATGATGATCCATTTTTCCTCATTGATGGCAGATCGTCATATCTCGGAAGTGGAGGATTGTTATGTACATTAGATTTTGAAGTTTTTGATGTTTTTGTTAAATTTCTACTACTTCCTGTATCTGCAACATCTCCAACACGTTTTCCACCATTTGCTTCGGCTTTTTTCTTTTCATTCTCTGCCTTTGTTTGTCTTCTTTTTTCCTCGGATTTTAATTTACGTTGTTCCTCAACATATGAAGCTTGTAAATGTGGTGGGACAATTACTTCTTCATAAATCATGTGTTTTGCAATTGCTTCAGGATCAAATCGAGGAGGTTTTGTTTCTCGTTTTTGTGATGTTGGTGGTGGCTTTGGTGGATTTTCTCTCTGCATTTTCATTTCCAAATAATTAGCACTTGTTATTTTAGGTACTGCTTTAGAATTTTGTTCATGTAACATTTTTAGATACTCCATGCTGGCACTGAGTGATTTTCCAATACCATCCTCTTCTTCCACAGTGTTTCGGGATGGATGATCATCACGATGATAGGGACACATTTTTTTGTGTATGGATTGTGATGGAAATTTTAAAAATAAATAATGTTCATCCTTTTACTTTTTACAATTCCTTTACATGGAGGAACATTCATAAATATTCGTCAAGTAGCAGTCCATACATTTGGATATTATGTGAAGATTTTAATGAAAATTTTATATTGCCTTGTTTTTTTCATCCAATTTTTGTACAAAAATTTATGATTTTTTTTTTGGCGCCAAAATAAACCGTTTCACAACATTTATAACACAACAAAAAAAAACAAATGCTCACCAACAATGGATTTGCTTCAATGTCTGCTCCTAACATCAAGGCAGCCACAAATAATGGTGCCACGATAATGATGAATGATCACAACAACAAGGAAAATCCACGATCACATCCTAATATACAGCATAATAATGGCTTTGCTGTTCCTCCAAAAAAGACAAACTCTACACTCACCACAACAGCAAGACCATCATCAGTTAATAGCAAAGCCACAACCTCAAAAGTAAATAATAGTATAGTAGAAAAGGTTAACAACTCAGAGGATGAAGTTGTTTATCCTGATCATCCTAGAAACGATTGGACTATTAATGATTTTGAAATTGGTAAACCTTTAGGTACCGGAAAGTTTGGTAGAGTTTATTTAGCCAGAGAGAAGAAATCTAAATTCATTGTTGCTCTCAAATTACTTGATAAGAAACAATTGGAGAAGGAAAAAGTGGCTCACCAACTCAGAAGAGAAATTGAAATTCAATCACATTTGAGACATAAGAATATTCTTCGTCTGTATGGCTATTTCTATGATGAAAAGAAAGTTTATCTGATATTGGAATATGCTCCAGGTGGAGAAATGTATCACTTCCTTCAGAAATGTACTAGATTTTCAGAAGAACAAACTTCCAAATTCATGTATCAAATGGCCAGAGCTTTGAAATATTGTTCTGCAAAACATGTTATCCATCGTGATATCAAACCAGAAAATCTCTTATTGGATGGCAATGGTGAATTGAAGATTGCAGATTTTGGTTGGGCTGTTCATGCTCCAACAAGTAGAAGAAAGACACTTTGTGGTACATTGGACTATTTACCTCCAGAAATGATTGAGAAGAAAGCTCACAATGCAACTGTAGATTTGTGGTGTATTGGAGTTCTGTGTTATGAATTTTTAACAGGAAATCCACCATTCTTTGCACAAGATGATAAGTCAACCATGAGAAATATTGTTGCTGTAAGATATTCCTTCCCTGAATACGTAGGAGATGAGGCAAAAGATTTAGTAAGAAAACTTCTTGTTAAGGAGCCATCCAATCGTATCACACTTGAACAAGTTCTCAAACATCCTTTCATTATTACATACAATAAGAATAAGGACGAAATGTAAATGATTAAATTAATTTTTTGTATATTTATTTTAAATTAGTTGTGCTTCTTTTCATCAAAAACGTCAATATCGGTAAGGTGTGGTGCTGTCTTCAACTTCATAAGGGCAACAACAGAGACGACGAGCCAGAAAACGAGGAAAAGACCAATTACAGTAGCAACAGCAATTTCAGAATCAATGTACATGGTGTTGAGGGTACCATTGTAAACACTTGTCATATTGTAGACTTCAACAGTAGCATAAACACTGTAATCATGTTGAGCATCACTAGTAGAAAGAATGTGACGAGAATTCAAACTAGAAACAGTTGGCTTTTGAGCAGAGAAGAGAGCAACATAGTCACCTTCAGTCAACTTGTCCAAATCAGCAACAACGTTTTGAATGACAGTATCATACTTAGCCAAAAGGTCTCTAACCTTAGCATCACTACGATGAACATCAGCAAAAACGAAAAGATACTTTCCACCCTTCTTAAGATAATTTTCTGGGGAAGCAAGGAAATCCTTCAAAGCAACACTACCAGCAACATTGCTATCAGAAATAGTGAAAGTAAATTCGGATGGCAAGACTGATTTAACTTCTTCTTCAGAAATGTTAGGGAATGAAGCACTTGGACCCTTCATGGCCTTCTTCAAGAAAGCAAAAGCGTTATTTTCGTCTGGTTTGATAGAAAAAGCTCCAGAGTTTTCCAAAAATTCATCAGAACCGAGCTATTATTATTGTTGTTGTTGTTCGTTGAATCCGCAAATTATTATTCACTTACTTGATGATGCAAAAAGACTGCAACTGTGTTGGTTGAGGATAATGTGTCTTTCAATGAAGTAAATTTCGACATTTTAATGTCTCTCTTTCCGCTCCACACTAAAGCAGGTACACTTTCCAAAGCATTGGCAAAAGCGATCACGACAGCCACTAATAAAAGGGCTACAATGGTGCTGGTCTTCATTTTTTATTTAAATTTTTTATTCATTTTTCTAAAATATTTTTTGGATAAACAAACGAATATGGACCGGAAGTCTTCATCTCCGGAGTCATGGAAAACAATTAGACAATGCTATTATTATTGTTTAAATGAGTAGCTTTAATGGAGAAAATAATATCTTCTACAGTTTCTTCTATTAAGTGTTAGATAATAAATTTACAGCACGAATTAAATGATGACGATTGATTGACTACTGTGTTGAATACATTTAAAAATTAAATTTTAATTAGGTTTGTATTTGGATAATATTCAAATTATTAATAGTGTGTTGAATCGTCAAGTCATGTTGGTTCGGATTGAAGAAGAGAAAAAAGCTTATTGCTCCACATTCCATCAACAAGTTTTAATCACATAAAAAAATGCCTTCAATAAATAATGACAAAATGAATTCATACAAGAACTTGAGTGATGAGTCTGATGATTCTGATGACGATTATATTAAAAGGAGAAGAAGGGAAAAATATGCTAGTGATGAAGAGGAAAAACCGATGAGAGATCATAATAATACTCGTAGGGAGTCTCCAAATAGACAACCAAGACAACAACAAAAACATCATCAACAACCTCCAAATTCTCCATCATCAAATTACCAAAAGAGAAAAAGAGGTGATGACGATCATGTCGATTCTCCATCAAATGAATCCTCTCAAAAAAAGAAAAAGACTGACGATGATTGGGACTATGAATCAGATCCAAGACAAAAGATTATTCATCAAATTATTTCAATTTGCGAGTTTAAACCAAGTGATGAATTATACGAAAAATTGAAAGAAGTCTCTACTCGTATTACTACAGATCTGGAGGATGATTATCAAACTAATATCACTACTATTTCAGATATCCTCATGCAATGGTATGTTTTTAATTTTATATTTTTACTAAATTGAATAGTGTTGCTGATTTCCCTGTCAAGTCATCTTTATATGCAATTGTAATTGCTCTTATTAATAACAAATTACCAAAATTTGGAGAGCTTTTGGTTAGTTTAACTGTGGAACATGTCATTCAAAGCCATAATAACAATGATTGGATTCGTGTTAAATCACTCCTAAGATTTATTTGTGAATTGATGCATTTCAAAGTTGTTGCTGAATCTGACATTTATCAGATCTTTGATACATTTATTGACTTGTCGGTCAAGAATGCAGAAACTTTAATTGGAATGAATTACATGTATGTCATATTAGGAGCTCTTCCTTGGGGTATTGAGGCATTCAAAGAAAATTCTATTTATTTATCCGATATTTCATCCAAACTAACAAAATACTTTGAAGTATACAATCAAAACGATTTTGGATTATATCAAGTTTACAAAGGTCAAAAAGACTGCTTGGGAGCAATGTGGGATCAATTCAAGTATTTCCTGTCTAACCAAACAGAAACAAAGGTAATCAAGAGTTTATTGAGAGCTCATATAAATGTTACTGAATCAGATTTGAGCGATGGAAGAGCACACAAGCTTGAAATACCTGCTGGTTCTTTAAATGATGTAGCAACTAAGGACACTGATTTTTCTAAGGGTTATTTATTTAAATCAAGACTAGGACTTTATGAATCTATGATACCAAACTCACTTCATTTACTTTCACCAATTGATAGATTAGTAGTGGAGGAGTATATATCAGATTTTCTTTATTTCTTTAATGGATCTCACAGAGATTGTGTTAATCGTTTATATATATGGGCTGGAGATCTTGCTACTTTGGCTTTCAAGAAGGATACCTCAGTTTCCTCTCCAAAGAGCATGGAAGAAAAAGAACTTGCTATTTTAAACGATTTAGATCCAAGTGGTGAATATTTCCAACATATGGCTATGGATATTATTCTAGGTGCTATGTGTTGTCTTCCTGCTCCACCTGTTAAAATTCATTTCTACAATGTAGTTGTAATAGGATTGTGCTTGCAGAAATGTACTAAGGATAATTTTTCAAGAGAAATTGTCAAAAAGTACATTAATTATGTATTTGAAAATATTGATGATTTTGATGATGAATGTTGTATGCAAAGATTTACATCTTTAATGTCCTATTATTTGAGTCAATTCGATTGTAAATGGTCTTGGGATAAGTGGTCATTCATTTTCAATGATCCAGATTCATCAACCAATAAGAGAAGGGAGCAATTTATAAGATTGGTACTCCAAAAAACCTTGCATGTGACTTACATGAATAAGGTCAAAAGATCTATTAAAGGATCTTCAAACTTGACAGAAGATAAGTTTGATGATGATTCTAGATATAATGAGGACGAAGATTTGACTGATGTACCTTTTGCTAAATTCTTACCATACTCACCAGATGCTACATTTAAGTATACTCCAGATAGTCCTTATCACGCTGACGCTACTAAATTACTTGATGCAATCAAGGGTAAGAAGAAGGATAACACAGAAGTTATAGAGCTCTTCTCTACTTTAGACTGTAAAGATGATAAGATACTTTTACTGGATATTTTCATTAGTTGTATTTTATCTAATCAAAAGAATCTTACTGAATTCAGTGATTTACTGACATACTATAAGGAAGCTATTTCACAACTCATGGATTTTGATGTTTTACCTCAAAGAGTGAATATTATTAGATGTCTTTGGAGGTATTGGCACAAGTCTCCACAAAGAATTATTCTTTTAATGAAGAAGTTACTTCTCCAACATGACATCATTTCCTGTCAGAGCTTGGCAAATTATTTGTTTACCGATAACGAACTATTGTTTTCATATGGTTATTCATGGGATATTCTTAAATCATGTTTGGACACTCAAATAACTAGAGCTTTAAGAGCTTTCGAATATGGTGATGATTCCACAAGCACAAGTGATACAGTACCAAAGATAAAGAAGGATAATCAACCATCAGATCATTTTGATCTCGATAAGGCTGTTAAAGGTTTGGATTCCATGTTTTTTAAAATGCTACTTGGAGAAATACGTGAAACTGTCTACATTATTACTAGGCTCTTGACAGAAAAACTTCTCACCTATGATAATGTCAAAAGTTGGGAATTTAATCACTTGTACGGATTATTGAAAGAAGTTGCAAGACTTTACCAAGTCTATGTTAAGGATTTACAGGGTTATGTGGAGTCAATTCTTTCAGAATCAAGCAATACCATTGTCAAGGAACACTTGCTTTCACTCTTCAAGGGTTTGAACTTTTTCAAACATACTAGTGTGTTTGTTCCAGCTGGTTCAAAGGCAACCACCCCAAGATATGAGAGAAGATTTGATCCAATTCTTCAAACCAAGAATTATACCATATTGGATACTAGACATTCCATTCATGATTTATTAATCCAAGAAATTCAACGAGTGGAAAATGAAATTCCTGTAATTATTACCAAAGACCACCCATTGTGTTCACTTCTCCTTCCTCCACTTTCTGACACAAAGAAACCAGAAACTGTTGATGAGGAAATGAAAAATAACCAAACAACTAGTGGAGAGCAGCAATAAATTTGGCGCCATATTTTTAAATCAAAAAATTCAAATAAAAAAAATGCAACAAAACCTTACACAACCTGGAAAACTCTCGCAACTCATTGAAGAATGGAGCAAGAGGGAATTACACCTAACCGAAATACCACAAACATTTTTTATAAGAGAAGTGTGTAGAGGAAATATGATTCCGATATGGAAATTTCTGATCACATATGTGCATGATCCGAAAACTGTGGACCATGTTAAAAAGAATTTGATGTTGTAAGTAATTGGTGTGATTTCTTATCATACATTGGGAATTAGGAGTGGAAAAAAGGTTCAAAAATCATTGGATGTCGAAAGAAAAAAGAGACAACAACTTGTCAAACAAATTGAAGAAGTTAAATCAAGGATAAACGAAATTAAAGCTAAAGGAATACCAAACACTGAATTTGAAATTATGGAACTGAGGAAAAAAATCAAAGTACTTCAATCATCTGTACAGAATCAAAAGAAACAGGAAGACCAAACTACAAAAGAAAATTTCTTAGTTAGAGCTTTTGAAGAAAAGTGTAAATTTGACACTTCCGTGTTGAGTGAATATAGCCAGAAATTGGCCATATCGTATGACACAATGAAAAGAATTAACAATGTAAATATTAGCGAGGTTAGAAAAATAATAGAAGAATTTGTAAATACTTGTGTTAAAACTTTGAGTAAGGAATTGAATATAGATATCAGTGAGATTGATTTTGCTTCCCTAAAAATCAAAGAACTGCTTACTCCACAGATTTTGGAACATGCTCAAGAAATACTCAAAGAGCAGTCGATATCTATTCGCCACTCGTTTGAGAATTCTCACACTCTTAAGGATGCTGACAAGGAGAGGATTCAGCAAATTGAAAATGCATTGGAGGAGGAAAGAAGAAGACATATCACCAGATTTTCAGAAACTCAATCGTATGTTATCAAGACAGTACACTATTTTAATTACATTACTAGTTTGTCTAATATCTCTCAAGACCTTAAGATAAAATTTGAAAGGCTAAACGAGGAAATAAGAGAAACAGGACTCACCATCTTTGGTGAGAAATCAATTTATGTTGAGGAAATGAGAAAAAATGAAATTGAACTTTCTCAATTCAGAGCAGTACGAGCTGTACTAGAGGATTATATTGCTTGCCTTACAGAAGAAAGGGAAAAAAGAAAAATTGTAAGACAAAGCCTTCCTGTCAAACAACAAGAAATCAATAGTCTGAGACAAAAACGAATTCAAAAATATGACAAGGTTGAGACACTAATTCAAGAAACCAATACATTGGTGAATATTTTGCCTCAGAAACAAGAACAAGTTCATATGTTTTTGCAAGACAGAATACCACCAATTACAGAACCATTCGCTAATGTTTTGGAGACATTTGGCAATATTGTTGAAACTGAGTACAATACTGTTTCTAAAATACCATTGGACTATATCATACACACAGATTATGGAGAGAAACGATTATTAAGGAAAGATCTTTCGATATTTGCCAGAGAAGAGCTAGGAGGGAAACTGAAAAAAATACTAGACATTTTAGAATTTCCTGAACATAAGGCGATTGACCATGTTCTTACTCATGCAACAGATATGAAACAAGAGTTGACTGTTCTAGAAAATGAAAGAGAGAATTTGAAAGAACTAATTGAACATATGCATGCAGTAGAGCAAGGAGTTGATTCATCTGCCATTCAACAGGTTATTGAGGAAAATCATGAACTAGAAAATGCACAGAACGAACATTGGACTGGTTTGATTGACAGAACAAAAATGGAGATTGAAAATTTCAAAGAGGAAGCAGAGAATGTACACAATTTATCTGAAGTGCTTTTACACAATCCAGTTATCCAGAAAATTGACTGGAATTCATTATTAAACAATTAGTTGGTTTTTGATTTACCAAAAAACTTCAGTAATTTGAGTAAGATAACAGTTGCAATTACTAATGGAAGTGTGAATACTGAAATAATGGTTTTGATAGTACTATCAGTGTTATCTTCGACTGTTGTATTATCCAATTGATTTAAAAAGTCTGTAACAGAACTTTCAGTTGGTGTAGAAACAACAGTAGTTGTTGGCTTTCTTATTGGTAATGATGGTAGGGCTCTTGTAGTTGGAGATGGTTTTCTGGCCTCAGTAGAGACTGAAGTTGTAAGAGTTGGTGAAATTTCAATTTCAGGGGTTCCAGGTGTAAGTTTCAGTTTTCCATCACCACTTGGAGAGGTGGCTTCTTCTTGGATTATACGAAGATCTTCTTCGAATTGTTCAAGCAATTTTTGTTCTTCTTGTACTTGTTTTTCCATTTCTTTCATTTGTTGTTTGTTGAAAAGAGCCTTTTCGTGGAGTTGTGTAAGAGAACACAAAATTAATTTCTTATTCTTTTGAAGGAAAACATCTTCAAATGTGAAAAGCAAATCTACTGGAAATCCATCAACTTTTCTCAATCCTGCCAAAAACAAAGCCATATTATTCTTGGCATTAAAAAGATAATTACTATTGAAGGCCTTATCACTACTGAGTGAGAATAATTGTTGATCAAATTGATGGACCTTTTCATAGGCAATATATGTTGGGAAATAGTGTTGCAATAATTTACATAAAACAAGTCCATTTTCTAAATTGTAATAGAAATTACGAGAGCTTTCCTTCTTGGAAGCAATATCCGGTAATAATGAAGGTGATGATTTTACATCCAAACCACTGTCCTTTTTAGCAAATTTAATTCCTAAACTATTTTCGATCCAAGTTTGTAATTGTGTTTCAACTTCATGAAATTTATCTTCCTTGATATCACGTAAAGGACTAATATTCATAATAAATGTTTGCGAAAGGGAATCTGATCTTGTATGAATTGGAGTCATTGGAGAAGAAATATTTGTTAGTAATTTATTCTTTGGACGTAATGGAGTTGGGGTATTGCTATTACTGTCAACATAATCAAAATCATCATCCAAAGAAAAGTTTTCATTTCCTCCGAACGTAACGCCTTGTGATGACATTTTTTAAAGATTTTAAAATCAAATTTATTTTTGGCGCCATTTTTTTATTTAATTAATAATTATTAATAATATTTAATAGTTAAATATTATTCGTGATGGATTCTATCATATGAATTTAAATCGAAGGATTGGAAAACATTGAAGTTTTACAATTTCCTTCCGATTATTTAATCAAAAAAATGCAAGCACTTCTACCACTGAGTGAAGCTCTTGGAATTTTGCTCAACACAAAGTTTAAACAAGTCACCAATATAAATTCCGATAAACATTCATTGTTTCATGCTTATAGTTCATGGTCCTATTTTGTAAAATCTAAATTGATTTCTGGTGGAGAGAGTACTGATTATGAAACAATTTTAAATGACAAACAATACGGAATTATTTTCATCTTGTTGGATAATTTAGTTGAAAAATCGTCAACTCTCAAATATCAACATAGTTTTCAATTATTGTGTGATTGTTTTTATAATGATGAATCTATTAATGATTTCGTATTTGGATTATTTATTCATATTTTAAAAAAGAAACCTGAAGATGAATCTGCTACAAGAATTCAACAATATAAATATTCTATATGTAGATTTATTACAGAGTTCATATTGGAAAAAGAGTTCGAAAAAGAGGATAAACCTAAGTTATTAATTGATAGTAATGAAACCATTCTTGATAGATTTGGGGATGACAAGTTGTCTAAATTGATGGAATATCTTTGGATTATTACTCGATACGAAAGTGTAACGATGGATGGTAGAAGATTTGCTACAATTTTAACATCATCCTCAAGTGACCTTTTATTAATTTTGGGATATTTACTTTCACAAAATCAGAATGAAATCCTTTTCAAGCAATTTGAAACATATTTTAAATTAACTAGTGAGTTATTGCATTGGTTTGAAAATCAGAGAGATTTATACACAACCTCTCTCAAATATCTTCACAGTAGACTGAAAGAGATTTCATCTATTGTGTCAATAGTTAATAATTTAGAGAGAAGTTCCCGAGAGGATGATCAAAATAGGGCAAAAGATGGGCGAAACATGTCCCTCAGATCATTTTCCTCTTTTTTAATAATTTATGGATTTTTAATGGTGGAAAATCGTGAACATTTTGAGCATTACATCAAATTTACAACAAAGATTGAGGGTTCTAGTTCTAAGCATGACTATTTATTTGATTATCTGATGGCTATATTACTGGAGCTTGAAAAAACTGAAAATGAGACAGAAATACTCCACAATTTAGTATACCTATCAGCAATACTAGGTAAAATGAAAAAGAAAGAACTAAAGAAATATTTGGGAATGAAGGTAAAGGGAGAAAAGGAAACCAAAACACTCTATGAAATAATTATACATATTACTAATAACAAACTGGTAAGTATCCATTCTCTTTATTAAACCATTAATACTTGGAATAGTTTAAAATCAATTCGGAAAATATTGCGAGAATAACAATTTATTTATATAAGGAAATGGTAAATTATACTGGAGAAACCAATGACAGAGGAGCATTTATTGATATGGTAATGGAAATGCTTGAAAGTGATGATATTGTTTCTAAGGCAGTCATACTTTTTGTTTCAGATATTATTAGTACTGATAAGAGTCAAATATATTCTATTTTCAAACTAGTTGAATCTGACAATGAAAAGGCAAAGAAAAATGGACTTGTAATTCTTTCTGAAATATTCAACTCTACCGATATTGATGAAGAGCTTTCTCATACAGTCACTGATTATTTAATCAATAAGCTTTCATCAGATGATTTATCTATTAGATCGTGTACTGCAACAGTATTTTCGAAATTGGATTTCAAATATATTGCAAACAGAATTATTCCACTATATGTCTCAAAGAATGAGAAAGAGAGATCTGCAGCCCATGAAATTTTGACTAAACTAATGGAGAGCAACACTGAAAATCCAAATATTTTCATGAATGTTGTAAACTCTATCAAAGATTTACCAATTTATGAGGATCCTAATCCAGATCAAACCAGAAAAAACATTGCAGAACGAGTTATGACATTTATTCCAAAGTACTTTGCCCATCTTTCTCCAAATTCTTCAAGACTTTTGGTAGAAGAAATAATCACCACATTTTTTGAATCTAACACCAATTCTCTCTTAGTGTTTATGATGAATAAGATTTTGAGTTTTACACTCTCTGTGGAAGCACCTCAAAAGATTCTTTCAAGTGAAGATGAATACATACTGAACAATAAGAAAGATACCTTGTTGGGCGTTCTTGCAAAAGTGTTGGAAAGGATAAACTGTCCAAAAATAGAGGAAGAAACCATCTTTGATATGCTAGCACCACTACTTGTACTAAAGACTTTACCCGTTTCAATATTCTACTACATTCATCCTAATGCAGAGCATGATAAAATATTCACAGAAGTTTTGCTGATAATGATTAGAAATGTGATAGATTTGAGTAAACCAGAAGAGGTAAGAAGAGTCTCTGCTGAAGTAGCTTCAAAACTACCACCCAGAATTACAATTTCCTCATTTGTTGCAAGGTTTTCCAACTATTTACAAAAGAACTCATTGACCAAGGCTAAGTCGGTTTTATTTTGCATTTGTCAAACTATAGCTCTATACGAGGAGGATCCATACTTGTATTCTTTTCTTACTGGCGAATCTCTCTTAATTCAATCCATTAAGAATGCCTGGAATTTACAATCCAACGATCAAGAATTATCAAAGATACATCAAGGATGTATGGATTGTATGGTTATGATTATCAAGTATATGCTGAACTACAGTCACTCTGATGGTAACTTTATTTCAGATAATATTCTCAAACCATTGTCAAATAATTCAGAAAGCATGATGGTTAGAGTATCCATTTCCAATATCATAACAAAGTGCACCAATGTATTCCCTCTGAAACATTTGCTTTCACTTTCTAGTATGGTTATACCAATTTATTCTAAAGTTTTACTTTTAAAGAGAGAACCAAATGCTGAAACCTCCCTCTTCTACTGCTCAAGTCTTCAAGCATTGATGAATTTGGTTTTCAAAATCAAGACTGCTGTTCATCCATATTCCAAATCATTGTTAGAAATTATTTCCAAGTGCTTGTCAGAGTCTGATCCTAACATTCGTCACTTCTCCCTAAAGCTCCTTAGTTCACTACTCTTTGCAAGAGATGATGTACTAGTGGATCATCAAACAATCTTTGAATTTGAAATTTTAAAGAAGGTTAAGGGAATGGCCTCTATTGAATCAAGTTTGGAAGTTCAAAAGCTTGCCAATGAATTGTGTAAAATAATGGGACTATGAGACATTTATTCACTGAATCTCTAATATTTCCCGCCAAATTATTGCTCAAAATAACTACATAAAAAAATGTCAGACTCACTCCTCAAAATCAAATTGCAAAACAAGGCAAAGGAACAACAGGAGAAGGCCATTCAAGATAGAAAGAAGGGAATATTGGTCTTGATGATAAGACACTTATTTGATAATGGGTTGGTATCACTCTTATTGAAATTGTTAATCATTCTTTAAAGGTATCTTGACACAGCTGAGAGAATGCAATCGGAAACAGGAATATCACTCAAAAGGTTTGATGCTGCTGATAATATGGATCTCAATAATATTATGATTGTATGTTTATTTTTGTATAACTGAGTTCATAATTGTTTAAGGAATTTGAAGAATACTATCAAATGAAATTTATGAAGAAACCAAAACTTTTCCGAAAACTACAATCTGATGCTGATGATACTCCATCAAATATACCACCAAGTTCTAAAACAGCTCCATCCTCCTCTGCAACAGCAAAAACATCAAGAGCTGCAAGTGGAAGCTCCTCTTCTTCGGATCAAAAGGACAAACCATCAGTAACTTCAAAAACAGCACCATCATCATCTACAAGAAAAACACCTACAACTATTACAGGAGCAAAAACATCAGCTAAGGATAATAAGGACACAAAAGAAGATAATGAGAAACAAAATGAAGGATTTGATATTTCAGGAAAAAAATTGGATACTACAAAACAACAACAACAAAAACAAGAAAAGAAGGAAATTACAACCGAGGAAAATGAAGAAGACTATTATGAGGAAAGGTTATTGAAACCTCTACCTGAAAATTTATTCTTTGGTGATATGAGAGAACTTGCAGAAATGATTAGAAGAGAAATCATTGTCACTAATCCAATGGTACATTGGGATGATATTTCAGGATTACATTATGCCAAACAAATGGTTAAGGAAGCAGTTGTCATGCCACTTAAATATCCTCAATTCTTCACAGGATTGATAACACCTTGGAAAGGAGCTTTGTTATTTGGGCCACCAGGTACTGGTAAGGTAAGTTTTTGAGAATTGAGTTTAATGTTTTGAAATAATTATTCAGACAATGTTGGCTAAAGCTGTAGCAACCGAGTGTAAAACCACCTTCTTCAATATATCTGCATCCTCAATTGTGTCAAAATGGAGAGGTGACAGTGAAAAATTAGTCAGAGTACTTTTCCAACTTGCTAGACATCATGCACCTTCTACAATTTTTTTGGACGAATTGGACTCTATTATGAGTCAAAGAGTTTCAGCCACAGAACATGAAGGTTCGAGAAGAATGAAAACAGAATTATTGATTCAAATGGATGGTCTGTCGAAGAGTAATGACCTTGTATTTGTGTTGGCTGCTAGTAACCTTCCTTGGGATTTAGATCAAGCTGTTTTGAGAAGATTGGAAAAGAAAATCCTTGTAGGCTTGCCAGATAAGGATTCAAGAAATTCAATATTCAAAAATTGCCTTACTCCTGAAAGAGCCAATTTGACCGAGACTCAATACCAAGATTTAGCCGAGAAAACAGAAGGATATTCCGGATCTGATATCACACTTGCTTGCAAGGAAAGTGCCATGATTCCTGTAAGAAAAATTTTCAGTCAACTAGAAAAGTTGGATGCAAAAGCAACGAATGCAGCAGATAAGGTAGTTTTAGATAAGGTAGAAATGAAAGATATCGAATATTCTCTCAATATTATCAAACCCAGCGGAAACCAATATGAAGAGCAATATAATAAATGGCAACAAAAATTTGGAATTTAATTTACAATCCCTTATTGAAGTAGAAAGTGTTAACCTTTTCTCCCTTTGTGTTAGTAATATTATGGAATTGTGGTTCCAATTCAGTAGCAGAAACTGGACTGATTTGTGGATAAATACCAATACCCAAAGGCAAGAAAAGACCAATAAATACAGTTAACATGGCCAAGTTAGTCAATTGCTTAGACATGGCAGACTTCAAAATACCTCTAGCTTCCAAAGAGTTCATCAAAATTGGTTGAACAATCATACTAGGAGCAATCAAAAGAATTCTTGAAGTAATTGTTTGAGCAACACCCATTCTACCAGCAACTGCTGACTTTCCGTAAACAGTTCCGTCTTGATCCCAAACTGTGATACCTTGTGTCATTTCTTCTCTTCTCATCATACCAATGTTCAAAACGTTAGCAACAGCAACAGCTGTGAATGGAACAATACTCAACAATGTACTCTTGAGAACTGGTTGGAAAGTACTTCTCTTAACCCATTCATTCAAACCAATTGCAGTACCAACTGAAGAAGTGACAGCAACAATATAATTCTTGAATAAAGTAGCATTACTAACTTCATTGGAAGCATTACGATTGGCATAATTGACACAAACGTTACAAGTTTGATTGACAGTTTGCCAGAAAATGGTACTAGGAATACTACGAGCACTCAACATACCAGAAACAATCAACAAGTTCATAGGAACAAAAGCACTCATACGGAATGCTGGGAAAATTGGTTCCTTAGTATCTGGGTGAATTGATGATTGTTTAAGTTTCATGGCCTGGTAAATCTTTTCTGGTGCGTATTTTGGTTCACTTTGTAATTTCTTTTCATCGGTTTCTGCTTTATATTCATCCAAAAGAGAGATGGCACCCTTCAAAGTTGAATTAGTTACCAACAAGGTTCTTGGATCGGTAACATTGAAGAAGTGAACAACTCTTCCCCAGTATGTATCTTGATCGTATCTACTTTTATCAACGTTGATTTTAGTAAAGATTTCTGTTGGTGTTGTTGTGCTCATTTTTTTGTGTTAAAATTTTAATTTATGAAATTTTTAATTTTTCAAAATTATTCAGCAGGAAGATGGTGATGCGGAGATGTGAGAAAGCCGACACAATTTTGAGTGGAACGCTGTTTACAATAATTGATTGGTCTCAGGTCTTTATTTAGTTGAATTATGGGTCGATTTACAGTTTCTTTGTTGAGGTTATCTTTATATTGAAATTATGATATTCGAAATGAATGAAAATGAATGTTTCATTCGTTTCTGTGAAGCAAAGTGAAGAGTGAATGAAAAAAGGCTTGAGGAGGAGTTAATACAAATAACTAGAAAAAAATGTCTCAATCAGCCCGTGAGCAATCTTCATCGATGAATCAAATCTCAACCAGTGAGGCTTTAAATTCCTTGCAAGGAAATGAGGATGTGTTCGAAAATTTATTAATCACTCTGAGAAGTAGGTATCACCAATCTGTTTATTTGGAATTATTCTAATCATTTTCCAGCACTTCAAATGCAAAACAAGCGTTTGATCGATTTTCAAATATCAAGGTAAGTTTCTTCACAAATTTTCAAAGGCTAAAATGTAAAAAGTTACAAGTGGCATCTTCAACATCATGACAATATTAAAAAGATAATTAAAGGATTGAACATGTTGGGAGAGTCATTCGAAAGATATGGAATTGAAGGATTTAATATTACTCCAACAGAAGATGTCAATTTAAGAGAGTAAGTAAAACTTTATTTAACTCAATCGGTGATGAAACAACAATCGAATAGGAAAACATTGGAAATTGCAAATTCATTGAACATTATACCTCCTGATTTTCAAGAAAACTCAAGAAGTGTTGCAAAGAGTAAAACCACAAGTAGGGAATCTAAAAGTGATCCGTTTGAAGAAAAGCTTACAAACCTTCATTCAATTGTTGTTGGATTCTTCAAAAAGTCAAATGTATCATCTCTTGAAAGAGAAGCATTCGAAAGAGAACTGAAATCCATTTCTGATATTGAGACCTTCTCAACTCTGAAAGAAGAGTCCTACTGCACTGTCTTTCCAATTTTTGCTTCATGGTTTAAAAAGGTTGACAGTATTAGATATGGATTGATTTATATTTATGAAGGGTTGAGAATTTTCCCAAATGCTTTCACTAGGCGTGCCAATCTTGCATCAATGAAAGAAATTGTGAATGGTAAGTTTAAGTTAAAGTGAAATGTTAACTTTGTGTAAAGCTTTGGAAGGTCTAACACATGCAGACTTCGATTCAGTTAGTGGCTTTACAGTTGAAGAAATCACTAGTGCATATGACATTCTCATTAAGCAAATCAGAAACATTGAAGGAGGATTTATTTCAGTAGAGGATTTCTAGTAGTTTCAACTTGTGGCCACAATTCAATAATATTTGAACATCACAAAATATCTTTAAAAAATGGCCACACTCTTTAGACTTCAAGACGATCACATCAACGATCTTGTTTTTATTAATAAATTAACTCCGGAATGTAGGTGTAGATTCATCAGATCACAATAATTTTATTATATAATAATATAAAGCATTGGAGGATTTATGTAGAGTTTCTATTGAATTTATTACTAAAGGATCTTTGAAGAAATCAATTCAACAAACAGCAGGTATGGATAATTTGGATGTACATAATAATAATAATAAATGTGGAATTAAATAGCAAATCTTTCATTGGAAAAGGATGATGTTGAGAAGGGAGTAAAAAGTTTATCATATTTATTTTCCGATTGTGCTAAAGCAAATTTGGATGGTAACAAATTCCAATTAACAATCTTTGATATCCCTTCACTTTCAGATCAATCTGCTGGAATTTTACTTAATTATTATGAACAAAATTTCCAAAATATTCGTACCTTGTTCTCTAAAGCAAGTAGTACTGAATCATGTTATGGACTCAGTACAATGCCACAATATAAAGATTTGGAATGGAGATTTGAAGTGGAATGTGACAGAAGAAGTGTTAGACAATTGGTAGAACCATACTTTACATTGAAATTAATTACATCAACGACAAGTGGAGACGAAAAGAAAAATCAAGCTCAATACTTTAACTGTTCACTCCATGAATTGAAGCATATTCACGATGTTTTGGGAGAAGCTCTCAAGGAAATGAAATCTTCTCACACCAGAAGAATCAAATATTATATCAAATAAACCAAATCTTAAAAATGTATTTTATTTATAAGGATGGTAAATGTGTGATTTGTTTGGTCTATTAAGCGAAAAACCTTCATTGTCACTTGCTTGATTTTCATTTTCTTGCTGTTGTTGATTATGTTCTGGTCGATAGTACGTATAAAAAACATCACCAAAAGAAGATAATTGAGGAATAGATTTGGTTACAACTTCAATTCTTACCAATCCTGGAACAATTCTTTCAGGAACTGTACATACAATTCTATCACTCAATACTTGTGCAATGTTTGGAGAATCCTGTAATCCAAACATGACTCTGACAGAGTTGCCTTCCTTCTTAATTGAATCAAAATTACCTAGAATAGTTACCTCTTGTTGTCCATTGAGAGGACCTCTGTTAGGATGAATGGATGTTAATTGGAGTGAAATATTGGATTGTTGAGGAGATGATTGATAACTATTGTTATTGCTAGTTGTTTGTTGAGGGTGATGATGATAAATTGGACTAGTATTAGGGGATGTGAAGGGATGGTGGTGAGTAGGATACTGATTGGATGGAAACATTGTTTGTTGGTTATTGGAATTATTGGAAATGCTACCATTTGAATTAGAATAATGATGGTGAATCATTGATCCACTGTTACTGGAATTATTATTGTTGTAGTTTTGCAAGTTTGGTCTATTTGTAGTGGAATTGTGAATGTTATTAGAAGAGGAATTATCTTGTGAATTATTGGAGCTATGTCTATATCCATCATTTTGGAAAGGTGTCATAGAATTCATGGAAGGAGATTGAACATTTGCAACCTTTGTTCTTGCAGAGAAGGAATGTTGTTGCTGTTGGTTGACTGATGAAGTCTCATGATGATTATTCATATTATTGGTATTAGGCATTGCACTAGATGATTGAGAAGAGCTAGAAACATTGGTTGTACTTGTGGCGACTGGATTGTTTCCAATAGCTCTCAAATCTTGTGGTCTCGAACAAACATAGAATTTAGACGAATTAACCTTCTTGATAATCTTATTGCTCATTGAAAACTCTGCTGAAATCCAAATTAGTTTTTGAGTTTCAGGTCTACCAGAAGTGAAAGGAAGTTTCTTTCTGAATTGTGCCTCATAAACATCATCTTCATCAATAGAAAGTGTGCACTTAGCATTCTTCAACACTTCAGCAACCTTTGATGGATTCAACTTTGTGAATGAATCTACAAATGAAAGTGTTTCCATTACTTTAGTTTCAGTGTTTCCCTCCTTTGTGCAATAAACTGTACAAGTATCAAATACAAATGAAGAGATTACCTGTATGGTAATTACGTTTCTTTGAACCCAATACTTGATACCATTCTTTTCCTTCTGAGATCCATCAATAATTTGAACAGTTGCAAATGATATGTTTTCATCATCTGAATCACTGCCTCCACTAAATTCCTCAGAACCACTACTTGAATTATTCATACTGTTTGAACTTGCCTCTCTACTACCATTATTATTGTTGTTACTACTGTTTCCTCCTCCATTATTACTGGTCGAGTTATTTCTACGTTCAGAACTATTTGAAGAACCACCTCCATTTTGAGAATTACCAGATGATTCACCACTACCAGATACAGTTAACACATTTACAGGAGGCATTGGATAGGCATCTTCATTTTGATCTTCCTCTGATGAGACATCTTCTCTTTCATCTCCACTACTATTACTACTATTACCTCCGTCACTGCTGAGTCTTTCACTGCTACTACTTGTACCATTTCCACTACTGCCACCTTGATAATCCTCTGTTGTTGAATGATTGGATTTACCACTCGGAGAAATGAATGGTGTGAAAACAAGTTTGTTTAGTGAAATTTTTGATTTCATAGAATTGAATAGTTTGGAGAAGATGGTAAGAGCAGTAGGTACTCTCATAACACCACCCTGTACAAGGAAGTCCTTCTTCTTCTTTTGACTACTTTCATTTGACATGCTTTGTTGCTGTTGTTCAACAGGTTGGTGAATTTCTTCATCATTATTGGCAGTAGTGGATGAATTGAGCAACATATCTTTGCTTGTTGCTTGGCCATTCTCTGATAATGTCTTTTTCATATCAGAGGAATGAGATTGCTCATTTGAAGATGACTTTGATTGACTCTCCTGTCCAGAAGAGCTTGAACAATCATCACTTTCACTATTAGTAGCTGGAGATTGAGAGTGGATGTTTCTGTAACCACTACTTGCACTCATGGATTTCTCATGGTAGCTTGAAAGTGAATCACTGGAAGAAACATCAGTGGTAGAATCTTCTTCACCACTGCTACTGCCACTGTTTGATTCTTCATCTTTGAAATCTATTGTCTGATTATTGTTCTCTTGTTTCTTAGTGGTTGTTACGAGTCGGGAAATGTTGGTTTGGAGGAACTTTTGGTGCTTGCTCTTTGACTTGATAAACTTTCTTGAAGAGGAAACGAGTCCATCATCATCTATAGCCACAGTAGCCTCATCCTCACTTTCATCAACATTCAAAACCCTAGGTCTAAACAATTCCACTTGTATTTCATGTGAAGTTATTGTTGTTATCCATTTAATCTCAATGTAGGACTTGAAATCTGGGGACGGAGATAGTTTATCAAGAATTGAATAAATATAGGAAGTTGGAAAGGTATCAATGGTATTGTATGTGGAGGTTGATTGAGATTTAATTTTAGCTGCATGATGGTTGTGGTGTGTTTTAATTTTGTTTTGATTATTATTATTCGTCATTGTTGCGAAAGACTTTCTTCTCTTATCAAACAATAACTGTGATGATTGTGGAGGAGGTAGATTGGTTGTTGTTGTTTGTACGGATGAAGAAGCAGCTATCACAGATGGAACGAATTGTTGTTGAGTATTTTCAGAATACTGAAGCAATGAATCATGAAATCTCTTTGAATGACGACTTGTTTTACTACCACAATGTTTTGAAAATTGATGTTGTTGCAATTTCCAAGAATTAACGTTATGTACTGGTGGTGGAGTAGTATTGTTAAAGGGATGCTTTGAAAGCTTGTCCTCTGTTGTTGGTGATTTTTTAATCATCCAAGCTGAATTTTGAGATTCAATCTGCTGCTTTGTGTCGCAACCTGTGTTGTTTGTAAATATTCTCGCAGGCTCAAGTTTGCGAGTTTGGCTGAATTTGTTATTGTTAACGGAGTATTCAAAACAGCAACAACAATAAAAAGAAGAAGAGAAATATTGGTGTGGGTTAGTTGGGATGGATTCAAATTGAAATGTAAACCTACACAAAGATCTTCTCTGCTTCCGTGCTATCAGCAAATACTGCATGGTAGGTTACCATGGCTTTATCGCAAATTTTTTTATGTTCTCCCCTTACGAGATTTTATTAATTACCAACAAATTTGCATAATAAATAGATCAAGCAAACATTCTCAAAATTTGAGATCAATCCCGAGCGAGCTGCGCTACTTGAAGTGGTACCAAGCTTGGTTTGTCCAAGCCACAAACTACCAAAAACATCTTAGACACTCTCCCAATCACAAAAAACAAAATGATGACTATTCTTTCAGAAAATGAATCATAGTTTTTAATTTTCCTTATGTATTGAAATAAGGATGTATTATCTGAACATAATTCGGAACAAATAATTTTCTCTGCTAGGGGCAATACAAAATAACTGTTAGTTTTGAAAGGTGGAATTTACGAAAATCCATTGTACAAAAAAATGCTTATTGGAACGGAAGCAGATTCATCATTGGACCATCACCAACATAAAATGTTGCTTGATGATATGGTGCTAGTTTCATCACCATCATCAAACAACGCGGAAGAAGAGCACGAAGAAGAACAATTAAAATTATTATCATCACCAAGTTCTAATGAAAGTTTAATAACAATGGTCTCATCGTCAATGGATGATACTACATCAAATCTAGTGAAGCCGACACCCAAAATCATGGAATCAAGAATTTACTTTCATCAAAATTCACAATTATTATTTCTAAATTTTGAAGATTTTTACTTGGAAACACAAGAGGACGTTGATGTTGTGATTAAATTTATTGAATTAACATTTACAAATTATTTAGCGGATGAGGAGTTACAAAGAAAGATACAGTCCAATAGTATAAATCGAAGAAATAGTTTCATAAAGGAAAAACCAAATAATTCAAAGAAAAAGACAAATATTGATGTTTATATTTGTTATGATAGATTTCATTGCCAACTTGATTTACTAAAATACTATTCCGAAAAAGTAGCCTATCTAGAGGCTAATTATTATAGATCAGTGAAGAGATTCACAACGGAATCACTAGAGGATAAATTATTGAAAAAGTTTGAAAGTGTTTTGGAACAACAAGAACATGTCGATGAACCAATAATTCAAAATTTTGAAATGTTGAATGGACGATACATTATCCAATCAGAACATTTAATAGCTAGAGGTACTTTTGGAAGGTAAGTAATACATCACCAAATATGCATTCCGAACTAAAATTATTTAGGGTATTCCTTGGACAGGATAAATTAACAGGAGATTTGGTAGCAGTAAAGGAATTAAAAAGAAAAAACATTGACAGTGTTGAAGGTTTGAAAGAACTTATTGATAAGGAATTGAAAATTTGTAAATTATTATCACAATCCCTAAAGGATGGTGAATCACATATTGGAAAAAAGTATATTTGTAAAATATATGATGTAATTGATACAGAACCCTTCCATTATATTGTAATGGAGTATTTAGCTAATGGATCACTTGAGAATCCTCTTGAGGAAAGAGAAACATTCCCACCCGAAGTTGCAAAGAAATATATCAAACAGTTATCCTATGCACTTGATTATATTCATAGTACACTAAATATATGCCATCGTGATATTCAATTGGCTAATTTATGTTTGGATGCACATGGAAATATCAAGCTTGTAGATTTTGGATTGAGGTAAGTTCAAATTATTGAAAAATAATTATTGACTTTCAAAGTGATTTCTTTACCAAAGAGGCAACAACTCATAATTCATTTTGTGGAAATTATGCATCTCCTGAAATGATTTTAGCGACTAAATATATAGGATACGAGGGAGATTGTTATGGAATGGGACTTTTATTGTATAAATTATTATCAGGATTTTTCCCATTTCGTTCAAGTGTAGATAAGATTGTAGAACAATACTACATTCCATTGGATGAATTGGAAAGGGAAGGTACATTGAATGAATCCAGTATATCCTTAATTAAAGGTCTTTTAGAAAAAGATCCTTGTAAAAGATTAACAACAAAAGATGTCATTAATCATGAATGGTTACAAGATGTTGAAGTTTAAATTAAATTATTGTGATATTTACAAAAAGGATCTACCCCTATTATGAAAATGTTCCACAGTTATTGGTTGCTTATCAGCTTGAATTTCTCTTCTTCTCGTTTCTTCCCTTTGTTGTTGTAATTTCATATTTTCCACCATTAAGGACTTCATATATTCTCTCCTCTTTTCATTACTAGTATTGGCATGAATATATCTATCTCTAGGTGTCTCCCTTGGTTTAATTTCAGAGAGTGGAGCTGTCTTTGGTCTCGTGTCCACAACATTCGGAATTTGTTTTATGAATGTCTTTTCCTTTACTACATTCTCGTGTTCTTTTCTTCCTTTTAATTCCAAATGACGATCATAATCTTGTTTCCTTTGTTTTTGAAGTTGTAACTGCTCCTCCCTAGTGCCAGCAATGGCTTGTCTTCTCGATTCCTCTATTTGCTTCATCTTGGTTCGTTTTGCCTCAATGTTCTGAATTTCACGTTGATAGTCCTTCTCAACAGTTTGGCAATTTGTGATTGAGCACTTTCTCGGAACGAACAATCTACTTCTAGTTGTCTCCATTCTTTTAAGTGTAATAGTATTACAGGTTCTGTACAGTGTGTGGTGGTGTTGTTTTGGAGATTGCTTTTAATTTACACAAGTCATTAACAAATGTGTGTAAAGCAAATATAGATTTGATGGTAAAGACTTTTTTTTTGGTATTGAGAAGTTAATTGGTGAGGAATATTCTGTAAACTGAATTATACAGCTTTGTGGTATAGGTATTGATTGTGAAAGTTTTATTGCTCTTAGGAGTGCAAGAGATGATCAACCATGAAGTGCTGTCCTTCAACTTCTATTCGAGTATGAAATTAACATATAAAAATGATTTTCGAATCCAACGAAGAGAATAAATGTAGAGATATCACCTCAAAGTGAAAGTGCTTTATTAAGGCTTTTGAGTCGTTAATAGGAATATTAAAATAATTCAATAAATTATTAAGAGATATTAATTTCAGTATTACGTATTTGTTTTTGATTTCTTATAACCGTTTTTACAGTTTGTATTTGGCGCCAAAATTTATAAAAATAAATGAATCAAACATTAAATAAATGTATGCAAAACGAATGCTTACTCGCTCACCCTCATCATCAAATGTTAATAGTACAAATGAGTATATTGAATACCAGGATGGATCAATAGCCGTCATGAATCACAATGAAACTGTAGAGGAAATTAATAACCGAATAAAAGAAGAAAAAAGAAGGAAGGAAGAAGAACGATTAAAAAAGCTGAGAATTGAAACAGCAAAAAGGAGGAAACGACAAGAACAAATTGATGCGGAATTAAAAGAAAAGAAGGAAAATGAAATTGAAAAAGCTTTACAGGACAGGAAAAAACAAATAGAGGCTTCGAAATTAAGGAAAAACAGCAAAACACCCGAATGTATAACAACAACAAATGGAGGTAAAAGCATCAGGCCTACACCTGCTGTGGCTGATATAACGAAAAAACAAATTAGACATTTGAACATTTTAGAATCTCTTGATTTACAAGGAATTACATCGAGTACTGACATGTTTCTTGTTGCTGAGAAGATGTCGAAAAGATCGAGTGTCAGAGAATCGGAGGCAGCTCATGCCATAAAAATGATTGAGATTACTTCGGCTAGATCACCAAATCCAACAAAAGAAATTCCCTTAGAATCGCCTTCCAACAAGACAAAGAGAGTGAGGATACAAATAGTGGAGGAAGAGAAACGAAAGACCTCTCCTCGAAATAATGATCTGAAACTTCCTCAAATTAAAACCCGACCAACTGAAGCAGTTGCCGAAAAGAAGATTGAGAAAAAGAAAAAGCTTGTGGCACCACATACAGGTGTCTCGATAGATATAGAAAAAATAGAGAAGGATATTGCATTAATTGATAAGGCACTTTTAGAAAAATATCAAAGTTTAAGGAATATTGATAATAACGTACTGAAACGAGTGAATACAAGCGACAGGTCTGATAGAAAGGACTCTACACCATCACCCACACAAAATAATCCAAAGAAAATTTCCAAACCAAAGCGAGCTAAACCTGTTTTATCAACAAGGCAACGAAAATTTTGATAAATTAGTACAATTAATTTATTTCCTAGTTGAATTGTTTAGATTTAGTTTGATTCTTCAATTGAGATTTCTTCACTCTTGTCTTCAGACTTAGTTTCTTCTGGCTTTTCTTCTTCAGACTTGGTTTCCTCACCTTCTTCTGATGGGGTAGTATTTTCTTGAACTGGTTCCTCCTCATCATCAAAGATACCACCTTCTTTTGGTTCTTCTTCTTCAGTTGGAGTTTCTTCAACAATCACTGATTGAGCCTTAGCTTTTCTTGGACTAAAAACATTTACAACACCTTGGAATAAATTCTTAAAACCATATTGAGCTTTTTCAAGTAAACTAATATTGAGTTGATCTGGTGTATAACCTCTCTTAAGGTTTCTTTCTATGTACACATCTCTATCCTTTACAATTCTCATAATGAGATCACTAGTGGAAACACCTTCAGTTCTCTTAATAGTTAAAAATCTGTGCATTTCCTTCAATCCAGCATAAACATCATTACCATTTTCATCAACGGAAAGATCTTCACCATGTGAAACGAAATCAATGTTATGTTTCAAGACAAAATCACCATCAACAACCCATGGAGCTTCCTTCACAACTTCATCAACATATCTACAGTGGGAAACACCTTCATATCTTTCGTTTTCTGTCATGACAGTCTTTCCTTTAATTCTCCAAGTGTCAGCATCTGAACAAACACCAACAATTAAATGTGTATTTGGGAACAAATTTTTAGCTTGTTGAAGGGATCTCATGTGACCAAAGTGGAAAAGATCATAAATACCATCGGCATATACTCTAACAGGTCTATCGAGAGGCACTCTAACTAAATTTCCTTGCATCATTCTAAATTCATATCTTCCATCTTCTCCTTCTACAACATCACCTTCCTTGTGAGAAGAATAGTCAATTTCAAATCCCTGTTTAACCTTCTTTTGTTGTGGTTCAACTGTGTTGTTACCGTTTTGTTCTTCTGATGACGTAACCTCTTCAATGTTTCTTTTCATTTTTTTTCTTCTGAAAAGCCAACGGAAGGCGCCAAAAGTGTATCCAATTGTATTCTGTGATTTATGATATTCTGTAACGCTTTATGATTCTTCGTACAGAGTATCAAGTTTACAAAATGGACGATGAACCATTTCTGATTTTATTAAGACCAAGTTTCAACCTGATACCTTTTAGCAAGATCTAATTGTTTCAAATATTCTTCTGCTTCTTGGTTTGTCATTCCACCATGGATTAGAACAGATTTGACTGCTTTTTGAACAGATTCTGGCATTTGTTTGGAATTACCGGCAACGTAAAAGTAAGCTCCCTTGTTTACAATTAGATCAAAGAGTAAATCTTTTTGTTCTCCAATACGATGTTGAACGTAGACTTTTGAATCTTGATCTCTTGAAAAAGCTGTTGACAATAAAAAGTTAAATTGTGTTTCACTTGAGTATTTTGTAAATTCTTCTCCATATAAAAAGTCACTCTTTTCATTTCTGCATCCAAAGAATAGAATACTCTTTCCAATCTCTTCTGTACTTGTTATTGATAAATTGGATATTTTCAAATAACGATCTTGAATGAAACTTCTAAATGGTGCAACACCAGTTCCAGGTCCAACCATAATAATTGGAGTGGAGAGTGATTTTGGTAAAGTCATTGTACCCTTATTGATCCATACTGGTACAAATACATCACCTTGTGTTCCAATATCAGTTGAAGAAAGCCATGATGTAAAAACTCCATTTCTAACTCTCTTAAATGGTGTGGTAAAGTTTACAATAGCAATAGTGACATGAATTTGATGAGGACACATTGATTGAGAAGAGGATATGGAATAATATCTTGGTTTGATTTGTGGTATTAAATCTAAAATGTACTCAAGAGTTGGTTTTGAACCAGGAAAATCATCAAAAACTTCGACATATGTTCTTTTCTCTTTGTGATTATATCTGTACATATCACCTGTTCCTTCTGCAGATCCAAAATATTCTAATCTTTCCCTCTCTTCACCAGTTGTAAAATGGCTTAACAATTCGAATAAATATCTTCTTGGTGTTCCTTGAATATCTAAGTATTTTTCGAAAAGGTTGAATAAAGTAATTACACTATTGCCAAATGGCATATCAGGAGCATCTGGATCAATTTTTTCTACTCTTATCAATTGATTTCCATCTAAGGATAATCTCTTGAGTAAATGTTGGACTTGATTAATTGTGTTTCTTGGTAAAACTGCAAGAACATCTCCTGGTTGATATGTGAGAGCTGTTTGATGATTTTCTCCTAAATTTTCAAAAACAACATGTCTAACATCTTGCCAGTGATTTTCAGATGTCATTTTCTTATTTTCTATCATTTTAGCCATGAATGGATTCTCTTTTGAGTAAGGACTTGTGCTGCTGGCAGATTTGAAAATGTATGAGTTTTTAAGGGAGTTATCTGATTCATCACACTTGATAATTCTATATCTTGGTTCTGGAATAATATGAGGTGATATAACTTCAACACCAACAGGTAGAGGATAAATACTCATAACCTTATCCCACAATCCTCTCATCCATCCAACCAATGCACCGTCAATTCCATTAGCATGTTGGTCATCAGCCAATCCTCTAGCATGGAATTCTTGAGCACCTAATTGTAATAATCTTCTATGAAGTTTCTTGGCAACAAAATTGAATTTTGAATATCCAGAATCTCCCAATCCAAATACAGAAAATTTGACACTACTTAAACTATCTGCTGCCAAACTCTTTCTTCTGAGAAAATTCCAAAACTTCTTCATATTATCAGGCTCATCACCTTGTCCAGTTGTTGAAACTACGAAAATCAAAATTGGTTCCGATGTTAAATTTTCAATATTATAATCATCCAATGCAGATAATTTAACAGATAGATATCTTCTCTTTGCTTCTCTTTGTATTCTTTCAGCCACCTCCTGAGCACAACCGCTTTGTGATCCATAGAGAACACAGATTTTGCGAGAGGAGGTTTCTACCGTTTGTTGTGTAAGCATTTTTTTTTGAAAAGAAAATTATGGAGAAATGGATTTCCACTCAAAAGATTCTTCGTTCGTTTCAATTTAATTTTGAAACACATGTTGTTTAGGGATGATGAATATGAAGAAATGGGAGAATGCTCGGATAATCTCCTTGAATATTATGAAAGTGCTTACGAGTTTGAGGGGAAATTTCTCCCGCCAATTTGTAATTTCAAAAAATCAAAAAAATGACCATCATTTCAATCTTGGCAGTTCTAGCATTATTTATTTATTTATATAAGGCTTTCTTTACATCGTGGAATAGAGCTGAAATGCCAAGCCATTCAACTGATTCTGACTTGGATCAGCATTCACAATTTTGGGAGAGAAGAATTGAGGAAGCATTAAATAACTTTTCATCTTATAGGGATTCAAAAATTGCTAAAAGATCATCAGAAAAAGTATTTAAAGAATTAGGAGAAGCTTGGGGAGAGTATGATCGTTCTCAGTTTTTAAAAAACAAAGCAATGATAATGTCAAAACAAGCAAAATTAAAAGTTCTATACAAAGAGAAGAAGGAAAATGAGAAGAAAAAAGAAGGCCTCGTCATTATTAATGCGAGATATGGAGTTTTTGATAAGAAGCATAGAGCTATTGTCGATGTTACTACTCCATTACAATGTTTTGTGAACGATGCTTCATCTACAATTTCTTTCAAGAAAGGTCCATTCGAATCCTTGCCAGGCTTTGGAAACGTCACAGAAGGGATGTCATTTCCCTTAGGTGCGAACTTGAAGAAAGAATTACAAGTAATTTATCGAACGAACGGATCTCTTAGAATGAAAACGTTTATTGAGGAGGAAGGAAATGAAGTAGAATTGCCCTAAACCACTTCACCATGGAAGACAAGTCATTTATCAAACATCAATCACAAACCAACAAACAACAAGATCCAATTTATTTAATTTTCACTACTCTAAAAAATGTTTATCACATCCGTTGCCTATGACTACTACAAGGGCTTCGTAACGGCCTTTATTGAAATTACGGATAACACTGATGTCATGGTTTTTGGTAAACCAAACTTGAAGAAAATTATACCTATGGTGAATATCATTGCTCTTATTGAAAGTATCTTGGCAGTAATTTTCTTCATTCTAGTTGCTATTCGTGCTTCTGTGTAGGTTTCTTCTATAATAATCAAAGAAATATTTCTAACATCTCTTTGTAGTACTTCAATGTCAATGTTTATTGTTTTTGTTCCACTTGAAATTTTCTTCCTTTTCATGTTAGGTTTGATGATGGTTATTTTCTTCTCTTTTGTGATAACAGCATTTAGGTTTACCAGGAAAGTTTATTGGATTGTTGCCTATTGTTTCATCTTCCCAATTGTTTTTATTAACTTGTGTCTTTTCTTTGGTATGCCAATCTTGGTTTCTATTCTCTTCCCATTGCAAGAAATCAAAGTACTTCAAGGGTATGTTTTTAAAGTTTCGAATAATGTTTTTAATTGTTAAATAGTCAAAAAGCTTGGGATGTGTCATTGTTTTTAGTTCTCTGGCTCGTTGGTGGTTTATTGAAAGCATTCGTTAGACCAAGTGAAGACGACAGCAACCCATATCAACATGATAACAAGAACGTCACTTTTACAGCAATCTACGTCTGTGTTCTCTTCTTGATTGCTGTTTTTATTTTCTTGATTTCTGCTAGATTGGATGGTACTGTTCCATTCTCTACAACAACACCTTTCCCATCTGTATCATATTGGATTGTTTTCATTCCAATATTTGTTATTTGGGCAATTGGTACAATTCTCTATTCTATCAAGGCATTCTTGGAATTGAAATTGGTCTACAAGAAGGGTGATGTTAACGGAGATGGTATTTTCAAGTCAATCTTCTACATTGGAATGATTGTCTTCCTCTTCTTGTCACTCATCACATCCATTTTATTGTGTGTCAAGCTTTCACTTTCTGCTGAAGAACAAGACAAATTCTCTCTTGGATGGTGTTTCTTACCTTTCATTTTGGGCTTTTTCACAATTGCTTGTTGTTGTTCAATTCCATTCTTCCCTCAATTCCGTAAAGTTAAATCAGCTGCTTTGAAGAATAGTGTCACTAACGAAGTTGAAGAAGCTGCCGAAAAAGAAATGCAATGTTTCCTTTAAAAAGGAAAATCAAGACAACTCAGATTGTCAGTGTATGATATTACTTAATATTAAATAAAATTATTCTTCAATTATTTACTAGGAATTTCACAAATTTACACTTATTGTAAAAGAATAGAGGATAATTTAATGGATTGTAAAATCAAATGTCAAATATTATCATAAAAACCATTCAAAAAAATTGATCCAAAGATTAACTAACAATGGTTGTTACAGATCAACAGAAACAAGCAATCCGTCAGTGGATTGAAACGGTCACAGGGGAGAAGTTCTCAGATCCCAACGATATGTACACTTCTCTGAAGGATGGTTGTTTATTGTGTGGGTGAGTTTCAAGTTTCGAATAATAATAATTTTACATTTCTCTCATTACACACTGTTTAAATTATTATTATATATGTTTATTAACAAATTAGTTTAATTTCTGCTCTCCGTTGCATTAAATATCCAACCTACAACCGAGAAACTAAAGGTATCATGTTCAAGGAGATGGAAAACATTGCCTACTTTATGCAAACCACACAAAAAGCTGGACTCAAACTAAATTGGACACTGAAGGCACTTCATAAGAATGCCGACATGGATGCTGTACTATTATCTTTAATTGATTTATCCAATCACATTAAACAGAATAATAATGAAGGATTCAAGGGACCATTCTTGGAATTGGGAAGTTCTACTGCTACCACCACCACTACTACTACTTCTGCTGCTTCCTCTGATAATTCATCATCCACATCATCACCAGCATCTGTAGGAACATCATCACCCCAAGTGAAAACAAGTGTTCCCGAACCAACAACACCAAAAGTCATCAAGAAAACATCAAATAATGTAACACCTGGTACTGATTCGAATGTTGATTCACCACCGACCATTACAAGTAGCAGTAATGGAGGTGTTCAATCTAGATTAAAGAGATTTTTTGGAGGTGGATCAAACGAATCTAAAACAAATGAAACTAAATCAGAACAAACACCTTCTCCACCAGTTACTTCAAATATTTCGACAACATCAGCAACAACAACACCAACAAAACAATCAACAATTCCATCTGTTACTTCTACTCCACCAGTTTCGAATACTAGTTCAACACCATCATCAACTAATAGCACTCCTGTAAGGACATCGTCTGCAACAAGTGTCACAACTCCACAAAATTCTTCCTCAAGGAATCTTCTCAGTTCACCAGCAAGTTCTTCATCCCTAACTGGATCATCACCAAGAAGATCAATTGGAGGAAATTCAGATGATGACGATGACGATGAAGATGAAGAAGTGATGGATGAAGAAATTTTAACTCATGTTAAAAAGTTGAAGGAAAGTGTGGAAAATCCAACTCCTGAATATTTGAGAGTTTTAAATCAAAAATTGGAAGCCAAATCACTCAAGTGGTGCAACAAATTTGCCAATGATAAGGGAGCTTTCTATTTGGGAGAAATTATCATAACAACCAATAAGAAGTATAAAGGAGCTAATGAAAAGAGTATTCAGGAACAAGCTTTGAATTGTCTCAATACTTTGATTGATGTTGGAGCATTAAATGGTATAATCAAATATACATCAATTGTCTTTGCAATTGTCATGTTAACAGATAATAAGGAATCATTGAAAACAAGAGTGATGGCTCTTGAATTGTTATCACTTATTTGCACTTTTAATGAACAAGGTTTTTGGGTTGTTTTGGAAGCTTTTGGACAGTGTAAAGTTGAAAAGAGAGAACCAAAGAGATTTTTCGATATTGTTGATGGGTTGAAGAATGAAAAGGATGAGAAATTCAAAGCATTCTGTTTATTATTATTCAATTCCCTTATTAACACACCTCAAGATACCTCAATAAGAATTTTATTGAGAAATGAATTGAAATCTCTTGGATTGGATGATATTGTTACAAAACTTCAAAAGGATGTTGATAGTGATACTATCAAAGAGGAAAGTCTTAAGGATCAAATCAGAGCTTTTGATGAAGAAATGATGTCCAGGTTTATTGAAAATGATGATGATGAAGATGAGGAGGAAGAATCTAACAGTTCTCTGATTGACACCAAGTCTATTAAGGATCCACTCCAATTGATGAAGTTATTAACTATCAAACTTGGTGGTAGTTCAGTTGGTATCAGTAATTTGAGAAATATTTTACAACATTTATTGGAATACACCCAAATTATTCCTCATGAAATGGATGATATCAACAAGTCTGACAAGATTCTCCAGGACAGTTGGAAGAATATTGACAACATGTTGCATGCTCTCACCAACGATTCAATCATGACCAAGAATGTAGTAGCTGATGTGATAAAGAGTGAAAAGATGTTAAAGATTCTTTTACAAAAAGGTAACAAGAAATCGAAGGAATTGGATCAAGAGGTTGAAAACTTGAAGAAGGAAAATGATGCTCTCAAAAGAGGAGTGAAATATGAACCAGAAATAACATTGCCATCAGGTTCTGGAGATGCTAAGCCAACAACTGAAGTTGCCATGTTGACAAAGCTTGTCAAACAACAGAAAGAAAAGCTCGAAGCTATGAAAATTTCACTTGAAGATTTAGAGAAGCAAAATATTGATCTTTTGAGAAATATTAAGGAAAAAGATGCTGCTATTGAATCATTCAGGTCAACTGGTGTCATGCCAACCAACGTGACGACTTCAACTGAAGGTGTTCCACCAATTCCAAGTGGAGGCGATTCATCGCTTATTCCACCACCACCAATTGGTGGTGATGTGCCTCCTCCTCCTGGTATGGGAATTCCACCTCCTCCTGGTAGTTCTGGCGTTCCTCCACCACCTGGTGGTGTCCCTCCTCCTCCTGGTGGAGGCGTTCCATTGCCACCTGGTGTTCCAAAGACTCCAGAAATCAAATTACCTGATTTACCAAAGAGAAGTTCCAAGAAACCACTCAGAAACTTCTATGGTGATCCTATCAGAAAGCAAAAAGTTGGTACTACCGCTTGGGTTAAGGATGGTATTGCTGAAAGAACCAAAGATATTGATATCGATCCAAATGAATTGGAAGATCTCTTCTCCAATGTACCAAAGGAAAAGGAATCTACCAAAAAGGAGAGAAAGATCAAAGAGTTGGTTTCATTCATCGATCCTCAAAAATCGAACAATCTCTCAATTTTGCTTGGTTATTTGCGTCTTGACAATGAAGACATTAAGAATGCCATTATAGATATGGACGACGAAATACTTTCTCAACAAAATATCGAATCATTGAAGGATAAGGCCCCAACTGAAGAAGAAATTCAATCAATTATGGCTTATACAGGTGATAAGGATTTATTGGCTCCAGCTGATAAATTCTATTTGGCCATCAAGGATGTTCCAAGATTGGCTGGAAGATTGAGTTGTTGGGCTTTCAAGTACAAGTTTGAATCTAGTATTCCTGTAGTTATTCCAGATTTGGAGACTGTCTTGTTTGCATCTCAGGAAGTTCAAAGAAGTAAGAAATTCAAAGAATTACTTACAGTTATTCTTGCCATTGCAAACTTTTTGAATGCCAACTCATCTAAGAAGGATTCCTATGGTTTCACACTTTCTAGTTTGTCAAAGTTGAAGGATACTAAAGCAGTTGATGGTAAGACAACCTTACTTCAATATATTGGTATCTTCTGTACAAAGAAGAATCAAAATGTTTTGAGAATTAGAGAAGATTTCGGTAATTTGGAAATGGCTACAAGAGTGTCCTTTCCAGAAACTCTTTCTGAAATCTCCAAGTTGAAAGCAGGTGTTGAAGAAATTGAAAAAGAATTGAACAGACCAGAGTGGAAGAATAATAAGAACGACAAGTTCTATAAGATTATGAGCGAATTTTTGGAAAATGCTAAGGGTGATATGCGTGTTGTCAATATTTTGACAGGAAAGATTGAACTCAGTCTCAAGACTTTGGCAGATCTCTATGCAGAAGATGAAAAGATTTTAACAAAGAATCCAACTGAATTCTTCATGCAAATATTCACATTCTTGGAATCATTCCTTTCCAGTTTGGAAGATTATTTGAGACAAAGAATTTTAGAAAGAAGGAAGAGAGAAAAGAGAGAAAAACAAAGACAATTGGAGTTGAGAAAGATGCAACAACGAAAACAAATGGAATTAGAAGCACTCAAAAAGAAGAAACAACAAGAAACCTCACCTGCAGCTGCAGGTGGTGAACTAACACCAGAATCAGGAGAAAAACGAAATATCAAACAAGCTATCAGACAAAGAAAGCAAAGCATGATGTCAGGTGAAGCTTTCAGAGACAAGAGAGAATCCAGAATGGCAGTCAAACAACAACAAGAGTCATCCTCACTCCCATTCCCAGTCAATCTAAGAAAAACAAAATCCGAAGCAGTTGAACAATAAAATTTCTTATTTTCACAAAACCACAAATTTTCCAAATTTAAAAATATTAAAAAATTGCACATGCTTTAATTGCTTGATTTGTTTTTGTTTCAGATGATTATAACACTTTTCATGTGCACGAATGACTTCTGGATGATCGTGCCTCTACTACCAAGATCTATGATGCAATTATTATTGTTTATCAGGTAATAATTTGATATCTACTCGGAGAGTTTTGTTTTTGCCTGGCTATTCATCATGTTGAATGCCATTTGACAATCACAAGCTCTTTCGAACACTCAGATCAAGCAGAAGGAAAATTGAATTGACCAGTTCAAAAACATTGGATCACTTTTGATCCAAATTATTTATCAGAATTGAGTCCATTACATAAAGAGAGTTTTATTAGGACTTATCCATAATTCTAACAATGGTTGTTGCAAAATGTCAAATTCAGTGTATTATTTTGATGTGCATCCAGTTCAGAAGGTATCTTGTTGAGCCAGACACAATATTTCTGTGTTATTTTATAATTTTACAATTGTCCACAAACCTCAATCTTAACTACACGGGCTGGGGTGGTACCACGGAGAGGAACCGTGTTAATAGCAGTCACAACGTTAGTTCCTGAAACAACTTCACCAACAACTACTTGATTGTGACCAAAACTTGGCATTGGTGAGACAAGAATACCAAGTGTGCTGAAACGAAAAATTTCAAGTGGAGAACTCAATTTTCCAAATAGCACCTAGTTCCTTAATATTTCATTCCAAATTTTTTGGGTGCTATTCGCGAACCTAAGGTTTTGCACACGCTGCAGCCTTTCTATTAATACGGAACAGATTACCTCATTTGTAGGCACAAAGTTCATTGATATTGCGTAGTGCATTGAATACAAGTTCTTTAATCATTTTTTCAGACTTGAGAAGCATGAAGAAGTACGCTTAATAAATCTGTTCAATCATTGTTAAATTGATCAATTATTGTGCTATGAAAGAGTCTCTTTATTTACATTGACCACAATTTGTAATTTTAACCTCAAGAGTTGGATTGTGAACATTGTTGGTTCCTCTCTTTGTTGGAACTCCTTGTTCAATATGTGTGATGACATCCATTCCGTCAATGACTTCACCAAAAACAACATGTTTTCCATCCATATCCTTATGAGCATTGGTCATGATGAGAAAGAGAGAACTATTGGTATTGGGACCAACATTGTACATTGACAAGAGACCAGGCTTTGTGTGACTGACCTTAAAGTTTTCATCAGCAAATTTTCCTCCATAAATTGATTTACCTCCTTTACCATTATGAGAACTGGTATCAGTTACATCACCTCCATTGATGAATAATCCTTTAACAACTGGTAGACACTACGTTAGCATCATTCGATCAAACAAGAAACCTACTTCTATGAATGACTGTATCCTTATATCCAAACCCATGTTCACCAGTGCAGAGTGCTCTGAAATTTTCTGCTGTTTTTGGAACAATATCACTGTACAATTCAAATGTTACCTTACCAACACTATTACCTCCAACTGAAAATTCGAAAAACACTTTTGGTCTTTTAACAGCTGGTGTTTTTGCTGCTGGAGCTGTGGAAGTTTTAGCTGTGGTTGTTGCTGTTTTGCTAGCAGAACTTGCTGGTTTGGTTGTGGTTGTTGGGGGAGCCATGTGATTGATTTTATTTATTAAGTAAATTAAGTTCAAGTGAGGGGGAGAGCAAACTTTGATACTAGTATGTGAGAGCCTTTTTTGATAAAAATTACCTCAAACACTTTGAAAGCATAGTTGCCCCGGCTCGGTGTAATTACAGGTATTAAAAGTTATTGCCTCGGATTTTCAAGTTTTTCACTTGTTCCTCAATAGGTGGGGAAAGTTAAACTTGAAAGTTAAAAGTGAAATTGAAGTAAAAGTCACAATTGAATGCCACATCACTTGACAATATTAATTTCGGAACTGAGAGGTGAATAATTTTCAAACATCTAAAAATTACCACAACATCAAAAATGAACCGCGTCCAACATCAAACCAAGAAGAAGAAAGTCTTTGTGGACAATAAAAACTCTGCCTTCTCTCAAAGAAACACTGACGATGCTGCATCCACTGAATCAAGTAATACTAGTGGTGCACCACCACCATCCGAACATCAACAACAAAAGCAACAAAAAAAGATGGCTTTTAAAAAGGTGAACAATAATAACAACAACAACACTGCTACATCAACAAGTGCTAGTGGCAGTGTAAGTAATAGTGCCATTAGCAAATTTACTTGTTGTATTTGTTGTGAAGAATCAAGTGTTAGAACAATTTTCCAAACTTGTAACCATAGTGATGTCTGTCACAAATGTTCCTTGAGATTGCGTGTTTTAAACAATGACAATCGTTGTTGCATTTGTAAGAACGCTTCAGAATGTGTCATTTTCTCACAGAGGCAAAACATCAAGTCATTCTCGGAATATACAAAAGATGACTTGGTCTATGATGAAACATGGAAGGTTTATACAGATGATTATTTATTAATGAATGATATAACTTCTCTGAGAAGAATAGAATGTAGGCTGTGTAAGGAAAGCGGTGTTACACTTGCTTTTGAAAATTCCAACCTTTTAAACAACCACATGAACGAGGTTCACAAACTCAACTATTGTGCATATTGTTTAGCGAGTAGAAAAGTATTTTTGTGTGAACAGAAGCTTTATAATTGGAGCAATTTAATGAAGCATATTAGATTTGGTGAAGAGGATCCAAACTATGGTAAAATTGAAGGACATCCTCTCTGTAAATTCTGTAATGTTAGATTCTATTCCGATGACGAAATCTTTGATCATATGTATAAGAGACACGAAAGATGTTTTATTTGTCAAAAACATGGTGTTCAATTCGAATTCTATCATGATTATAAGCATTTGGAACGTCACTTTGATCAAAAGCACTTTTTATGTCCTCACAGTGAATGTAAAGAGGACGGGTTCAAAGTTTTTGAGAATGAATTGGAATTGATGGCCCACAAAAATAGATATCACTCTTCGACCACTAGTACCTCTAAGAAATCCAAGACTCAAAAATTGGATCTTTCAACACTTTCCACAACAACTCACCTTCCAACAGATGATGAAAGAAGGCAAGTAAGAACAGGTGAAATCAATTCATCTATCATTAGATTTGTCGACACTGCTGGTGATGGTTATCACAATGACAATATTCATAAGAAACAACCAGGTGAATCATCTAACAATAAGAAGCAAAAACAAAAGAAGGAAAAGGAATCTAGCTCTGACTTTAAGGAGAAGAATAATCAACTTGTAAAAAAGATGAAAGAATTATTATCCGAGAATCAATTCCAGGATCTTAAGGTTCTGAGCAGTCAATTTTTGCGAGGTGACACACTTGCTAGCGAATACTACTCAAAGGTAATCTCAATGCTGGGTGAAGAAAAGACGAAGGATATTTTTGATTTGATGGTTGAAGCAATTCCACCACAAGACGAAAATAAGAAGAAAGCTCTTCTCTTAGCTAAGAATACCTATCATTCTGCTGAATTTAATCCAAATTTGGGTAAGGAGGATGCTAACACTACCTCTTCTCCTCAATCTTCATCTGATGCTACACCTCAAAATTGGCCAACCTTGAATAATGGCAATGGTAATGGCAATAATAACAAGTCCAAATCATCAGATCCAAATTGGAATCCTCAAAATCCTCAACCAACTCCAAATCAACAATCAAAAAAGAAGAATAAGGGACCAATTGCTCACAATATTACAAGAAATCCTGATCTGTTATGGGGTGTTCAAACATCTACTGCTCCATCAGGATTGAATAAGGAAATGGAATTCCCAACATTACCAACAGCACCATCATCTTCTAAGAGTTCAAAGAAAGCAAATTCTAATTGGACCAAACCTCTCAAAGAAGAAAAGAAAAATAGTAACAGTCCATACTCTGAATTCGGAAACATCAAGGTTTATAAATTCAGTGAGAGTAAGAAGAAAAATAAGAATAAATAATCAATTTGTTTTTTAAAATCCAATCAATTTTTGCTTATTTCATCACCACTTAAAGCTGCCTTGTTCGGACATTTTACATCAATTTTTCACCAAAATCAGATTTAAAAAAAATGTTCGAAAGAGTTGATGAGAATATTAATGCTTTTTCTTGGCGTCAACAGGCTGAGTATTTTAAAGTGTTTGTTCCTCTTCCGAATCCAAACCTTAAATCCAAGGATTTAATTGTAGATATTTCATCAAAACATATTAGAGCAAGCATAAGGGGAGGTGCTGTTTTTGTTGATGTACGTTAATTTAAAATGTTTTGAAAAAACTAAACCGAAACTATCGGAAATGTTATTTGTTATTATAGATTGATTTGGCAATAGAGATTGTACCAACTGATAATGATTGGACATTAAAAAGAGGACACATTGTTTTTAAATTAACAAAACAATCTCCTATCGATCTTAAATTCTCCTTCTATTCACCAATACAATTTTCTAATGAAGAATGCACAGAATTTAAAGATCAACCTGCTCCACTTCAAAATGAAACAAAGAGTGATTATTTCAATTTGGTCCGTAGTGATATTATTGATTGTCATGCAAAATATGTAACAATGTGTGAGGAGTTTGAAAAGTCAACATATCCACAGGACATGGATGAACAAACCAGAGAACAAAAAGCAGAGGAATTATTTAAAATTGCAACAAAGGAAGAGGAAGATACAGATAACCTTTTGGAAGTTTTTAATATGTATAGGGAAGCAGCAGATTTAGGACATGGGCCTTCTAGAGAAAAATTTGCAAGACTTTGTCTTATTGATGAAAATAATGAATTCGGAATTGATTCATCTCCTGAATTAGCATTTAATTATATGAAAAAGGCAGCTATTGAAAATGGTTCTCATACAGCCTTATTCCAACTCGGAAATTACTTTATGAAGGGAATAGGAACAGAAAAGAATTATGAAAATGCTTTAATTTGTTTTGTTGAGCATACAATTATTGACGGAAATCCAACATCAATGTTTAATATTGGAGTTCTTTATCATGAAGGAGGTTCGGGTGGAAATGGACAATCATTCAAAAAGGATTATAAAAAAGCATACGTGTGGTGGAAAATTGCATTAAACCGTGGTCATGCATTATCAGCTTACAATATTGGAATTTTATTAAAAAGTGGAGATGGAGTTGATAAGAGCTTAGTGAAAGCATTTCAATATTTTAAACTTGCCAATTTCATGAGTGAAAAAATTCAAATTCCAACTGATGTTCTAATTGCAATTCAAGAACAACAATTTAATGTATTTAAAGGAGAAGAAGAAATAGAACATGATTCCCCAACAGATAGCAATCAAATAGACGAGAATGAAGAAACTAGAAATATGGATTTCATGGATGAAAAGCCATTTAAAGAATTGGAAAAGAACCTAGTTTCAGAAGAGGAAGAAGATGAGGAATACGTCGATGAAGAACTAGATATTACCTCTAAATCAAGTCAAAGAAGTAGATCACCATTCAATCCACAAAGCCAAGATGCAACTCTTGAACAAGATAATGAGGACATGGAAGAAATTCTAAGACAATTATCAGAAAGTAATGGAAAAGTTTCTCCAAAAACAACATCAAGGAATAATAATGAAACAACTACTTCAACCAATCCTGAACCAAGCATTGGGTGGAAGGTAGCAGAATATGCTCTGACAATAGGTGCTGTTATTGGAATGGGCTTTTTACTAAAGAAATCCACAGAATTTCACTAAACTAAAAACTGAGGGACTTTGAAAGGACAACAACAAGGCACACATTTTTGAAAGAAGAGTATCTTCTGATTATCAGGCTATATTCTACACAATAAATTTTACCATTAATATTATCCAGTCATTGGACATAAGTCCTGGAAATTCATCAACATGCTTTCGTGTTATTTGTTTTTCGATCATTTACAAAAAAAATAGCAACACCAGAATGTCTTCTTCCCTTCTCTCATCAAATAAAAACACCATTTCCTTGTACGATTGTAATGATGATGGAGAGGATGTACTCTACAATATGATCAGACAAAACAAACCAAAAGAATTTTACAAATTATTATTCTATCATGCAGTACAAACAAATTTTAAATATTCAGCTGCCATCAGTTATTTAAAACAATTAATTAAATTATTAAATAATAATACTATATTTACTAAACCTACTACGCCTAGTAAAAGTGCACCATCGGAAAATGATGTTTTTGACCAAACAATGAATTTGGAGAAGATAATCTATTTGAATAGGAATATTACTTTTGACTTTAAAGTTAAAAATTTGAATTTTCTAAATAGTATTGTGTATTTCCTATTTTTAAATTATTATAGTAAAACAGCATTGATCTTGTTTTTGGAAGCAATTATGGAAAGTATTGAAAAACATAAACATACTAGTGTTGATTATTTAATTATTGGTCAAGGATTAAGAACAAATTATCAAAATAAGAAGGCAAAATATTATTTCAAGTTGTCACACCAATTAGACAAACTAAACTTTATATTGTACTTGTATTTATCAAATGTGAATAGATCTAAGGGTTATAGTATTTATCAGAATAGATATATTGAACTTGGATTATTCAAAATATCACAAGAGATTAGACTGATTGAACAATATAAAAATAGTGGAGACTATTTACAAAATTATATAATTAATCAATACGAAAAACAATTGAATGAGATATACAATATTCTATACTTAAACAAGTGTGTAAATCTTAAAACTGAGCCCTTGTCAAAGGTTATGGAAATATCTCACAAGTTAGTTTTTCAATCCAATGACTCATATCTTGCATGGTTTTATATTGCATTCTTTTATGGATTTGAAATATGGGATTTGATTAAACCAACTGATGGACATGATGATATCAAGGATGTACCACTTACTGATGGAAATGTTACTCTGAAGGGTATTTCTGATATTCAAAATATATCAGAAATTTATGAAATTTCATTGTATTATTTTAGAAAGTCCTTCAAACATTTATATTATCCACATGCAGACATTTATTTACCACTTATCTTTGAAAATATTGGTATGATTTATGAGAATGATGATAATTTCGAAAAAGCAGCCAAATATTACAACAGTGCATGTGTTATTGGAGAACAAACACAACATTATTGGGCTTTTTCTTCTCGTCTTTCATTCAACATTTATAGAATTAATAACTTTGCACATGCCTATTATGATGCAGTAGTTATATTGGAAAATTGTATATTAAACAGACCAATAGAAGACATGTCATTTGCATCTCATCACTTACTTAAATTATTGGAGTGTTTCTTAACTATTGCAAATGTTGAGGATGTCAAGAAGGTTATAAAATCAACCAGAGAACCACTCAATATTTTGGATATGGTTAATAATATACAAATAGAAGAGCATGAATTGGACGATGAAAATATCTTGATTAAGAAATATCCAAATTTAATGGTTTATTCACCTCCAAACATTACTGGTACTGCCAATATTTCTAGTGAGGAAGATATTTATAAGATATTGAGTAATATCAAGGCAAATGAATATTTTTTGAGAATTCCATTGTATAGCACCAGAAGTAGATTAACTGAACAAGAAAAAGTTAAAATAATTCAAGATTGTAAATATATTGAATCAGAGGAATTGGAATGGTTTATTTCAGAAGATGCCGACTTTAGAGATGTCAATGATAATATCAGGAAGGAATATAGTGAATGGCTTTACCATTCACAGAAAACGAACAGATCTAATTAAAAATTACACAATTTACTTTTTTTTCTTGAAAACATAGTGAACAAACAACATTTGATCTTGAATTTCCTTCTCAAGAACTTCAAATAAAGAGCTAGGCAAATTGATTTCATTCATATCTGATCTAACATTAAGAGTATTGTTAATTTCATCGAGTGTAGAGCAAATATAATTCTTTGCAGAGCTGTCAATCACACTACTTGTAGATTCTTGCATATCACCAAGAATTTCGAATGCAATTTCAATCTTGGTTTTCTCCAATTTTTGAGTTTCGTCAATGACAGTTGAACCCTTCTTTGGAAGCTTTGCAATGAGTTCACAACATTCCCTGTAAAAGATACATTTCTCCAATACACTATACTGTTCACCCATATTATTCTTTTCACAATGTTCTCTGAAAAGTTGTCTCTTTGTTGGATCTTTCATTGTTTCTGCTAATAATTGTGAGTTGAGTGATTGAAGTGTATTCTTTGCTAATCCATCCTTTCTAACCATCATTATAAACACAACTATAGTCACTGGAATAATGATAATCAATGAAATTGAAATAATTATCAAATTTGCAATACTTGATCTCACAACATAATCATCGAGAAATTGACCAACTGAAGTAACCGATTGATGAAACTTTTCATACTGAGCATTCCAATCATTGAGTGCAGCTTGATACTCTGCCGAATAAAACAAACTCTGAGCTAGTTCAAATTGATTGTTTTTCGTATAATTCATCAACATTTCATAATAGGGAAACATTGGAACATTCGAAGTCGAATCAGTTCCATTCAATATAGTCCACTTGAACCCAGTTGGCAAATTAGTTAAGATATTCTTGAAAGAGTTCTTGAAATTCTTGAGATTTGACGTAAATCTCGAATTGGTGGAATTATCTCTTCCAAGCACTGACCACTTCATCGTATCCCATAAAACTGTATTGAAATACTTGGCATCACCACGAGCTATGAGAATTTCAATAGAAGTATTATTGGAAGTCAAATAGGTATTGATTGTGAGGCCAATCAAGGCAAAGAATGCAATAATATTGAAAAATAAACTTCCCAATGTAATAATTCTGAAATAGTTACATGATCTTTTCAATTTTTTAGTGTTTTGGGAAACTATCATGGGAAGCTGGTTGTTATTGGTGGAGGAAGATTGGATTTTAGACATGTCAGCTGTTGTGGTGTCCAAAGTTTTGGGAGATGTTGGATCAAAGTTTGCTTCATCTTTTAATTCAATTGCTTCATAGTCCATTTCGTCTACTGCCACACAACTGGCATTGTCATCATTGTCTTGTTGAGTTGTGTCATCTTGATTGTGTTGTGGAGATTCTTCCATTTCCTGAGACATATTTTTTTAAAGTTATTCGAAAGGGCTTTTATTAATATTAATGAATGACTTGTGGATGTAAACACCCAGAAATGTGCATGATTATTTCTGTCATCACTTGCCATTAAGAGAAAGCACCTTACTTTGATGTTTTTTATTACGCTCGATAGTTTCGTATGAAATCTTAATTTGTATCTGCACTGTCTTTAGTTTGCCCATTTTTCTGACACTTTGATAACATCAAGGGCTTTAGATTCTTCACATCTCCCACAATTGACCATTTCATTGCATCTCAAAAAAAAAACAAATCAAAAAGAATGGCTCAAACTATTGGCGGGAAATCTGCAGCTGCTTTCACACAAACCTCCAGAACATCAAAATTTAGTAAAGGAACAATTTCTTCATTGAGTTTTAAAATTCGATTGTGTTGTGGGGTTTTAGAACTTGACTGCATGCGATTACTGTCTCTAATTAGTTTATTTATTAACATTTCAGCATTTATTATTGTTGCTGGTGTAACCATTGACATGTTTTCGATAACTAATCAATCCTATTCGAAAGTATTAATTGCGAGGGGAGATGCTTTAAATTCAAATGAACTAATGATTGATATTGTAAGAGTTGGAGCATTATCCAGAAATAATTCAGAGATTGACAAGTGGTATTCGTATAGAGATCAGACAATTGAGGCATTGAATCGATTTTTCAAATATGTTGATCCATCTGTCAATACTACAAATTTCAATTCTGGAAGTAGAAATGGACGAGACATGTATACGATTCCATTGATGGAGGAAATTATTTCACACCTGAAAAATCAACAATACGAAAGTGCACTAACTTTGTATCAGGGATTTACTTATCAGAATTTAACTGCCACCTGGTTTAAACAACAATCGGCTGTGTTTAATTTGGTAAAAACAGAAGGAAGAGGACAAGATGATTTAGTTTTGAATTCGTCTACTTCAAATTTGGTGGTGGTTAGTGTTTGTCTTGCAATTGTTATTCCAATTGTTGTTCTAATGACTTGTTTGAATATTCGAAGGGAATCAACCATATCCGAAACTCTTCATAATTCTAGAGCTATTCAATTATTGGATACAATGAATGATCCAATGTATTCTAAATTCTTCAAACAAGCATGTGTTTCAGAGAAAATGTTGGATTCGTACATGTTACTTTCTCAAATTCTGGAATTTAATCAAATTCAAGACGAAACTGAGCAGAGAAATAAGGCTCAGTATATTTATCAAACCTATCTTGCAACTACAAGAAGGGTTCCATTCAAGTTTGTAAGCAAAACACTAATTGCCAACATTTACAAGGATTTACAGGAATCATCATTGCCAGAAAAGGCAATTCGAGTCAGTGTGTTTAGAGAACTTGAGGCGTGCATTTGTGAGGAATTAATTCCGGTTCATAGGATGTTTATGAAGACAATTAAGGATACTGGTAAATAATCTTGTAAAAACTCCATTCACTCGTTTTGGTTTTATTACTTTCTTTTATGGTATTATACTTTTTTGGTAACTAGTTATCACTTGAAATTGAAAACCATATCAGTCAACCGCCTGTCTGTTTTCATTCGTGACATTTTTTGAGTTGAAAACTTTTTATGGATTGGCAATGGGAGAATAAACGTCTTGTCAACTGAAATGGTTTCTGAAATACTTTCACTATCCGTATTAAATCCAACAATTAATCCTCGATTCAACAAACAAAAGTGAAGATTTCTTGATAAAGCTAAAAATTTCAAGAATTTTGCTCCTTTCAAGTTTTCAAACTTGTTCTCCAAGCTTTGAATTGAGATTTCTTGAATGCGTCGATCTTCATCTTGTGAGCAAGTGATTAGTTCAGATTCAGTCAATATAAGAACATGATATCTCATTTCACTAAAGCCAATTGCTATTACTATTTCACATTGATCAATTAGAATGCATAAGAACAAACCTCCTTACCTTCTTCTTTTGGATTCTTATATTCTATTGGCTTTGTGAAAAATGAAATATTTGTTAAAACCATTCCTTCATGTTGGTTTTCTTTAACAGTAAATGTAGTTAATCCAGCTGATGATATGGCATGGAGTTTTGCATCCAAGGACCAACAATCCAAACATTTGACATCTGGCATGGTTTTAAAAATTGACATACCCTTCCCGGTCCATGCTATGCAGAAAAGAAGGGACATTCTTGGACAGGTCACAAATTTCACTTTGCCCACACGTTCTCGATACTCTTGAGGAAGGAGGTCTATAAGTGACAAGTCTCCTCTATGTGTTATTGTAAATTGATCTCCAAGTCTTATTACTACAACTCTTCCACTCTCCATAATCACTAACAATGTGTGCTGGTAAGTATTCAGAAGAACTTTACAAATATTTCCACAATTCGAAACATGACTTGATAAATCTGCAAATATCTTCAAATCACTATTTGCAACGACTTTCAATTCATTTCTACTCCAAGAAATCACGAAATCTGAATTATATTCCAAAAAACCAAACACTTTATCGGAATGTATCTGTTCAATATAAAGATTATATTTTAAATTTTCTAATTGACCAGAAATATTGTGGCAAGCAATACACGATACTGAACCATCTTCATGTCCAATAAATAAATAACAATTTTTATCATCTGTTATTTTAGTGGCAAAGAATTGAGTGATTGGAGAGTGTGGTGGTGATTCGAACATTTTTTAACAAATCATCTTCCAGTACAACCAATCATGAACAAGCTTATTGGTTATTATTGGCTACATTTCCTCCATTTTGAACTGCCAACATATTGATGTAGTTAATGTAATTGATTTTTCCTGTATTTTCTGGGTCAACATTAGCAAGCAATTCGGTTGCTTCCTGTAGAGTGATTGGGTTGTCTCCATAAGTTGTCAGAGCATGTTCCAAAGTTTTGGTTCTTACTACACCATAAGGGCAATCCTCGGTTTCAAAAGTTTTAAATGCATTAATATATTGATCAACTGTGTATTGTGATTGAACACTTCTCGACATGACAGCAACAAATTCCTCAAAATCAATAGCTCCTGAATTATCAGCATCACTATCAACATAATAAATAAAATAATAATAAGGAAACCTACGCTTCCTTCATCATTTCCTGAATTTCTTCCTCCGAAGGCTTCAATCCCAATGTTCTCATTAATGTACCTAATTCTTCCTGTTCGATTGATCCACCTCCATCTCTATCGACAAGTTGAAAAATTTCTCTATATCTTCTTACATCTTCGTCCGAAACTTGATGACCAAGCACCGTTGATTCAGCTTTTGAAGTTGGTGCAATGTAGCTTTGTTTTTTCTTCATTTTTTTTCTAATTTTATTTCTGTAATTTGAATGGCGCCAAAACTCCCATATTCTTAATATTTTCTTTAGCAATACTTGTATTTACAAAATTTTCGTTAGTGATTATTTATTAAATACTCGGTTAATTTACTTGAAGAGCTTTTCGAAGGTTTCGAAACCACCAGCAAGATTCTTAACATTTTCCAAACCATTTTCGTTCAAAATTCTTTGGGCCATATATCCTCTCATACCAATTTTACAATATGTTACAATAGTCTTATCCTTTGGAAGTTCAGAAATCTTTTCTCTCAATTGTTCAATTGGGATATGGATAGCACCTTCAAAGTGACCAGATTGGAATTCTCTTGGAGTTCTAACGTCAACCAAAGCATATTGATCTCTGTTAGCCAAAACTTCTGGAATGTGAACCATTCTTTGTTCACCTCGCAAGAGACCACTAGCAATGAAGCCAATCATGTTGACTGGATCCTTAGCAGAACCATATTGTGGTGAGTAGGCAAGTTCTGATTCTTCCAAATCAAAGACAGTCATACCACCTTGAATAGCCATGGCGATAGCATTAATTCTATTGGCAATACCATTGTGTTCACCAACAATTTGAGCACCCAAAATCTTACCATAATTTTCCTTAGAAGTGTCGAAAATCAATTTGAGAATCATTCTCTTAGCACCTGGATAATAACCAGCATGGTCATTGACAGGAGTGTAAACCTTTTCATAAGTTGTGTATCCAACTCTTTGGAGACTCTTTTCACTGGCACCAGTACCAGCAATAGTATAGTTGAAACCACCCATAATACTTGTACCTTGGGCACCTCTGAATGAATCTGGAGTCTTACCAAACATATGGTTGACTGCAATTCTTCCTTGTCTGTTAGCAATACCTGCCAATGGAATTTGAGTCCTATTCTTCAAAACGAAATCTTCAATTTCAGTGTTGTCACCACAAGCATAAATATCAGGATCAGAAGTTTGACAGTTTTCATTAATTACAATACCACCTCTTGGACCAACCTTCAAACCAGATTCGACAGCCAATTTGTTTTCTGGCTTAACACCAACAGATAAAAGGACGAAATCAGCATTAACAACCTTTCCACTTTCAAGATGAACATTAACAGTTCCATTTTCACCTTCTCCGAATTTAACACACTTTTCTTTCAATAATAAATTAACACCACTAGCCTTATAATCTTCCATCAATGGTTGAACCATTTCCTTATCCATTGGTGGCATAATTTGATCCAATAATTCAATAATGCTGACATTGACACCAGCATGAGTGATAGCTTCAGCAACTTCACATCCAATGAAACCACCTCCGATGATAACACCCTTCTTTCCTGGAACAATGTGTTGCTTAATCTTGTCCATATCTTCCAATGAACGTAAAATGTGAATAAGTGGATTATTAATACCTTCCCATGGTGGAATAATTGGTTCAGCACCAGTTGAAAGAACTAGCTTATCATAATTTTCGGAATATTCAGATTCCTTAGCCTTGCAAATAACTTGCTTGTTGGCTCTATCGATTTTGATGACTTCAGTTTCAACTCTGACATCAATGTTGTATCTTTTTTTTAAAGTATCAACTCCGGTAACAATCAAACTGTCTCTGGAAGCAATTTGACCACCAAGAAAATATGGCATACCACAGTTAGCAAATGAAGGATTCTTTCCCTTTTCGAACAAGACAATAGAAACCTTTTCGCAAATTCTTCTAAGTCTAGTGGCAGCAGAAGCACCTCCAGCGACACCACCAACAACTACAACTTTGTGAATCAATGATGACATTTTGAGCTATTTTGTTTGTATAATTTTTGGGTAGAGTTGTATGATGCTTGTTGGCTATTTATTCAAACCATGACGAGGCCACTTGGAGAACTAAAAAGGTGAAATTAGTGTCGGCGAAAAATATTGGGGCCGAAATGTTGAACGTAATGATGGGAGAGAAGGCACAATTGCCTGGTTTCTCCATTACTCAAAAGACACCTCAAGACAAGGATGGAAATTACATGTATCTTGAGTTGTCTGGATAATAAAATGACAAACATTTTTTTAATTGAAAAAACCACAATAAATTAAGCATCACATGGAGGGAAAGAGCAAGACACTCTTACCTTGCATGAATAGTTAGATTTTTGTTACGTTAATCACTCCTGGGTACTACTCTCGAATATCATCTTTAATGATACAAGACACGGACTTGGGATAATAATTTGGAATGCTCCTACGGCTGTATGTGACCGAAATCGGATACAGTGATTCATATGCGTCCCAAATCTTTCTGGTTTTTCTTTTGGTTCTGTTGTAAAAGATTTAACTGTTTGAGTTTTGGATTCTAAAGTTTTAATTTTATCCATTTAAATCATATTTACAACATGGACAAGTGTGGTTTTCCTCTAACCACTTGTCAATACAGTCTCTGTGAAAAATGTGTAAGCAAGGTAATCTCCTTAACTGCTCTCCATTCTGATATTCTTCCATGCAAAATGTACAATTATTATCATCAAAATTATGTTGATTATTGTTAAATATTGTTATTGGAAGATTAGTCAATAAATCCTTATTGACACCAATTTTGATATTAGCCTCATCCAATCTTAATAACTCCTCATAAGACTCCTCTCCTGTAAAGTTTTGAACACTTGAGCTAAGGGGATTAGCAGTACGAATATTTGATGCGAAGGAAGGAGCACTATAGTTTCCTCCAAGATTATTAGAAATTAATTCATCAAAGTTTGTAACTCTAGATTGATAGCTAGCAAATTCTTCTTGTTGCAATCTTCTGGCTAAGATTTCATCCTCAGAAAGGTTATGTTGTGTAGACGCTGATGCTCGAGAATTATTGGATGAGGAAGATGCTTCTGATGAGCTACTACTAGTCGTAGTAGTAGATCTTGGAAGAAGTAGTCTCGATTGTGCAGTCTTGGACTTTGAAGCTATTGAGGGTCTCAGTGAGGGATTTCTAACAGGCTTAATTTCAGAAACTCTCTGAGTGGTCGATGTTGTTGACCCAACCTCTATTGCTCTTTTTACTGCTGATGTTGATGATGTTGGGGTAGCAGATTTTGTTGATGATGACGAGGTGTTAGTTTTTGTTAATATAGAGGAAGAGTGTGGAATTCTTGTTGGAGTTAGAGTAGATGGTGGTTTGTATAATGATGGTTGAACTGTGGCAATAGTTGGTGGTGAATCTTTGTTTTTTCCTATTATTGCAAGATCATCATTTCCAGAGTTTAAATGTACTGCTGATCCACTTGGAGATTTGTCCTTTGCTCGTAATTGTCTTTTCAGAGCATCATTACTAGCCTCTAATTGTTTAATCAATTCTTTAGCTCGCCCTAATTCATCTTCCAAATATTTGATCTTTTTATCCTTTTCTTGTGTTTCCCTGCAGAATTTTATAATAAATTATTACTAATAATTACTAGTACATACACCTCAAAACCACTGATTTTAATGGCTGCCTCCTCTAAAGCTAACTCCAAGGCATAAGAGTTGGTGTTCGGATTTCCAAAGTCGTGGAAGGTATTTTGCATTTTTATTTTTGTTGGTTTGCAATTTTCGTTGTTGAGCGGTAAATTTTGGCGGCAAACAATAGTTTCCTCAATCAACACCACTTTCTTTGGTAATGAGGATGATCTTTTGGTGTTGTTAATCTTTTTCATACATTCTTTTTAATTCTTTGAGGTAGGTAGTACTATTTACAATACAAGTTCCTCCAAGAATGACAGATTTGAAATTGTCATCAAGTTGATTAAGTGAGCTAATAACACCTAACTGAAGTGATTTTTGTTCCTCTTCCTTTCTTCTTGATTTGTTATTGAATAACTCTACAGTAGACGCTTCCTCATAAGTGATACCTCCAACAATAAATACAATTACTTCTTGTGGAACTTCTCTTGATGTCAATCCCATAAATGGATAATCTGTGAGGGATAACTTTCCTTTAAATAATTGATCCAATGTATCATAAAGACGAGGTTTGTGTTGAGTGAAAACATTTAAAACTTCCTGATCTTTGAATTCATTGGCCACCTTTTTAAATAACTCTTTGAAAGAAATAGAGGTTGGCTCCTCATCGAACAAACCTTTGGTACGTTTTGCCTTACCTCCGTGTTCAATAGCATTGTCAATCAAACCAATGTCCTCAACACCATTTCTACGAAGAATAGTCTTTAAGGTTCTTATATTATCAATATTATCTTCATATCTCAAAGCATAAAGAATTACCAAACGAAGAGCATCCTTTTCAGATGTTGTTTCTCTACTCAATATGTCTTTCAAAGCTTCAAAATTTTTGTTATGATTTTTTCCACAAACAATCTCCTGCTCAACCTCACTAACATCTAAGAGTTTACGCTTAGCCACAATAGATCTCAATTCTGTAACCATAGTGACATGCTTCTCTGTTTCTTGTTGTTGCTTCTTAAATGATGGGAAATTTTGCATAAAATTGGCCAAATCCTCAATTGTCTGGATGCTTTCCTTCATGTTGTGATTTTCTTGGAAGACTTCTACAACCTGCTTTACATTTTTACACAAATCTCCCCAGTTTTCATACATATTGTTCGAGTAAAATTCGTCATATTGAGCTGAAAATACTTCCTCTCTCTTGGTTGATGGATATTTGATAACATTGTTTTTAAGGCCAATCAACTCATGAATCATAGCTTGATACGTCCATTGCATTAAAAGAGGTGTCACTGGATCATCTCTACGATCAATTATTAGTACAATTGGTTGAGGAGGGGCTTTAGTATGGTATCTTGTTTCGTAATCCATTTTGAAATCAAAAATGCCATTATCATGACTATTTGTTGAGATTTTTTCACCAAGCTCGGTAGCAATCTTTTTACAAATATCTGATGATTGTTGAAATCTAATAATTGGTCTCTTTTTTAGTGAAATTAATGAACTTGACAAGCCATCAATAATTCTACGAAAGGCAATGTCATCCCATGAATTATTCAGTATTGATGCTGTACTTGAAATATTGAGGGAAAATATTGATTTATCCACAGCTAAATAATCTGTAAAATATTCAAATACATTCTTAACTAGTTCATGTTTGTCACTTGAGGCAAGTTTTTCTAACAAGTGTTGACTAATTACATTTGAAAAATCTTTTTTGCATAATGTTTAAAATTTTCAACTTGAATAAAACTTACAAATATTATATGATTGATACTTTGGATTAACAAGTTCTGCCTTAAGTAATTCCACATTACCATTCGTTGGCCTGACAAATACTATTGCTCTCATATTCTTGAGTGATTGTCTTGCTTCATTTTGCAGCACATCAACGAGAAAGACATTCTTTTGCATGATGGAGCTGAATGGTGTGACCACAGAAATTATATCTTTCTATCATCGGAACACATAGTTGATCAGAATTCTATTATTCTATTCTACTAGTACACTTACTGTAAATTCATCAAGAATTAATACTTTCACTCCACTCACACTGTCAACCATATCTAAAATATATTCGTTAATTGACTTGGCAACATTCATTCTCCTTTGATCCTCTGCTGTTTGTACAGCATTATTTGATGATGGATTATTGTTGTTGAGCATTTTTATTTGATGTTGTTTTCAAATTGTTTTCTATTTGTATCACTTTCCATGTTTATGAAACAACGGATCGATAGAAGCCCTTTCAACGTTTATTGATGACAAATCAAACTCTTCCTGTTACAATAAATCTAGGAGTGAAAAGAATGATTGAATCCTATTTTAATCTTCTACAATTAAAAATTGATTAACTTTGAGGGTTGAGAAACAGCAGCAATCAAAATCTTAAAAAAAAATGAGCGTAAAAACCAAGGCTTCTCTGCCTTCACAAGAATCATCGAATTCTTCCTCTCAAAAATTTCTCATCATCTCTGGTTTATTGTTGGGATTTTCGATTGTTTTTCGCTTTGTTAATAGACAATTGGATTCCGAAACGAATCAATCCTTCTTCGGAGATATTATTAATGTTTTCTCCTCCTTTTTATTTACAGTTTTATTGATTATGTTTTCTCTCTGTATATTAATGTGCTCTATATTATTCTTGTTACTTTTCCGTAAAGGAAAACCAACACATATTCAATCATCAAATGCTGGTATTGATATTTCTAGTAAAGTAATTGTTAGTGAGAAGGCAATTAATGATATCAATGACGAAAGTGTATTTTTCGTTAGAGAACAAGAAAGTGATGACGGAGATTGCAAATGGTTGAACATTATTCTCAATAGAGTTTTACAACAATATTTCTATAAGAATGCTTCTAAAATCAAAAAACAAATTTTACAAAAAGTTTCAGAGGAAATGAAATTACCAGATTTTGTTGGAGATTTACAAATTAAAGATTTGAATTTTGGATCAAAATCACCATATTTTAAGACCATTTCTGCAAAGGAAGATAGAAATGGATTGCAAGTTGATATTGCTGTAGTTTATGATGATCCAAAAACAAAGATTCACCTCGGAACTGAAATTTGGATTAATTATCCAGTTAAGAGATTTGCCTCATTCCCAATTCAATTTGCCATTGAAAATATTTTCCTTGATGCTAAGGTATGTTAAATTTAGGAATATGATTCAGATCTTACCTTGTGCTAAATAGATGAGAGTAATTTTATCACCAGATTTCAAATTGCTCAAGTTCTGTTTCCTCAAACAACCAAACTTTGATTTGATCTTTTCTAATGAATTTGGACATCATTCTTCACTTCAAAACTTGCCAATCTTGACTGACATTATTAATAGACAAATTTACCTCTTATTGAGTGAAACATTGGTAGCTCCTAACTTTATTGAAATACCAATCCCAGAACCAAGTGAAAAAAAGACTAAGAAGAGTGAACAAGAAGATGAAGCTGATGTTCAAGCTGATAATGGAGAATACTCTAGTGATGATTTAGAAAGTAATAATGACGATGAATTATCTTCAAGAGGAAGTGATGATGAAGATACAATTGAAGAGGATCAATCAAGACAAAGAATAACAAATAGAAAGACTAAACGTTCTACTACTAGGCCAACATCCAACAAGAAGTAAATATCCATTATTTAAAAAACAATAAATCAATAATATAATTTTAAATAATAATTGTTATTAATATATGTCGAATTTTACAATCTGTTAAATACTCCGCTATCCAAGAAAAGCTTTCATCTATTGATCCTTTGTTGATTCAATAACATCTACAATTTGTTTCACTTTCTTGCTCAAACGGGCAAGATTTGTTGTTGATGTAGTGATTTGAGAACCTTGTTCGGATGATTGTTTTTCAAGGGCAGCAATTCTCTTTTCCAATTGTTCAGCTTCACTAACAGCTTGTTTAACAAAATTATGTGTATCCATTATAGTACTTTCCAAAGCACGGGATGTGTTATAAACATCTCTACGAAGATAATAATAAGAAAATGTTGTGCCGGTAATAGCTCCCAAAGCGAATGGTAATAATCTGCTCATTTTTTGTTGTTGGTGTGCTTTTTGATTGTTGTTGTTTGATAAACAAAGTAATTTTAATAATATCAATATTTGGTCATGTTGAGGATTGGTATTAACCTTCAACTGCTCTAATAACTTGTCGTGAAAATTAATAGTATTATTTGAAATTAAATTGTATAGAATTTTTCATCAGTTTTCTATTTATTTTCTCCTTCAAACTGCAAATTGAACTGTAAAACAGAACACGGTTTTCAGAAATTAATTGACAAGAATAAATTTTGTTTGGTGTAATCATGAGTATGTTAGCCATTAATACAACCAACATTCTAATATCGATTGACGAATTAATTATCAGAATTGAGTCCAACATTTTGAGGTTGAAGGCTTTTCTCTCTTAAAAATGGCTGGTAAAATTCTCATTGTAAACAGATATATGACTTGGTAAACCACTGAATGCCATAAATTTTGTTGAAAAAAAATCGCAAAAAGGTAACTATAGCTCGCATTTTTTATTGCTCACTCTAAACTCTAACTTGTTTGACAAACAAAAAACAGAGATGAACTCAAATAAGCAAGCTTTCAAGGTTTTCACCTACAGAGGTCACAATTTGGACGCCCTCATGGCCATGGAAAATGACGAATTGAAGAATTTGTTCACTTCTGCTCTTAGAAGAAGAATTGGTAAGGGTATCTCCAAGAAGTACAAGACTTTGATCGAAAAGGCTCAAAAGAAGAGAGACACTGCTCCATACGGTGAAAAGCCAGACGCTGTCAAGACTCACTTGAGAGATATGATCATCTTGCCAAGCATGATTGGTTGTGTTATTGGTGTTTACCAAGGAAAGGACTACGTCTCCGTTGAAATCAAGCCAGAAATGGTTGGTATGAAGTTGTCTGATTTCTCCCTCACTTACAGACCAGTTAAGCACGGTAAGCCAGGTATCGGTGCTACTTCTTCATCTAAGTTCGTCCCATTGAAGTAAATCATTTATCATAATAAATTAAATATTAAAAAAAACAATTATAAAAATTGGGATTTTATTTTGTTATTAAAATTCATTTTGAAAGTTATTTTTGTAAATTAAACAAGGGATTTTACTTTTTCAAAATAGGGAGAAATACTCCAAGATTGAGAATAGAAAGCCAGAGTGGTGTTGCTGAGAGAAGTACTTCCTTGTGAATCGTCTTTCTTCTTTGATTGATTTTCATTCAAAAATTCCTTTCGGTCTGTTGTTGTCATTCGTTTGCATTCTGAAAGTATGAGTTCTTTCATGGTGTAATCCTTTTGTAACAATTCTATTATTGATTGAAGATACAGATTTTGTTTCTCAGTTGTGCAGGTTGACAGTAAAGTAATCAATTCCTGTAAATATCCATTCATTGTGACATGTATTAAATTATTCAATCTGGTAACAAGATTAAGAATTTCCGAATATACTTTTCTGGTCACATTCTGTTTTAAAACATCTCCTATTACCATTGGACATTGTTGAAATACTCCCCAGTAAGGACTCTCCATATAGTCTTCTTCAATTAATGATTTTTCCAGACCCGATAAAATATCATTTCCATCCAAAATCGTTTCTCCCCATTTTTGAATTATTAATTTAACTTTTGGTAGTATCAACCCGAGTGGATTTAAACTTGATGTATTGTTATTCTTACTATTTACATATTGTTCCGATTGTTTGTGTTGTTGCTGATTATTGTTGGCTTTTAAACTCATTTTTTCTTTTCTTTCAAAAACTTTTTTGTCTTTTCATCTTCTCTTTTACTTCTTTCTAAATATTCTTTCATGAGATCTTCATCCATGGATGATGATTTTGTGGAGTTGTTAGAGGATGATTTCTTCTTTTCTGATGATTTTTGAGTGGCTTGATCTACTACTTTGGATTGACTTGGTGTTATAGGAGTATTGGTAATAATATTATTTTGAGAATTTACCACTTTGTGAAATAATGATTTTGAGTCATAGTTCAATACATCTTTAAAGGTGGTAATTTTAGAGTTGTTAATCAATGATTCTTCAGTTTTCTTCTTTTCAATATTTAAATTTGAAGGTGAAGTAGTGGTAGGATCCTTCCGAGAGTGATCAATCACCTTAACTTGTTCAATTGTTGAATTTGATTTTACTTTTTTAAATTGTTCATAATTTTCTTCCGATTGTTCCTTCTTTCTCTTTCGTTCTTGTTCTTTTTGTTTTTCATTTTCAATAGATTTAATCTTGTTTACTTTTTCTCTGTTTTTTTCTGAAGAGATGTGCCACGATTTTTTAGAGAGCAAATCAGACATTTTTTTATTATTTAAATTCAATAAATATTACAATTTCCTTAATTTACAATACTTAATTCAATTTGATATTGTTACTTTCCTTTTCATAGACAGCATCTTCATCAGATCCTCTCAAAATTAAACGATCATCACTATCTGGAATGTCAACAATTAAAGAGTGGAATGTGAAACGATTTCTAATAATATTTAAAATTCCACTCTTTCTAGAAGCATCACAAGAAATCATGGCAGTCTTTTTGTTTGGATCTTGAAGTTGGAAAATGAGTTGAACTCTTTTTGGTTTCCAGAATTGAAGCTTTCTAATAAGTGGAACATCGTGAGCATTATTAAAATCTGGATAAGTGTATGAGTAAGCTCTGAATTTTCCAGGAGTGAGTGGAGTGAGCATATTATCTCTGACACTCTTATTGGCTAAAACCTTTTTAACAGCAGCTTTATAAACAGCTGATGGACTAATACTGAATGAAACAACTGCCAAATAACTAAGTCCACATGAAATTAAACCAGTGAAGAAACCAGTGTAAAATGAAACTGTAGCAACATTCTTAAATGTGATAGAACTCAACCAATCAGTAATTTCCCAAACTATTCAACTATTTAATATTAAAATCCAATATACATACCAATCCACAAAACACCAAATATTGCTGTTGAAATGATGGCATATCTTACAAAGTACATTTTCCAAAATTTAACAAGAAGTGGAATGTTAATATCTGGTCTATCTTCATCCATAATACGTTCCTTATCGTTGAAAACTTCAACAGGGACAATTTCCTTTTCCAAATCCCTTTCTTCTTCATAAATAAATAATTTTTCATCCTTCTTTTGTGGAGTTTTATTTTCTTGTTTTACTTGATTATTCTTTGAATGGAATGAAGCCACAATAAAAGATCTGTTATTAATATGTACAGATGTAATTTTTGTTGTTGGTGATGAAAAGAGTGATGGCTTGGCTGTTTTATGGGCCAAGGAAATTACACGTTTGAACATTTTTTTTGATTGAATAAAGTTCAATGATCTTAAATTATTAAATTGATAATAATAATATTTGCATTGCAATGATATAAATTATTTAATTTCCTATTAGTTTAAACAAAATTATTCAGTCTTCTTAGCTTTTTCAGCCTTCTTCTTAGCAATTGCTCTAGCATTTTGTTGTCTCAAATTAAAGAACAAAATAAAGAATGAAATAACAATGAAATCACCTGACAATGAACCAATCAATGAACCAGTACAAGTGTTTCCCTTAGGTCTTTCCCAGAAGATTTCAACATATGAGTAAGCAGTGAAAGCAGCAGCATCAAAAATGAATTGAGTTAATTGAATATCAGTCAAATACATCTTCCACCAGACATCAAAACCTAAAGTGACCTTCATGTAGTAATAGTACATAACAATGTGAACAAAAGTATTCAAAATAATTGGAATCCATTGTCCAGTACCTCCACTGTACAATCCATAATAACAAATTGACATTGTGGTGACATGGTGATAGGTGTGAATAAATCTGAGTCTAGATCTTCTGATAACAAGGAGGAAAGTATCAAAAAGTTCTACATATTTAGACAAGTAATACTATTATTTAAAATTTAAAAATTCAATTTAAAAATTCAATCATGTGAAAACATACCATGTAGGTCCAGAATGGAATATAACCAACGTTATACTTATGTTCAGGGTCACACAACAAACTGTAGAAACCATCCTTCAATCCAATAGAAGTAACTTCAAACAACAATCCAAAGAAACAGACAAGGGAAATAACAGTCATATTCAAATTATGTAAAAAGGCTAAAACCTTCAAAATCTTTTGTACAAAGGTTGGATTCTTATGTTCTTGTTCCATTTCCTCTCTGGACTTGGTACCAAGAATAAAACTAAGAGTATAGGAAACAACAAGATATCCGACCAAAGTCAAACCAATAGATGGTAAACTGGAGAGAGGAGCAGCATCTTGGTCCCAGTTAAATTTGCCACCAACTTCGAGGTAGGTTTCATGAATAGAATTCAATGAAGTAATATCGAGCTTGTGATAAGCATCAACAAAAGTCTGCAATGTTGTGAGTGGTAACTCTGGATGTGTGGAAGACATTTTTTTGTGCTGAGTTTTTTTGTACGCTGTTAAAAAGTCGAAAAGCTAACGGTACTTGAAAGTTACGATTTTTAGGCGGCAAACTTCCTTTTACTGGTATTGTTACCAATAACACTCTTGGTGTTGTGGTAATCCTCCTCAATGATTGTTATGGAGTTTGAGACGTTGAGGTTTCTTCTTGCTGAATTGTGCTTGATGATTCTTTTAAAAAGAAAATGGAAGATTGGTATCCTATCGTTATCATTCTATGAGGATTCAAATTCAGTGTTGATGAAGTGATTGAGTTTTTTTTTGAGGGAAGATTTAAGATTTGTTTCTTGGCTGTAGATACAATAGTAGAGACAAACGGTCCTTGTAACAAGATAAATCGAGTCATTAGTGAATATCACACCTAAACTACTGCTGCAAGTGTTACAGCTAAACCAAATACTCTGTATGACTCAGGTCATGCGTTGGCAAAAACTATTTTTCATCATTAAATAAAAAATGTCTAATCATTCAAAGGGTGCGTTGTCGATTTTATTTAGATTCTAAAAACTGTTTTTTAATTGTATCTGTGATTACCGATCCGTGGTTATTATATTGTACAAAACTTAAATCATCGGATGAATATATTGTGATGGTTGGAAAATAGAATTTTTCGAGCTTATCCGTGGAATTGGTGAAGCCAAATCTAAACAAGAGGAAGATAAACTCATCCTCAAGGAAATGGCTATTCTCAAAACAGGAATGGAAAATCCAAAAGTTACTTTGGTACGTTTAATCTATTTTACTTTCCGTTCGAAAATTTTCATTTAGAAATTGATGAAGGAATATATGGTTAGACTTTTATATTGTGAAATGCTCGGACATGATGCATCATTCGGATATGTTAATGCTATTAAACTCACATCAAGTAAGGAAATGTTGGAAAAGAGAATGGGTTATTTGGCTGTTACTCTCTGTTTACCTCCAGACCATGAATTATTATTATTATTGATTTCAAATTTACAAAACGATATGAAATCTACTAATTTTGTATCTGCTTGTTGTGCTTTAACAGCAGCAGCTAAGATTGTAAATGAGGAAACAGTACCTGCTCTTCTTCCACAAGTACTTGAATTGAGAAAACACGCTAAACCAATAGTAAGAAAGAAGGTTATTTCAACCCTCCAAAGATTTTATCAAATCAGTCCTTCATCAGTGCCAGACATTGTTGAATACGCTAAGGAATCACTTTGCGATAGAGATCCATCTGTTATGGGTGCTTCACTTTGCTTAATTTATGATCTTTTAGTCTCACAAGAATATACAAGACAACTCAAGGATCTTGTACCAGGTCTTGTTGCTATCCTTAAACAAATTATTGAAAGAAGATTATCAAGAGATTTTGATTATCACAGACTTCCTGCTCCTTGGATTCAAATTCATGTATTGAAATGTTTGGCTTTACTTTGTGCTGATGATAGACAATCTTCTGAGTTGGTTTATGAAGTTTTACGTGATGGTATGCAAAGAGCTGATACTGGTCTTAACATTGGACATGCTGTGGTTTTTGAATTTGTGAAAACAATTACAACTATTTATCCAAATAACTTACTATTGGAAAGTGCTGCTAGTGCTATTAGTAGATTTATTACAAGCTCAAATCATAATCTCAAGTATTTGGGTATTCAATCCCTTACTCAAATTGTTAAAATCAATCCAAAGTACGCCATTCAACATCAAATGGTAGTTATTAATTGTTTGGAAGATACTGATGAAACTTTGAGAAGAAGAACATTGGAATTACTTTTCACCATGACAAATGCTAACAACGTTACTGTTATTGTGAAGAGACTTTTGGAATTTGCTAAAAAGTCTATTGATGCTCACATGAGAAAGGATCTTATTGAAAGAATTTCAATTCTTGCTAAGAATTTCTCACCAAGTATTCCTTGGTACCTTGACACTATGAATAGCCTTTTTGAGATTGATCCACAATATATTCCTCAAGAATCTCTCCAAAATATGATGAGTGTTATTGGTGAAGGAGTTGGTGTTGAAGAAGATGATGCTGAAATGAGAAGTCACTGTGTTGAAACTTTCTGTAATGTTGTAGATTCAAAGAATGTTATTCACGATCTTCACATGCAAGTTATTGCTTGGGTTTTGGGAGAATATAGTTATATGAATGAATCTTATGATTCTTCTGATATTTTGGCTAAGTTATGCGAATTAGTTGAAAGACAGTTGGAATTTGAGGAAACTAGATGTTGGATTATTACAGCTATGCTCAAGATTATCGCTCAATGTAAATATGCTTCTCCTGAAATTGTTGAATACTTTAGAAAGTACAAAGATTCCAAGAATGTTGATTTACAACAACGTTGTTATGAAGGTATTGCTCTTGTTGATGCATGTGAAAGATGTGGATGGGATGATATCATGGATGCAGTTCTTCCACTTGATGGAGCTTATGAGGATATTGAAGTTGATTCCAAATTGAGCTTTGGTCAAGAGTATGTTAATGGTTTATTGAGAAAGGGAGCTAAAAAGTATTTGAGCACTGATGATCAACGTCAAGTTCTTTCTGATGTTGCCACAAAGCCTGCTAAACGCCAACTCAAGTTTGACAAATATGAAAATCCAACTTCTTCAGTACCAGTTAGCACTAATATTATTGAAAACGCTCCTATTGATCTTGCTTCTGCTAGAGCCAACACCAACACCATGAATAATTCGACAATTAGCACTTCTCTTCCAAAGAAGAAGGGAGGCAAATGGGGTTCAGAAGATACTATTCCTGAAGAGCCTGTCAAGGAACCTACACCTTCTGTTGTGACTCCAAGTGAACCAAAGCATACTTCTCCATACTCTGATTCTCATTCACCTGTTACAAAACCATCAGCTGAGCCAAAGGTTGACACCAAGACTATGAAGAAGCTTAATCAATTTGGAGGTATGTTTTTGGGTATGGATGGTGGTTCTGGTGCTGCAGGCGGTTCTTCAACTGCTAAACCAAAGAAGCAACCAGCTAAACCTGCTCAAAGAAAATTATCAAAGGGACATACTCACAAGCCACAACCTTCTCTCTTTGAAGAAGAAATTGTTCCTTCCAATTCACAATCAACCAAAGTATCTACACCTGGTGATATTTTCAATGATTTTGAAACAATGACTATTCACACACCTTCTCAACCACAACAAACACGTCAACAACCTGTTGTTCAAAAATCATCAAATCCATTGGATGATTTCTTTGATTTGACATCAGCACCTGTTCTTACTCCATCTCAACCTGCTAAGAGTAATGACCTCTTAGATTTTGGACAAATTCTTGAACCAACAAAGGCGGTTAAGAATCAACCAAGACCAATGGATACTCTTCAACCACAAAATAAGTTGAAAAAGACTACCAATCTCATTCAACAAATTTCCTCAACTTATCCAAGTTCCTTCAAGGATTTGACACAATTAGCAAGAGATGATCGTTTGGTTGTAGATTATAACAAATTTTGGAAGGATGATTCATTGATTATTGCATTGATGGTTTCGACTGATAGAGGTTTCACACTTTCTCAAATTTCTTTCCAATTTTCCCCACCTTCTAACTTTGCTATGAGCCTTCAAACTGATTGTGAATCCAGACCAAAGCAAAATGGTCTTACATTTGCTAGTTTGGATCAAACAAGACCAGCTTCAATTATTATTTCATTGTCTCCTCAAGATATTGTTTTGGGAACTCGTTTGGTTGGTCAAGTCACTTACTCTAATGAAAATAATGCACCATCTTACTTTAGTTTGAATATTCCAATCGATACTGTTGATATTTTATCTGAATATCCAGATTTTGGTTCTACAAAACAATTTGCTGATGGTTGGAAGAAATATACACAAGAAAAGAAGAACTCTATTAAGGTTTCTGGCATTTTTGATATTAATCGTTGTATTCAAATTTTGAAAGAAAAGGCTAAAGTTTCTGTGATTCAAATTATTGACCTTGAAGTTATTGGTGTATGTAAGGTGGTTGGAAGAAACGATGTTGTTTTAATCCACAGCAAGTTTAATCCATCTGGTACAGCAATGATTACTGTAAGAACTGCCAATCCAACTCTTACAGGAAACGTTTCTGTATTAATTAATTCAATTTTCTAAACTAAAATAAACATGTACTTGTAAACCAGCTTATACAATTATTGTTGATTTTATTGAAGTTCATTATCAGCAACATTTTCATTATCATCTTCCATGTAAATAGAATCAGAAGGTTGCCAAATTTGAAGAATGTTATCTTCTGCAACAGAAGCAATAGTCCATTCTCCTCCTTCATTTGGATTCCAAGAGAAGTCAGAAATTTTAGATGTGTGACCACCATGAATAAAGAGAAGTTCTGGAGGACCATCTTCTGAGTCTTCAGGTGATTGTTCCATTCCAATTCTTGAAATATCCCAGATCATAACCCTTCTATCAGTACCACAAGAAGCCAAAATAGTTTCATTAGATGGAGACCAAGAAACAGAGAAAACTTCATCAGTGTGACTTTCTAAAGTGTGGAGTTCAGATTTGAGGTTTCTCATATCCCACAATTTAACAGTCTTATCGGCAGAACCAGTTGCAAAAACATATTCACTGTATGGTGAAAAATCAATACAATTAACTTCAGCTTTGTGAGCTTCAACTGTATGGGCAGCTTTTGTACTAGTTTGTGAACGAGTATCAAAGATACGAACATGTTTGTCGTCACAAACTGAGCCCAGCAAATATTCATGAAGTCTATGCCAAGCAACATCTTCAACAACACCAGAATGTCCTTCCATAGTCAACAATGGTTGTAAACATCCCTTATCAATTTGATTTTGTTGAGCGAAAATATCCCAAACACAAACTTTGCAATCATCACTTCCACTTGCTATCAGACCTTCCTTCTTGTAACTCCAACATAAGCCATATCCTTCTTGTGTGTGACCCTTCAATCTTAAGGTTGGTGTACATTGAGTTGTTTTAGGAATACTTTCAAAATCGGTATATTTGAAAATTAAAACTTGTCCATTGACAGACTTTGTGGCAATGTACTCAGTTTGTTGAGGCATATAACGAGCTCTGTTAACTTCTCCTTCATGATTAATACGTTGAGTAATTTCAACCTTTCCTCTGCCGATAGTTCCTAGAGATCCAGAATCGCCATTGGTATCATACTTTCTAATATCAACATCAGAATTATTGGTTGGCAATTCAACATCGGCCAATAAAAGATAATTTTGTTCAGATTGTGAAGTGTGGGTTCCTAGGATAAGCTTTTGGGAGGTATGACGATCAAAACTATTATAATTAACATTTTCCGTAGATTACATGATGAAACTTACTGTCTAATTTCTGGTAACCATTCAACAGTGAGAGATGGCCATTCAAGGGCATGTGTAAGAATCAGATCATACAAAAACGATGTATTCTTCTTCCTATATTATTGATTTCCAAAATATATCAAACTTGATGTTGTTAATAAAACAATCACCTACCAAATTTTATATTCTTCATTAATAATCTTCTCTTCCTTTAAATCGTCGCTACTCATTTTTTTTAATATTTTATTCAATTTTTAATTTATTTTTGGCGCCAAACAATTTAATTTTTCCACTTAAAAAATGAGTCAAGTTTATTCTTCCCTCCCAAAAACTCAAGGTAAGCAAATCATCATTTATTTTGATTCGGAATGAAAATAATATTAAATTGAAATTATTATAGGAAAGGTTATTGTAGTCACTGATTGTGGTGATATTGAAATTGAATTATTTGCTAGAGAAACACCAAAGGCTTGTAAAAATTTTGTACAGTTATGTCTTGAGGATTTTTATAATGGATTACATTTTCATAGAATTGTTTCGGAGCAATTTGTTCAAACTGGTGATCCAACTAATAATGGTGATGTTGGCGAATCTATTTATGAATTGGATGAATCAGGAAAAGGAAAAGCTTTTGAAGCAGAATATCATTCAAGATTGAAATTTTCTCAAAGAGGATTAGTAGCTTGTGCCTCTCAGAATAACATGTCTGATTCTAGGTTTTTTATAACACTTAATAGATTGGATGCTTTAAATTTTAAACATACAATATTTGGACAAATAGTAGGAAATACTATTTACAATGTTCTGAAAATTGCTGAATTGGAAGTTGACGATAATGACAGGCCTGTTTATCCTCCAAAAATAATAAGAACTGAGGTAATTGTAAATCCATTTCCTGATATTGTACCAAGGAAAAAAACAGTATCAGATTCGAATATCAAAAAGAGAAAAAAGAAAGAAAATAAGAATGTTCTCTCATTTTCTGATGAGATTGAGGAAAACAGTGAAGAAATTAAACCAAGAAAGAAGGATAAAAAAGAGCATACAGATTCACAACAACATAAAGACGAGAAAAATAAGGTCATTGAACCTGTTGAAATTCCAAAAGACAGCAATCCACCAAAAATAGAGTCCAAAGAAATTCCAATAGACAAAAATTCAAGAGAAACAAATAGGAAAGAAGAAACTGATCCTACCACCTCCACAGAAAATGAAAACACATTTGATGATGTTGCAAGCAGATTTTCCTCTTTAAGAAAGCAAAAGGAAGAACAAATCAAAACTGATTCTGAAAATAAGACGAAACAAGATGCCAAACAATATTTAAGTAATCAACTCCAAAAGTACAAAAAGAAGTCATCTAAAGAGGACAGAGAAGCCAAAGCTTTAGAAAAGTTTGAAAGTTTCTCTAAATTGTTAAAATCCACTAACTCTGAATCATGGAAGAAACATGAGTTGAATTATAAAAAAGAATAGGATTGTCTTTATTTCAAAGTTTTTTTCCGATTTTTGGAAGTTGGAGACCTATATCTATCCCTTTCGGTTGTTGGCCTGGAGTTTGATTCATTCCCCATTCTTTTAATGGATGAAATTAAGGAAGTATTGGATTTGATTAATGATGAACGAGCCTTTGATTCGAATTGGCTATGATGTATCTGTGCTGTATTTTTAAGATTGCTATATCTTAGTGAGACTTGCTCAACCTCTCGATTTCTTTGTTGAATTGTTTCACTTCTTTCTCTTCTTATTTTAATATCGAAACTATCAAGTTCTTGTTGTTGCTTTTTAAGTAAATGACTTTTCTTTTTTTCGAATGATGAGCTGTATTTAAGCATGAGCTTTCTCATCTCTTCTTCTTGCAGCTTTTCAGCCTTCTTTTTTACCTATTTATAATTATTTAAGGTTTTTTGCTCGGAATGATGATGAACTACTTACAGATATTGCTTCGAAATAAAATTCTTGTCTTGCTAGAGTTTCCTCCATCATTTTCAAGGTAATTAAATCTCTCGTCTTTGGATTGTATTTACGTTCTATTTCATCAAAGAATTTTTGTTCAAAATCCTCTAATTCTTTAGCATGCTTTTCAGCAAGTCTTTGTTTTGTATCGTCAAAGGATTGTTCCAGACCATTGATCTTTTCTTCCCATCGATCTTTTACTTCTCTTACTTCTTGTTCAAATGCTGAATCTATTTCTTCTCTTTCCTTTAATTGTATTCGCTTAATATTATCTATATGTCTCTTCTCATTTTGAAATTTTAATAATAACATTGCTTTCTTTCCTATTTCGCATTGTTCATATTCACCTCTAGCAAAACACATCCTATGATATTCTTTTAAAATTCTGATAGCCATCTCGTAAGTCATCTCTTGCGGTAGAGGTTCATGACTAAACGTTAGACTAATAATACCTTTTGCTTCCTCTTCCACCATCTCGAGTCCTTCATCAAATTTATCAATTGATGATGCAACCAAGCTCCCCGAGAGCTTATTACTACGAAGTGAACTCGAAAAAGACATTCTCGTAATTTTTTATATTTTATTTCTGCTCAGAAAACTTTTGGCGCCAAAAATAATCAACATGTGTCAATTAAGGATGAAAATTTTAAGTTTTATGGAAGAGACATATTCAACAAACATCATTCTCTTGGTTTGACAAAAGTAAGAAAAATTATAATAACGGTCAAACTATAAGTTCTATTCAATGGTTCGTTCTATCCATCTCAATCAACACTAATATCACTCGCCTGGCAATTACATAAAAAAAAACGAATATTCAATCTCCTGTTATTATCAAGTTTAAACCATATTTACAGTAAATACTGTATCTTATTTTTGTAAATTCTTAATTTCAGCCTCAGTCAACTCTAATTTTTCAAGGAATTGTTGTTGTTGAGAATTTAAGAGTGTTTCAGTACCGAAAATTTGCAAAGCTACTGATATAAACCATGATTGAACAGCCATTATAAACAATCTAAACTCAAAATAGAGTTGACTTCTCCAGAATTTGAATTTTTGAGACCATGTGTTCAAATCTTGGTAATTTTCAACAGATACTCCTTTGGCAGCACATCTAGCCATAACAGAAAATCTATTCACCTTAGCGCCAAGCTCTCTATTTAAAGATCTAAGAATGTTATCGGTTCTTGAGATGAGCAACATTTCTTTTGGCATATTTCTGTAAATGTCCATAAATTCAGCCCTTCTAGACTCAAAGAGCTTACTGAATTTTTCAAAATCTTCTTCAGTAATTTGCTGTTCAAATGCTGCACTCAAGTCTCCATTTTGATCCAGACCTTGCAACATAATCATTGAGGTATATAGTCTGTAATCTTTGATGCCAATGGATTTACAATAATCATCCATGCCCTTTTTATCGTTTAAAACTATGCTGACCCAGAATTTAGCATAGTTAATTCTGAAATGGTCATCCAAATCTTTGTATAAACCATGGTCTAAGATGACGATTTGTGGTTCTGATGGATTATTTGGGTTTTGCTTTACCATAACATTACTTTGATGTGCATCTGCATGCATGTGTCCGTGAATAAACAGTTGCTCTGCAAACGCAGAAATGATTCTAGCTGCGACATCACCTTCATCAAATCCCATAGCTCTAATTCTCTTTATGTCATTTGAGTTGCATGCATTATCAATGAATTCCATTGTTAAAACTCTTGAGCTAGTGTAATCATCATAGATTTTTGGTATATAGACATCTGGTCTTGAAGTACCAAATCTTTGAGCTGCCATCTTGGCATTTTCGGCTTCATGTAAGAAATCAAGCTCTGAATTAAGACTGCTCTTGATTTCATCACTAAATTGTTGATTAACTTCAAGTAATTCATCAATGCTCTTGGAATCTTCTTGCATGTAATATAATCTTATGCTTAATTTAGTTGCAGCATCTCTAGTGTACATATCACCAGCAAAAAAGAATCTCACATAGTGATATTGAACCTTTACAGCTACAGACTGACCTTCTTTTGTTCTAGCTCTATGTACTTGAGCTATTGACCCACTGGCAATTGGTGTTGGATCAAAATATTCAAATAATTCCTCAACTGTTTTTCCAAAATCTTGATAAACAATCTTCTTTACTTCCTCAAAAGAAATTGTTGGAGCTCTATCTCTCATAACTGAAAGTGTTTCAATATATTCATCTGGAAGGAATCCTGAAAGTGAAGCAATATGTTGTCCAAGTTTAACATATATACCCTTGTTTTCCGAGCATAAACGTAGCAATCTCTTAGCTGACTTGACATGCAACTCCTTCTTTTTAGCAATAAATTCAGTTGATTTTTTGTCTGGTTTCTCTTGAAACCAATAATTTGGGTTAAAAGAACTAGTATTCAGAAGGACTAAGTATTCAACTCCAATAATTAAAATTGTTGACATTGTCTTTACATATCTGTCAATTCCTTCAAATAATTGAATAATTGGTGTTAGTGCATCTAAAAGAAATGGATTATAGAGTTTACTGTATGGATTTTCAATGTCGGATGCATGAAACAGCCATATAGAAAATTTCATTGCAGCATAAGAAAGTGCACTAATTGTTATTGCTCCAAGTTGAAATAAGCACAAGTATTTTAATATTTTGAGAATCCTTTTAAATAGAGAGGCTGTTTCCTCCTGTTCATTATTAGTATTTCCTTGTTGATTTGTAAATGTAGAATATTTGTTAAATTGATGATTTTCCTTTTGGTAATTTAACAAAATAGAGGATGATCCTACTTGTTTGTTAAAATCCAATTTACTTTTTTCCACCACTTGTCCAGTAAGATGATTCCTAATATTGCTAATATGAAATGATCGTCTATTTGATAAATTTAAATTATTCCGAGTGAGTATTGGTGTAGTAGTAGCAATACTACTAGTCATAACCAGAGGCTTGCCTCTTTTCAATGACTTTAAAAGAATAGTCATCATCACAAGGAATAATAAAATTGGTTATTTTTTCTTGATTGAATCATCAACTGGAACATGTTTAACTTTGCAATTGGTATCATTGAAGTTTTTGAATTGATCAATTCCACTGACAAAATAATGCAATAAATGATGAACAATACAATTCCGAGACTTTTGATTGTCAATTAATGAATTATTGATCATTAATTGACAGAAATGAGTTCAACTTCAATATTCTTAAGGAACTTATCTCACACTTAATATGAACGTGGTATGGTAGGTACCTAAGAAATATCCCATGAAAGTATTAAGGAATTGAAAGAGATGAATGGGATGTAGGCACTAAGAAACAGCCATTGTTCCAAATACAACAAATCACAATGTGTCCGTGTTTCGTTATTAATTCACCACTTGTCTGAGAATAGTTGTAAAGGCGCCAAATCATCATTCACAACGAACAACTTCAAGGCGCCCAAAATAATTTAATAATAGATAAAAAAATTGACCGAATTTGCTAGGAATTTACTTTGGTGTATCAGCCAATTTTGATAAAGATTAGGATTGCCGTTGTTATCACAAGAGGCTTCTTCATACGACTCACGAGTGTATTATTAATAGAAGAGAGTAGACTACTTCACTTTCCAATCACTACTACAACTACCATTAGAAAAAAAAGAATACAATATTAACCCGAGTTAAATTACTCCATGAAGAGATTGTTCATTACAACTTTCTTTCCTTCTTCAAATGTCCCATCATCAACAAGTTGTTCCAAAAGTTTACCATCATCATCTGCTGGTGGATTCGATTTCCTAGTACAAATTCTTAGAAACAAGGGAATTACTGATTCATTCTTACTGGAAATCAATGATGTTTCCACACTTCAAACATTAGCGCGAGACTATGGTTTACCATTTGAACCATTACAAAAATACCATCAAAATCTGTTAAAAAACAAACCTTCCAACTTTGAACCAATTAGACATAATAGTAATCAAGCTAGCATTCTAACATCTCCTTCCAGATCCTCATCATTACTTTCCTCTCTAATGAATGATAGTTATTTAGAAGAGGGTTTAGATGATGAGTCAACTTCCTATTCTTCTAGATCGGCCTCAATTTCTATTCCCTCCTCTCATTCTTCATCCGCCTCGATTGTTAAATCATTTGGTACAATCAGTTCCTCAATTGACGAACACTTCTTTGATGATGATAAGGAAAAGATGAGAAAACCAATTACCACTAACGATAACCGCCCAACAACTCCTGTAAATTATGAAGCTGCCACCACATCTTGTTTATCACAAGAAGAAAAAGCGAAAAAAGAGTTGGAAAACATTCTAGATATTATTCACGACAATAATTATAACTTTCCAAAGTCTGCACTTGTTGCTGCATTCAGAAAGACAATTAATGAAGGTCGTTTACCATCCAGTCCTGCTTTGAATCCAACCTCTCCTTCTTCCCCCAGTTATAAATCATTCATGTTCAATGATGTTGACTCTGATTCTGAATATGATGATTCTCCAACCTCACCTGTATTATAATAACAGATCACTTGTACAATATTCTTAACTATTCAATTTTGAAAAGAAAATGAATAAACCATTCGTTTTCAAATCCTAAACTCAATGACTCAATAAACCAACCTATTCGAAATAAACGAAAAAATTATTAACGATATGAATTTATTGTAAAAAAGAGTGCCTTAAATGAGTGTTCTATTAGAGTTCAATGAAGTGAAAAGGAATTAGTGAACATTTCTCAACTTTAAAAAATGTCAAAGTGGTCACTCTCTCAAACCATCACCAATGAACAAAAACTCTTTGCTTGCCCATCAAGTGTAGCCCTTTCCCATCGCTATAACAAACTTTTTGTTGCTACCTACGATGATATTGAATGTTGGATGAATAATTGTTGCATTCAAGTATTTGATATTAAAAAGAATGGAGAAGAAACAACCTATTCCTATCAGGGAAGAATGCTCATTCCGGCCAATCCAAACAATTTACTTCTTGTCAGTGATGATAATGATGATTCTCTTCTTGTCAGTTGTAGTGCAAGAAATGCTTTGTTGAGATTTCAAGTTTCTGATTTATTGGAAAATGCTGTTGATGATGATGACTATTCAACTCAACCTATTTGGAGAGTTGAAAGTAAATTTGGATATCCATGTGGAATGGCTGAGGCAACAGATGAAAATGGTGAGAAGATTATTTTTGTTTGTGATGAAAGCAAGAATAGAATTGCAATTCTTTCATTTAAGGATGGAAAAATTATGAGATCACTATATGGACAACTCAATGAAATAGAAAGTTCAGAAGGTAAAGGTGATGATGAAACAGAAACTCCGCAGGAAGTTGAAAATTCGGAGCCAGTAGAAACTGCTGAAACTAGTTCAGAAGAAATTCCTCAAGCTGAAAACAAATCAGATGAAGAAGAGTTACCAACAAATAGATATTCATTCACAAAAATTGCATCTGTTTCAGTCAATCAGAATGGTAGCCAGTACACTATTATTGTCTCAGGATATAGAACTAGTCACAAAATTATTTTGAATGGCTTAATGTCAACTGAGATTATTGAAACTGAATTGAAAAGTTGTGGAACTCACTCAACTTTGGATAGCTTGAAAAATCAACAAATATTTGTTGGCTGTTCCAGTAATGAAGTTAGTATTCTTGATTTGGAAAGCGAACAAGTGGTATTTACTACAAATGAATTTAATCTTGATCGTCCTGTTCACGTATTGTTAGATAATACTACCAGAACATTATTCATTGTAAATGATAATTGTCCAAGTATTACAATTTTAACAGAAAGAGTTGAATGAGAAAACATAATAATATATTGTGGGGTGAATGTTACTATTTTTTGGTTCTATTCCACAGTAATAAATATATTCTACTTTTGTAATACACAGTGTGTAAATTTTATAATACTAGTAGTGAAATAACTTTACTATGTTGTTTACAACAATGAAGCAATGAAAGAAATCAAAGCAATCAAAAGTACAGAGAATGAAGAAACAGAGCTAGAATTAATCTTACTTGATTTTGGTGAGGCCTTTGGTGAAATAGTTGGAGTGACAACATCAGCAGCTGGAGCAGGATCAACACAAGCATCATTTGGAGAGGACAATGAAATAGCTGAAGGATTTGGAATACCAATAGCAGCAACAGCAATTCTACCACCAGCATTACCAGTAGCAGAAGTTGAAGTACCATCATCTCTAGTGGTGTGAAGAACCAAACCACGTCCAATAATATTTCTAACACCAGTCAATTCAATCAAATCAACATTGAAATCAAAAGTAGCAATACCACTATCATCAGCAGTAACGTTACCTAAATCACCAACGTGTCTTTCAGTAGATCCTGGATAACCGTGTGTCTTATTGAATGGATTGAAATGGCCACCAGTTCTAGTACCATCTGTTAAATCAAGTTCACCATAAGTGTGAATATGCAAACCATGAGTTGATTGAGCAGTCAATCCACAAATTTTACCATAAACTCTAGTCAATCCACTACCTGAATTATATGAGAAAATAACTCTACCAGTAACATTACCAGTTGCAGCAGCAGTCTTTTGGAAAACAGCAACACCAATATTATCAGTATAAACATCATTATAAGTCATAGTATTAGCAGCATTATTTGCAATACCAATTACACAATGAGCTGCAGGATTACTGGCATTACCAGTTGGTTGAGCAATTTTACCCAAATCAGCTGCCATATGTAAACGAATAGCTCTACCAACAACACTAATACTTCCATTAAATTGTGGAAGAGTTGAAGTAATAACACCTGAATATCCCTTTGATAAATCAATATTACCCAAATCACCAATGTGAATATCACTTCCTGTATTATCAGATGGAAGTGCATGATTCTTACCATATGGATTATAATGTCCACCAGTTGCAGTAGCATCAGCTAATTTATCATCATTATTATTATTATTATTATTATTAATATATTTGTTACAATATTAAATATATTTGTTACAATTAATATTAAAAGTATTTAAAACATACCAATATAACCATATTGATGAATGTGGAATCCTAATGTTTTACCTTGCAAAGCAGTTGGTACAGTTGATTGATCCAATGACCAAGCAACACTTGTAGTTCCATCACTTGATTGTGTGAAATAAACTGCTCCTTTTAATCCTTTAGCATAGGTTGTACCTCTCAAGAGACAATGAGCAATTTGACCATTAATTGATGAAATTAATGAAGCAATGAGAACAAGCAATGTAATTAATAGTAATTTAGAATTCATTTTGTTGTTTTTTTTATAAAGCTGATTGTTGCAACTTTCAACGTTCAACAACAACTAATTGGCATTGATTGACATTATGAATTGGTTCGATGTTGTTCATTCACACAAATATTCAATTCAACTTGTTGAAAATTATCGAGCTGGTAAGTTGGATTCTCAAAGAGGCGCGAATTTTGGCGCTCTCAATTTTTCACCAATTATTAGACCTGACATTTGGCAGATTGATGCTTCCAAATCGGGTATGTGAGGTCAAGGAGGAAAATTGATACTGTTGTTTTGGATTTAATAGTGCATTAATAAGCCTACTAGTTTCTGGTAGTGAACAGACAATCAAATATTTCACATTCAATAGTTAATATTTAACATTATTCGAAAGTGAAATGAGCTTTGAATTTCTAATAAAAATGATGGAATATGAATAAGAAACTCTAGTGATATGATTGTAATGATGTTGAAGAAACTAGAAGTGATGGTCTCATCAATTTTTTCTCAAATGGCAACAAAGAATTTCTAATAACATATTCGAACGAAAGATTCTCATATTATTATTTATTTCCTATGTTGTATAAAAATTACAATCACACTAGATCTTTACAACACTTACAGTTTTTTTTTTACCATACCTCCTCAATAGTTAGTCAACCAAATTCTAATAACTTACTTGAGGTCGTGCTATTTAATTTCCAATTAGAAAGTTGAGCAATAGAAAGGCGCACAATTATACATTTGATCCGACACCTCATTGCAGGGTGTAATTGTCCATTCTTTATTATCAACATGTTTTTGACATCCAACTTGAAAAAATTGTTGTCATATATTATCTATATTATTAGAAAGCAAAAAAGTCACTAAATTTGTTTTTGATATAGAGAATTGGTACCCTATAAAAGTGACATCTTTAAAATTATTCAAGAAAATACATCATCATCATTATCAGCAGAATCATTAATTTATTATCATCATCATTGTCATCATCAATAATTTTATAATTGAAATTAATAATAATAATAATAATCGGTAGTGATTGTCGGAGTTAATAATTCATGTCTTTAAAAAAAAATATTCAGATATTGGTGGATCGTTTAGATTCAACACTCTCTGTGAATTCATCCTCCGATCATCATCAAGATCTTAGTAATTATCCTCTTCATATTGAAGATCAATCAGAGGATAACAATAATATTGAACAAGAATTAATAACAGAGAGTCCAACATCTATTTCAAGACATCAACTCATGTTTAATAGTGGTGGTGCTAATAATAATCACAATCATAATCATAATGGTATGGATCATGATGATGAATTTGATGAAGATTCATTATTATTATCCAACAATAATGGAAGTGTAAATAATTATCAAGATGACGACGTTGTGTTAAATTCCTATTTGAATGAAAGGACAATTGGTGATTTAACAAAGAAACCCTATATTCCATTAAAACAAGATAGAAAGAAAATGACTCGATTACAAAATATTTATTACATGTTTTTACAATACATGATGTTTACTTGGAAGGAAGTTTCAAAACGTAAAGTTTCATATTTGATTGGAACTGCGAGTTGTTTTGTTGTAGTTTGGATGATTATGGTTTCAGTTTCTGCACTTTCACAAGTTCCTTTGGTGTTTATTCGTTTGGCAGAGTTACAAGTTGGTGAATTTGATTTTAAATTGAAAACTGGCATTAATATGGCAGGTATTTCACTAAATTATACAAGAATTAATTTACAAATTCAAAATGCTACAAGAGGTAATCCTGAAATGACTCAACAATTTTCATATCATTCACCTAGATTTACATTTAGTACAAGGGCATTTACAAATTGTGAAAGTNTAACACAAGATTTATCTATTTTTAAATATCAAGATTTTAAATGGATGTATAATTCAACAAGTAGTTCATGTGGTTTGAGAGAAAATCAAAAATCCATTCAATCATCCGATTATAATAATGGACAATATTGTGTTCCAATTGATTGTAAAAAAGTTGCTGAAAGATTATCACTTTATTTAATTGATACTGATAAAGAACGTAGAATGCAATTCGGAAGAACTTATCCATATTCAAAATTGGAAAAGGGGAAGGCAATTATTGGTTCTGGTCTTGCTGAAACATTATCTGTTAAAAAAGGTGATACTATTCTATTGAATATTCAAACAATGAATAGCTTTACTGGACCATATCGTGATTCTCACATGATTGGTTATGTCTATCCAAAGGCAAAAGGATCATTGGAAAAATTAATACCAAAACAAATACAAGAGCTATTGGATAGTAATGAATTTCATGAATTTGAAAGAAAGAATATAAGATCACAAGCAATTCTCAATGAAATACTTGAAGAGAAATATTCTGATTTATTCGATGAGGATCAAGCATTGAAAAATAGAAGACTTACATTCAATGGTGGTGCCACTTACATTCCAGTAATTGTTGAAGATGTTGCCAATAATGCATATGGAAAATATCAATCAACGAATTTGGAAAATGCAATTATTATGGAATATGATTCATTACTTGCTCATGTTGCAGAGTTTTTGAATGAAGATCTCTTTTCCAAATCAGAAAAGTCAACTCTTTCACAATTAGATTTGTATGATTATGCCAGTGAAGTTTATGTTAATTATCCACCAAATAGATTAACTGCCTATAATGAAAATGATTACAAAGTGATTAGAGAAAAGATTACAAAATTTGCTTCCACTTCAATGTATTTAATGGGTTTTAATCAACTTTCATCAAGTTTCCCAATATTGGAAATGATGGAAGTTACACAATTTTTTGCCCTCTTTGTTGGTTTAATTATTTCAATCATTTTAATTGTTTTGTGTTTACTTTCTGTTGTATTAATTTACAGTTTGTTAATGATTAATGTTGAAAATAGAAGATATGAAATGGGTTTATTGAGAATGATTGGTTTAAAGAGAAGAAATCTTGTTGAACTCATTCTAGTTCAAGCCATGTGGTATGGTATTCCAGCTTGGATTTTAGGGTTAATCATTGGTCAATTATCTTATTCTGTAGTTGCAATTTTGCTTAGTACTCAATTGGAAGCAAACGTTTCATATATTGTCTCTGGTGAAGCTTTTGCATTGGCAACATTCCTTGGCTTGACTGTTCCTGTTTTATCTGCCATTTTACCAATCAAGACAGCCCTCGGTCAAAATTTACACGATTCACTCGATACTCAAAGATCAGGAACAGCAGCTGTTAAATATTCAATTGAAAGAGCTGAGGGAGAATCCATCTCATGGACATCTATTGTTATGGGTGTTGTTGGTATAATTTTTGGTTTTTCAGTTTATTATGTCATGCCACTCAGTATGCTTACATTTAATATTACAATTATGATGTACATGTTTATGGCTGTTATTTTGGCCATGTTATTGGGTTTAGTTTTATTGAGTTTGAATTTTGAAAATATTATTGAATTTATTGTAGTTTTATTTACCATTAGAATATTTGAAAAAGTATCAGTTATTGATCTAGTTGAAAAGAATCTAATTGCTCATCGTGAGAGAAATAGAAAGACAACTCTAATGTTTTCATTGAGTTTGGGTTTTATTATATTTTCATCTGTTTTATTCAATACACAAATTACAGCATTCAAATATAATGTAATGAGAGGTGCAGGAACAGAACTCATTGTTGGTACCAGTAGATTGAATGCATTTGCTCAGAATCCAAATATCATTGGAACTATACAGGAATTTGCTGATAATAATCCTAATTGGTTTGTTGGATCCACTTATTGGACATTTGATTTAACAAGAGTTACATCACCAATTGATAATACTAAAATAAGAACTGATGGTGGTCTTGTTAATAATGATATTTATATTCGTGCCATTGCTCCAAACTTTTTTAATATTACAAATTCAAAGTTTTTAAGAATTGATGAAAGAATTCAACCTGAAAATAAGACAGTATTTACAAAATATAAGAGTAATTTAGATGAATATTTATATACTGTTGAAGGAAGTAGTCAATTAATATTAGGAACTTATTTTAAATCAAATTTAGGAGTTAATATCAAAGATACAGCTGTTCTTCAAATTACTGAATCAACTTCAAGAATGCCAAATTATAGATATGAATTATTCCAAGTTGGTGCTTTTTTGAGTGCATGTCCAGTAGCTCTCTATTCTGAATTTCCAAGATTTGGAACACAAAATTTACTTGTCAGTGTTCCAACCTATTTACGTCTCCTTGGAAAGAATTCAAATTATACAGCAACAAGTCTTCCAATTGATGCTGTCTTTTTAAAATTAACTGAAAATGCAAAGAATAATAAGGCTGAATTTAGAAAGTTGAGATCTACTCTCCAACGTGTCATTAGTCCATTCCCAGGACTATTCATTAGAGATATTAGTCAAGAATTAGATCCAGTTGAAATTGCAGTTTCAGTCATGAACTTTTTCTTCCTCTTCACAGCAGCAGTTGCCCTCGTCATTTGTTTCTTTAGTTTAATTTCTAGCATGTATAGTAATATTAATTCACAAGCAAAGGAAATTGGAATTTTAAGAGCTATTGGAATGAAGAAATTTGCAATTATTAGAGTTTACATTTATGAGGCATTTGTTTTGATATCAGCTGCTGCAGTTTCTGGTGTGGCCATTGGTTTGGCTATTGGACAAACTATGGCTATGCAAAATACCTTAATTACAGAATTACCAATTGATTTTGTATTTCCTTATCAAATTGTTGCACTTGTACTTGGAAGTGCAATTATTTTTAGTTTCTTTTCTTCCTTCTTCCCTATTTATTCACTTGTTAATATGCCAATTGTTAGCGTTTTGAAAAAACTTAATTAAAATCTTTAATTTTCATTCATAGATTCTTTTTGAAAGTATTTGAAAATGAAGTGGACAAACTATTTGTCCATTCAATGAAACTCTAAATTGATCAACCACCATGAAAGAAACTCAGTAACTCAGCCGCTAAGTTTCGAATATGGAGGAATTTGATAGGGTTGAAATCAGTTGAATGTTAGAATAGTACGCACGAGAAGTTTTTCCAATATTTCCATCATGTCCACGTTCAAATTTCATAATTTAGAAAATGGAAACGCACATTAATTCAATATTTAAAATGTTTTAAGAAGATGGACAATTTCAACTGAACAGTTCAAAACAGAGAAAGAAAATGAGTCAACAACAACAAGAAGAATATAAAAGTGTTATTATTACTGGTTGTAACAGTGGAATTGGTTTGGAAGCAGTGAGACAATTGTTGAGAGAAGAATGGGATTCGAATAGAAAAACTAAACATATTGTAATGGCATGTAGAGGTGTTGAGTTATCAAATAGTGAAATGGAAACGTTTATTCAAGATTATTTGAAGGAACATCCTGAAAGAAACGAAACTGAACTAAAGAGTCAAATTACAGCTTTGAAACTTGATTTGGCATCGTTCAAATCAATTCATCAATTTGTTTCAGAAATCAAATCCTTAATTGACAGTTCCAAAATTCCACCTCTTCATTCACTTGTTTGTAATGCAGGTTTACAATATGCAAACAAATTAGTTTTGACAGAAGAAGGTTATGAGGCCACATTTGGAGTCAACCATCTTGGACATTTCTTATTAATTAATTTGTTGCTTCCATTATTTACAAAGTCAACCAATTCAAAGAATAGAATTGTAATTGTATCAAGTGATACTCACGATAGAACAAAATTTACAGGAATGCCAGTTCCAGAATTTGAAACCGCTGAAAAGTTAGCAATCATTTCCACTGATTCTGATACAGAGCAAGATAATAGCAAATTGGGTAGAGTTAGATATACTACATCCAAGTTCTGTAATATTTTATGTGCCTATGAATTGGTTACTAGATTGCAATCTCATCCAATTTATAGAGATCAATTTACAGTCAATTCTTTTAATCCAGGTTTTGTTCCTACTACAGGTTTATCAAGAGATTATAACAAGTTTTTGAGAGCTATTGCAAGAAATGTTTTACCTTTATTGAGATTTGTTCATAGTGGTGTTAGAACATTGGAAGTTTCTGGTTATGATTTGAAACAATTAATTATTGATAGAAATCTTGAAAACGTAACTGGAAAATATTTTGATGGAAGTAATATGATTGATTCATCACCTGATACATATAATACTACAATTCAAAATGAATTGTGGGAAGATAGTATCAAATTAATCATTGCAAAATCTGATATCATCTCAAAAACAAACTTCTTGTAAAGAGCTAATACCTTAATATTTATATTTAATAAATTATTTATTTTACAAAATTTAGAAGGTTGGTTCTTCTTCTTCAGCGTCAGCAGCTTTTTCATCATCAGTTGCATCAGCATCTTTTTCAGTCATTTTTACATCATTATCTTCATCCTTAGATTCTTCTGGTTTCTCAGCTTCTTCTTCCTCTCCCTCATCCTTCTTTTCTTCTTTCTTCTTACCCTCTTTCTTTTCTTCCTTCTTCTTAGTTTCTTTCTTCTTGGTATCTTTCTTTTCCTCCTTTTTAGTTTCCTTCTTTTCAGAAATTTTCTTTGTTTTCTTCTTTGTTGATTCAATTTTAGGAGATTCTTCAATTGGTTTAACTTCATAAGGAGTGAAATCTGAAGGTAATTGATAATTACTTATAGTATCAAGAAGCCATTTCTCATTTACCATATGACAAGATACAGATGATTTTGCACTTTCAGGTTCACTAACAATACAATATTGAGCTGCTCTTAAAGTATTTACACATTTTCCACCTAATAATTCAATTAATCTCTTTAAATGTTTAGCAGGAGGTTTACAATTACTTGAAACATGAATAATTAAACCAGATAATAAAAGAAGTGAACCTTTCTTCTTTTCTTCTGTATCATCACTTGTTTGTTCTTCAGCTTCTTCACCATCTATTGAACTTGAAGATTTTCTTGATTTTCTCTTCTTTTTATCTTCTTCTGATTGAATTAATGATCTTGATTTAGCTGAAATTTCTGAAAAATCAACTGAATATGGTTCTTCATCAACTTTTTTACCTTCTTTTTCACATGCATAAAACCAATCAACTGTAACAATATAAGCACCAAAAGCAATTGCATAAAGTACTTTGAGTGTTCTTCTACATTTTTCATCTTTTGGAACAATTAAATGTGTAAAATATTGACCATTATAATCTTCAAAATTGAAATTTCTATCATGTGGAGTTGCCCATGAAAAATCATTCATAATTCTTTTTGGTAATTTCTTCTTAATTATACCTGTTTCTTCATTCTTTGAAATTTCAGGTTCACTATCAATTCTTGATTGCATTGTATGAATCATTTTAAATTTATCTTCATCACCAACAGAAGACATTTCAATAATATATTTACCCTTAGTTGGTTTCTTAATTGCTTCAACAGGTGATTGAACATCAAAACCAGTAAAATCAAATTTTAAAATATTTCCTTCTTCATCAATTGAATCTGCTTCATCGTTATCAAAATAATCATCTTCATCATCTTCATCATCATCCCAAATTTCTGTTTCTTTCTTTGGTGTTGATTTTTTAGCTGCTTCTGGATGTAATTTTAAAAATTCTTCTTTTGCTTTTGTTGCTTTTTCATTATATGGTTTCTTTTCATCTTCTGATAAAGTTTTCCATAATTTACCTGCATCTGCAACTGATAAATCCTTACTTTCTTTTTTTTTCTCTGCAACAAAAATATTATATGCACTTGGAGGTCTCTTTGGTTCTTTCTTTTCACTTGATGATTCTTTCTTTTCTTTCTTTTTCTTTTCATCATCTTTCTTTTCTTTCTTCTTTTTATCATCTTTAGTTTTATCATCAGTTGATTTCTTTGTGGTTGTAGTCTTTTTCTTTTCATCATCATCTTTCTTTTTAGAATCTGAAGCCTTCTTTACAGTTGTTGTTTTACCAGTTGTTGTTGTCTTTGATTTATCATCAGTAGTTTTCTTCTTGTCATCTTTATCCTTTGATGAACTAGCCTTTGTAGCAGTAGTAGATTTTGATCCTTTTGATTTATCATCCTTTGATTCACTTTCTTCTTTATCTTCTTTTTCTTCTTCATCATTCTTATCGGAAGATTTCTTAGTTGTTGTTTTACCAGTTGTTGTCTTTGATTTGTTATCTGTTGTAGACTTTGTTGTTGTTTTTAGTCTTTTTCTTTGCAGGTTCACTATCTTCTTCCTTCTTTTCTTCTTCATCACCTTCCTTTGATGATTCTTTTTCTTCTTCATCTTCTTTTTCTTCACCTTTCTTCTTCTTATCGGAAGCTTTTGTTGTTTTAGTACTAGTCTTTGATTTATCACTTGCAGCATCATCTCCTTTCTTTCTTTTACCTGATTCTGGTTCTTCTGGTTTATGTTTAGATTCAATTGAAATTACTTTCTTTTGTTTTACACAATCATTAACCCATGCAGGATTTACAATTTTGATCTTATCACTTTCAGAAGCCTTCTTATAATTTTGTGCTTTTCCTTTCAAGAATATTAAATGTGTAACCTTATCGGACCATCTTTTTAAAACTGATGCACCATCTTCTTCTAATTTTGATATAATTGCTTCACTTCCTTCATTACCAGTTGATGATGAAATATCTAAATAAAAAGTAAGACCTTTAAATAAACCATCTTTCTTTTTTGTTGTTGTTTTCTTTTTATCATCTTTAGTTTCCTTTGATTTTGTTGTAGTTTTCTTTGAAGAAGCCTTTGATGATGATGATTTTTCTGTTGATTCTTCGTCATTTTCACTTGTAATAACAACTTCTTCCATTTCATCAGTAGTTTCTGTTGCTGTCATTTCTTCGTCTTGTTCGTCCTTTTTGTTTTTTGTTTGTTTCTTTGGAGCCATTTTCTAGATCAATTTAACTCTATTTTTTTTCGTTTGTTTTGTGGAATCCAGAGTGTTTTGGAAAACTTGTTATGAACGTTACAACCAATTTGGCGCAACTTTTAAAAATCGAGTAAAAACTAGCCTTGAAAAGGCGCAAATTTTCATGTAAGAAAAACATAAAGAAAACATGCATTTATGTTCTCGTGAAAAGCTCATCATCATTAAATTGAACTTCTTTTGTTATTAGAGCGAGGAAACACACTAGGTATTGGCAAAAGAATTGAACTACAGATTACGGATGTTGTGATCATCACTCCAATCTAGTCTCACAAATCATGATTTTAATTAATTTTAATCTTCAAGTACACATTTGCAGCTCATTTTGATTGACCAAATAAATAGACACCATCAACAAACCAAATGGTTCCGAAAGTGCAATTACAATTTGAAGAGTCTGCAAAACTTACTATGCACTGAGGTGATAATCTCCTCAAGCTTGCTAATTAATATTGGACATTAATCTGAATAAAGCCTTTGCTTGGTGGTGATAATAATATTTTCAAAAATTGCGAAGAAAAAAAAATGAATACAATCTTCTTCAACGTTGAAAATAAGCCTATCGCAGCTTTTGCTGTTGTTTACTTGAGTGAACAAAAAGTAAACTTTAAAGTTTCAAAGAATCCAGGTATCACTTTGGCTGAATCTGCCAGTGGGTAGGTGTCTTTCTTTATTATTATTTTTATAATAATAATAATAATTAATTTTATTATTGTTGTTGATGATGATTAAAAAGTGTGAGAGGAAACTTTAATGTTGCTCAAGTTCTTTCAAAGAATACTAAACTCGCAGCTCAAAATACTGATGACGTTTTTGTTGCTTTTGAAACTGCTAGTGAAATTGCTAAATCAGGACTTATTGAAGAATTGGATGTTTGCATGCAAAGATTAGATGCTTTACTTACAACCAAGACATATTTCTCTGGTGAAGATTTGTCTGTTTGTGATTTGTGTATTTATGAAAGTCTTAAACATCACAAATTAGTTATGGGATATTTGAAGAGATTTGAAAAATCAATTCCAAATGTTGTTCGTTATTTCTTCACTATTCATAGAAATCCAAAGATTCAACAAGTTGTTAAAATTTTGGATAATGCTGCTAAAGCTATGACTAGTACTGATGAAGTTTTAAATCCAACTCCTGCTGCAAGGATAACAAGTCAAATTGTGACAAGACTGAAAAGAAGGAATCTCAACCTGAAATTAATTTGGAACTTCCACATGCTCAAATGGGTAAAGTTGTTACCAGATTCCCACCTGAAGCATCTGGTTTCCTTCATATTGGTCACGCTAAGGCTGCTTTGATGAATAATTATTTTGCTAAGAAATATAATGGTAAACTTATTATGAGATTTGATGATACTAATCCAGATAAGGAAAGAGAAGAATATGAACATGCTATTCTCTCAGATTTGGAAAGTTTAGGTGTTAAACCTGATATTCATGTTCGTTCATCTGATCACTTTGATAAGTGTATTGAATTTGCTGAACAATTGATTAGAGAAGGAAAGGCTTATATGGATGATACTGCAGTTGAAGAATTGAGAAGAATGAAAATGGAAGGTATTGAATCTGCTAACAGAAATAATTCTGTTGATAAGAATATGGAAATGTGGAAGGAATTACTTGCTGGTACTGAAAATGGAAAGAAGTCAGTCCTCAGAGCTAAGATTGATATGAAATCATTGAATAAGACTATGCGTGATCCTGTTCTTTTCAGAAGTAAGGATAAACCTCATCCAAAACTTGGTGATAAGTATAAGGCATATCCAACTTATGACTTTGTTTGTCCAGTTGTTGACAGTTTGGATGGTGTTACTCATGCTTTGAGAACTTCTGAATATAACGATAGAAATGAACAATACTATTGGATTATTGATGCTTTGGGTATTAGAAAGCCATTCTTGTACGATTTCAGTAGATTGAACTTTGCTAATACTGTCATGTCTAAGCGTAAATTGCAAAAGATTGTTGATATTGGAGTTGTTGAAGGATGGAATGATCCTCGTTTCCCAACTGTTCAAGGTCTCTTACGTAGAGGTTTGACTGTTGAAGCTTTGTACAATTTCATTTTGGAACAAGGTGCTTCTCGTAACGTTGTTACTATTCAATGGGAAAAGTTGTGGGCTGAAAATAAGAAGGTTATTGATCCAAAGGTTCCAAGATATTGTGCTATTGAAAAGACTGATATTGTTAAATTCCATTTATCAAATGGTCCACAAACTATGGAATCAAAGGAAAATGCAAAGCACAAGAAGAATGATTCTCTTGGTAAGAAGACTACCTATTATACCAATACCATTTATTTGGATAGAGAAGATGCTGCTGCCATTGAACAAAATGAAGAAGTTACTTTGATGGATTGGGGTAATGCTATTATTCAAGAAATTGTTAAGGATGACAGTGGTAAGGTTGTTGAATTGAAGGGTGTTTTGCACTTGGAAGGTGACTTTAAGAAGACTAAGAAGAAGTTGACTTGGTTGCCAGTTAACCCAGAAGTTAATACTGAAAATGTTCAAATTGTTCATTTCGGTCATTTGATTAACAAGATTTCTTTATCTTCTGATGATAATATTGAAGATGTTGTTAATCGTAATTCCAAGACTGTTACTACTTCAATTGGTGATCATAATTTAAAGTCATTGAAGAAGGGTGATATTATTCAATTGGAAAGAAGAGGTTATTTCATTTGTGATGTTCCATTTGATGGAAAGTCATTGACTTTATTCAATATTCCAGATAGTGTTTCAACAAAGACAACTGCTGCTGCTGCTTCTACTTCTAAATAAAAAAATGATAAACTCTAAACCAAAGAGTTTACTTCAAATTGCTAAAGATCGGAAAAACAAATTATCATCACAATCTTCTCAATCATCTCAATCATCACAAACATCAAATGATAATAATAACACTAATTCATCATCATCATTAACAATATTGAATCATTCTAGTAATACTAGTAGTAATAACAATGTTAATACTACTAATAATATTGGAAATAATAGTACTACTACTTCTACTAATAAGACGACATCAACATGTAAATTAATAATTAAACCCAAATCTTCCATTAGACTCTATTCCGAAACTGTTGATTTATCATTTGAATATTCAAGTGATAAAGAAAGTGACAATGACGATATTCAAATCATTCATACTCCAGTTAATAAGAAACTTTCAACTCCTTCATCATCACTAACATCACTATCATCAACTACTTCCACTCCATCATCACTTTTAAAATCACTATCATTACTACCAAATAATAATAATAACATGACCACTTTAAAAACCACAACTAAGAATGAAATATCAAATAATAATAATAATTTATCATCATCATTATCAACATCTACAAATTTAATAGTAGAAACATATAGTTCATTATTAGAAGATTTAACTCAACAAGATGATGATATAAATAGTAATTCATTAAATATAAATAGTAATTCATTAAATATTAAAGAACCATTAATTAAAAAAAGAAAACAATTTAAAATTCCAAGTTTTTACATGACAGATGAAGAAATTAAACATGACATTTCTTTATCTAAAACAATAATTCCAATTTTAAATATTCAAGATAAATTTTCAATTCATTTTACAAAACCATTTTGGACAATTTATAAAGATGGAAATGAAATTCTATTATTAGATTTTAGAAAACCAATATTTACAAATTTATTATTTTTAAAATTAATTTATTATTTTAATTTTAATAAAACTAAAATAATTGAAAAATCTAAATTTATACATTCAATTAAAGATTTAATTATTTTATTAAAACCATATAGTACTTTATTAGTAAATAATGAAAATTTAGAACAATTAAAAAAGGAAATTGAAATTATTTTAAATGAAGATTTAAAAAATAATTTTATAGAAAATGAAAATGTAAAATATGTAAATAATTTTCAATATTTAATTTTAGAATATTTAAATACAAATATTCATAAATTTAAAAATACTAAAAAATCTAGAAATTTAAGAAAATTAAGAATGTGTGAAGAATTACTAAAAAAGGAATTTAATTCTAAATTTATAAAAAGTTTTGAAAAATCTGAAAATTCATTTTATTCAGATTTTAATTTTAATTTATATGATTTCATGTCAATTTATTTTAATAAGGAAAAATTTGAATATTTAAATCTAAATGAAATTGATTTTAATAATTCCATAAAAGAATTTCATAAAATTTTAAATGAACTCATCATTTCAACTATATACTATAATAAGGGTCAATATATAGGTGATATTATAGCAACAAATTTATTAAAAAAATCCATAAAAAATAATACTACTATATATGGCAGTGAATACCAAAATAGTAATAATGATGAAAAACAACACCAATATTATATTAATAGTGATAATAGTGATAATGATGATAGTGATGATAGTGATAGTGATGAAGAAGAAGAAGAAGAAGAAAATGAAATAATTCTAGATAGTCATATTCCACATGGATTTGGAAGTTGGAAATTTATAGAAGAAAATAATGAAATTTTCTATAAAGGGGAATGGAAAAAAGGGAAAAAGGAAGGATTTGGTATTTTACAAACATTTGAAATATTATATGAAGGAGAATGGAAAGAGAATGAAATGAATGGATTTGGAATATTTAAAATATTAAATGGATATCATAAAGGTAGTATTTATTATGGTAATTTTAAAAAAGGAAAGAGAAATGGATTTGGAATTCAATTTTATAAATATGAAGGAAATAATGAAATATTAAAAGATGATTTGAATGAATTTAATGAATTTTATAGAGGTGAATGGTTAAATGATGTTAGAAATGGAAAAGGTGAATTTAAATCAAAATATGAATGGAAATTGGGAGAATGGAAAAAACATGAATTTAAAAATGGAATTTTACTAATTAAGGAATGTTTAGAAATTCAAGATTCAATCATTACAAATTGTATTCATTCACAAATAGAAATTGAAAAATATTCAAAAAAAACAAAAAAATCTCAAATTCCTTCAACTATACTTCCATTTATATTTTCATTAGATAATTTAGATAAATTAACAGTTGTAGATGCAATTATTGCATATGGTAATCAATCTAAATCACCTAAACGTACAATTTATAATGGTTATTGTTTTAGATCAAAATTGGAAAGTCGTTGGGCTAAATTCTTTGAATGTTGTGGAATTGAATATCAATACGAATGTAAAACTTTTATTTTAAAAGATGGAACATCATATACTCCTGATTTTTATTTACCTTTTCTCAATTTTTGGATTGAAATTAAACCAAATTATCCAAGTGAAGAAGAAAGAGTTAAAGCTCAATTATTAAGTTTTGTTTTACAAAAACAGACTAGTAATAATAATCAACATAATGAATTGACAGAATTTGAAAAGAAATATGAAAGATATTTACAATCAAATCCAAGAATTTTCATTTTATATGGAGATGTTAGTGCTCCATTTATTAAGAAATTTCAATCAGGAGGAATGGCAATTGAATTTTTCAAAACAGATCAACAAGAAAATTCTATTCAGAATAGAACAAATAAGAGAATTACACCTCCAAGGAGTGGCAATACTACTTCTACTACCAGTAATCCAATTAGAGAATCTGTTCTATTTAATACTACTGAACCATTGGGCTGGTGTCAATGTCATCATTGTGGTAAAATTTCACTTGAATATAGATGTAAACCCAAGTGTTGTACTAACAAGACAGCAGATAATAGTACTGCTTCGACAAGTTTAGTTGATTCAGTGGTGACATCAGAGCTTGGTCCAACTTTGAGTAATGCTTATTATGCAGTTACCAAATTATCGTTTGATGAATGGAGAGTGAGAAATGAAAATACATTCTTTAACAGTATAACACAAGAGATTGAAATTACAACAGAAAAGAAACGAAGTAAATTCTTTTAAATTTGTGTTTTTATATTCTTTACACCATTACAGATGTTTCACTCAAATCCTCTTCATTGAAAAACGAGTCATCCTCAAGCAGTCTATTCAATACTTGAATGGTTCTATCCTTATCTGCTACAACTTCGAATAATTTAGCATTCTCTAACTTTAACTGTTTGAGTTGCTCGTCTATCGACATGTTATCTCGTTTAAGGATATCCAATTTAGAGCTCACCTCTTCAGTTCCCTCTTTAATGCTTGCCAATCTGTCTTGATGATTTCTTTGAATTTCCTTTTCCTGATTACTTCTTTCTAATTCAAGCTTTACAAAAATGTTATCTAATAAATCAACAATTGAAATCATTTCATGATCTTGAGCAAATATTTCCTCAATTTCCTTTGAAGGTGTTAAAGAGAGGGAATAATAAATAGATTTAAGCTTATTGAATATTTCCTTTCTATCTTCTAACATTTTTGATTTTTCTTCAGAGTATAATTGTTTTGAGGCATCATATTCATGTTTATGAAATTCTTCCTTTTCCTCAAGATTTCTAATCAAAGTTCTTGCTTCTATTAATTCTAATTCTTTTGAATCTAATCTATCTGTTTTACTTCTCAACTTGACTTTATATTTTGGAATTCTAGATGAAGCTTCTTGTAATTGTTTTCTCAACATTACAATTTCTCTTTCATAAGCTTCTTTCATTGCTTTGATAGAATCATTATCCTCATCCTCTTCAGATGATGATTCATATTCAATTTCTTCTTTATGTTCTTTATGATCCTCAAGTGATAATTCATTCTTATCAATTATAATCTATAAAGTTAGCTATTGAAAGAATAATTTACATACATTTGATTTTAAGAAATCATAGTGATCATTTCCAATTATTTTAGCAAGATCCATAGAGACACCCCTAGTGAACTTTGGTTTTGCCTTTGGTTGTGGTACAACAGATTTTGATTCAGTAATTGGTGCAGTTTGAGGTGGTGTTTGTGGTGTTGGTATTTGAGATGTGATTGGTTTTTTAGGTGAATCTTCTCTCTTTGTTGGTGAAGTAGTACTATTAGTTAATAAGCTACCTATAGTATTTGGAATGTTGTTACTCGTTGGTGGTTGTTGATTAATTACAGATTGTTGTGAGTGTGTTGGTGTTGTAGTTGGTGTTGTTGAATTAGTTGTTGAGAAAGTCGTAGATATAGTTGGAGATACCTCAATGACAGGTGTTGTTGTTGATTGAACATGAGTAGTTGGTTCAACATCTGATTGTAAATTAGTTTTTGGTTCTGGACTTGCTAAAGGTTCACCTTCACATTCCCAAATTCTAACCTTATTATCTGAACAAAAAGCAAATATTCTTTGATTGGGTAATTCAATCATATCAACAACTGAAACTGAATTTGCTTTAATCTTCTTGATGGCTTTCAAAGTACTCGACTCAAATATATGAATTACCTTATCATCACCACAACTCCACACTTGCTTATTTGTTGCTAGTATTTTGTTAATGGTACTTTCGTGAGCTTTGATTTCCTTAATACATTTCATCTTTTCACAATCCCAAATTCTTAATTTACCCTCACTATTGCATGTCCAAATATTTAAACCAGAATTAATAATCTGTTTTGAATTAATCATGGATGGCATATCTTTAACAATTTTACCATCTATGGAATCTCTAATTTTAATTTGGCCATCATCAGATAAAATCCAAACCTGATTAAATTTTTCCAAATAAACCATACCAACTATTGGAGATTGTTCTGATAAAATTTGAATTGGTTGAAATGTGTCAGCATCTAAAATTCGAATAGTTCTATCCATTGATGATGTCCAAATATATCTTTTAGATGTAATAGTATTTACAATGCATAATATTTGTGTAACAGTTGCTGAATGACAATCAAACTCGAATACCTTATTAATTGTAACTGCATCCCATATAATTATTTTACCATTACTGAAACCTGTCCAAACTGTACAATCAACTTGTTTAGAAAATGATTTTACAACTGTCATGGCTGTAAATGTTAACTTGGATATTTCATTTAAAGGTCCATTAGTTGATACTCTTCTAAAATCTAAATTATTTAAATTACTTTTCACATCATAAATACAAAATTGTCCTTCAGATCCACCTGTCCAAATAGATCCTGTTTTTTCTACATAACAAACACAATTTACATCTCCTTGCTTGAATACATTCTTAAAGGTATTAATTAATTCTCCTGTTCTTCCTATATTTATATTCGAATCTATTGTTGGTGATGAACATCTTGGTGTTGAAGGTGCAGAATTTTTTGATCCCTTTTCAGCTAATAAGGGAATTCCCTTTTTTTGTTGTGGTGTTGGTATTGGTGATGCTGCAGAGATGAGATTTGATGAAGAATTATTATTACTATTGGTCAATGCTGTAAATGGTTAATATTGAGAGAAATAATATAGATCCTTACTTTTCTTTGTTGTTGAAACCACTGGATTCGATTTGGTGACTTGAAAAGATCAATACTAAGAAATACTGAGAAAATTACCTACCTCCAGGAGTTGAGAAAGGCTTTAATTTTGATGAAGGTGTTTTCGGAGTAACTTTTATAATGATAATAAGGCCATGACCATCATCTATAAAACATACCTAAATTTGTTGATGATGAAACTCCTCCACTCGTCATTCCTGTTGTTGATGTCGCTGCTGCTGATGTCGTTGATGAATTTGATACGCCACTTAAATTACTTGTATTAAGGAGATGACGTCGATTCATTTTTTTTTAAAATTGGCGCCAAAATTACATTGACTGAAGTAGACGTTAAGGGTTTTAAAATATCTCGTTGCAAAATTGGTCCTTTCGAGAATCTCTTTTTATTAATCATCATTAAATTATATAATACTCCAATGATGATTAAACTCTTTTTTGAGCAATATAATAATAACATGTACCTAATTGAAAAACTTCCTTCTTTACAACGTTTAAACCAGAATCTTGAACAATTTTTTCAATATCTCTATTCCACCAACATCCCCATTTCTTAGCTCTATCAACACTCCATGCATCTAAATAGTTTGTTATCCATTGATATTTACTTGATTTCTATATTTATAATTAAAAAATTAAATAAAAATTAAAATTAAAATTAAAACAAAATTAATAAAAAAATTAAATAAAAAAATTAAATTAAATTAAATTAAATTAGTAAATATTAAAAATTATAACATACACCATGTTCTAATAATAAAATTTTACCACCTGGTTTAGTAACTCTATTAATTTCTTGTAAAGCCTTAACAGGATCTTCAAAAGAACATAAACCATAACCATATTATCCCAATCACACAACAATTATAACATATATTTAAACTACTCTTATATNAATTGATAGAATAAAAACATACACTCCCATACCAAAAACACCCAATCCAAGAAAACCAAGTGAAAACTTTTTAAACATTTTTATTTAACATTGAAATTAATAAGTGTTGGGAGAAATTGGTGGCGAAATTAAACTTGCTGATGTGGTTGGAGATGGAAAATCATTTACTCCACCACTGTGTGCTCTAGGTGATGATTGTTCATTCAATTCTTCTTCGGATAATTCTGTCGTTTTCCTTGTAAGTTTTTCTTTTAAGGATTTTAATTGTAATTCCTTATCATAATTTGACATTGTTGATGAATTTAATTCATTCAGATCATCTTCATCGCTTCTTCTATCATCTTCATCATCTTCATCTGGATTGGATACATCATCTTCATCATACTCAATATTTGAAGAAGGTTCAGGAAGATCAATTGGTTCATCATCTTCGTCATCTTGATGTAAAAAATCATCGTCCAATTCGTATCCATCTCCCATTGAGTATGAATCTTCTAAGGAATGATCAATTTCAGCATCAAAAGATTGAATTGATTTTTCTTGTTGTGATCTTCTAAATTGTTCTCTCAATTCATCTTCAAAACTTAATGGATTATCCAAATAATTTGAAGTATTCTTTTTCTTTTGAGAATTTTCAATCTTGTCATAAATTTCTTGTAATCTTTGTTCTATTGATTCTTCTTGATTTTTTTCATTGTTATCTTTTTTCAATTGATTTTCAAATTGTTTGCTATGTGTTAAATTTTCTAACAAATCTTCAAGTGATAAATCTGTTAATTCTTGAGCTAAGCTTCCATTTGTATTGGTATTCTTATTTGGTTTTTTTGTTGAATCAGTTGAAAAATCACTCCTATTCATGAATGAATTATCTCCAACTGATAATAACGATGAGGAGGTATTGAGAAAACTTGACATTAAACCATTTTCATCATTATAATTATCATCAAGTAAATGCCTAATCTGTCTTTCATTTCTTCTTTGTTTCTTTGAATCTAACATTTCTGATTCAGTAACTAAATCAAAATAAGTTGGATCTGTTCTTCTTGTAATACCAGGTGGTGCATTAACTTCATCTCTGAGTTTTTTATCTGCTGAAACTCTAAAATTACTTGTTTCTCTTAAAACTATATATGGATGAAGATCCTTATTTCTAACTCTATTATATGAAGGTACATCTTCTGCTAGTATTGTATAAAAATAGTATTGGTCATTTGAATTCTTTGATTCTCTAAACGCCTTATAATTAACAAGTATTAAAATTAAATATTCATATAATTCTACTTTAGGTTCTTCTGCAAATAGATATGTCTTTTTAACAAAATCATTAGGTTTCTTATTCTTCTTCTTATTTTCTTCACATTCTTTCGTCTTTTTTGATATTAATTTTAATAATTCTCTTTTACAATTTTCAATTAATTGTCTTGGTTGATCTTTTAAAGATTTCTTAGTCAAGAAAGGAATTCTTGAAATTGGAACATAGTGAGGAACAACACCTAGTTTAACCTTCTTCTTTCTATTAACATATGGTATCTTATTACCTTCAACACATTCATTAATAACTTGAGATCTACAATATAAAAAGAACATTAAATCCACTGCAGAATAATAAGGTGTTAAAAAAAGTCCAAATAATTCTAATTGTTTGCTAACATCCCTATAATATTTTACACATTCTAAAAGTTCTGATGTTGTTTGTTTAACTAAACTTTCCAATCCTAATCTTTTGCTTAAATGATTAAACACAAATGATGAAAATGTTTCCAGAGAACCATCTGGTGATACAATTTCTGCTAAAAAACATTGATATCTACTGTTATAAATATCATCAAGTAAACGTAATGCCCAATCTAAGGTTCTTACTGGCTTCTTTTCAATATTAGCAATATTACTATTAGATATGTTTGATATTCTTGAAGTATTCATTGATGAAGAAGAAGGAGTTTGTGGTTGGTCTGCTTTGTAAACAACTCTAACTTTTCGTTCCCCATCTTTTGAGAATGATAAATGATCATCAGGAACGGAACTTAATAAATTTAAAATTACCTCCTTTTCACTTTCACTTAATGCACTAAAACTCATTGAAAGAGAAGAGAGAGGCTGAGGTTGTTGTTGCTGTTGAGGTTTTTCAATGGATGAAGGAGAACCATAGCCTTTTATATTGTCCAATTCATAACGGCTTGATGATCTTGGAGTTTCAGTTCTCTTGCTCATTGTCCGTGTGTTTTCTACTAGAGTACAATTTTTCAAATATGATGATGTAATATGCTGCTTATTGTTTTTAAAATGACAATATAGTTATGTGTGGTCCTAGAGTTGCAAACCTGTAATCGGGCCGTAGTTAGCAGCAAAGATTCACAAGTTGCGATTGTTGGGATGGTTGTGTGTCTTTTTTTTAATAACATAACGCTGCAATATTAAGGAAATTCAAGAGATGGAAAAATAGAGGAACAATTAAAAGGCTCATTGGTATACAATAAAATGTTTTATGAGGTTGCATAATTCAATTTTGTAGTTGTAAAAAAGTCTAGCTTACTCCATTCAAGATTCTCATCAACATCATTACCACAACCACAATATCAAAGCCTTCAATTTTCATCACATAAAAAAAATCAACAACACTAACAATACTACCCTTGCTATTAATAAATATCTAGTCTAGTGTGAGTGAACATCCCAGTCTACTAACTAATCAATAACTCTAATCAACTAATCATCGTCATCATCATCATGTCATCAACACCAGGTACTAAAAAAATCTATAGAGAAAATGATGAAGTGACTCAACTTGTACACCAAACCATACGAAATCATCAAAATTTTCTAAATACAAAATATGATACAGCTAACAAGGATCATGAAAATTTACTACGAAGTATATTTAAAATAATATTTGCAACTAATTTAGCAAATGATGAAGTATTAAATCATGGACTTTGGACCAAAATAGGATTTCAAAATAAAGATCCAACATCAGATTTAAGATCACTTGGATTATTAGGATTATCAACAATGGAATATCAATGTAAATATCAAACAAGTATGGTAAAGAATGAATTTATGAATAGAGAATATCCATATGCTTGTTGTATATTTGCAATTGTTAATTTTATGGTAAAGGAAATGAATATGAGAAATATAACATCAACTCCTATTGAAACTCCTATTATTTTATTAATGAAAAAGGAATTGTTTTTTAATTCAACAGTTATTAAACAAATGGATTTATTTGAAAGATTATTTTGTATATTATTCGAATATTTTGATAAATTATGGACAAAACACAAGGCTTCTTATATGGACTTTGCTATTATTTATGATTTATTTGTAAAGAATGTTACTAGTATTTTTAAAAAGGAACCTGGAAATTATAGGTATGTTTTTTAATAATTGATCAATTTTAGATGGAATTGGAATTTATAATCTTTTTTATTGATTGTATTCTTTTGATGGATTTGATAAATATATAATTATATATTATTGAAATATTTAATTGAAAAGTGTTTTTAAATTTTTATTACTGGAATGGTAATTTAAAAATCAAATAAATCATTATGGAAATCACCCTTCTTTTTCTTTGTTGTTGCAGGTGATGACTTGTTTTCATCAGAGGCAGCAGATGCATCAAATAATGATGATGATTTAGTAGTGGTGGTAGTCTTTTTCTTTGAAGAGGATGATGACATATCATCATCAAATAAACCACTACTTGTTGATTTACCATTTACAATTTCATCAATAACATTACCCTTCTTTGTTGGTTTTGGTTGAGAAGTTGTCTTTTCCTTAATTGGACCTCCAAGAATATCATCAACAAATGAGTCAATATCATTCTTTTGTTTCTTAACAACTTCTGGTTTTTTCTTTTTAGGTGGTGCACTTGTACCTGATAACATGGCATCAAGTGGATCATCTCCAAATAATGATGAAGATGATTTCTTCTTTTCAGTTGTTGGAGTTGATTGAGTTGTTGGAGTGGAAGTAGGAGTTACATTGCTTGTAGTGGTAGTGGTGGTAGTGGAGGTGGTAGAAAGAGTTGGAGTATTATTATTAACAGGAGTGGTAGTAGTGAGTGGTGAAGCAATTTCTTTCTTTTCAGCTGCTACTGGAGTAGTAGTAGTAGAAGTTGGAGTTGATTGAGTGGATGATGATTTCTTAGTATTACCTGAGGTCAATAAAGGATCATCAATTTCACCACCAAATAATTTAGTTGATTCAATCTTCTTTTCTCTATCAGCCATACGTTTACTCTTCTTATCATCATTATTACTTGATTTAATGAAATTGAAATCATCGTCATCATCTCCAAATAATGAGCTAGTCTTTTTAGCTGGTTTTTTAACTTCTTTTGGTTGTTCAGCAGCAACAAGTGGTGTTACAATTGGTTCTTCCTTCTTAATTGGTTCTTCTTTAGTAATAATTGGTTCAACTACTGGTTTTGGAGTTTCTTCAACAGCTGGTTTTGGAGTTTCCTTCTTTACAATTGGTTTAAAATCATCACTTTCATCATTACCAAACAATGAACTAGTCTTTTTAACTGGTTTAGGTTCTTCAACTTGTTTAGTTTCCTCAACTTTAGGAGTGGATGGTTTAACAATTGGTTTAAAATCATCACTTTCATCATTACCAAATAATGAACTAGTCTTTTTAACTGTTTTTGGTTCTTCCTTCTTAATTGGTTCTTCAGCAACAACTGCTGGTTTTGGAGTTTCCTTCTTTACAATAGGTTTAAATGTAAAATCATCATCAAATAAAGTTGATTTCTTTGTTTCCTTTTCAATAACAGCACTAATAGGTTCTTCCTTCTTAACTTGTTTTGGTTGTTCAAGAACTGGAGTAGTAGTAGAACTAGTTGAAGATGATTTAGTAGTAGTAGAACTAGTACTAGTATTACCATTAGAATTAGCACCACCTCTATTCTTTGATCTTTTTGGTCTACCAAGTGAAGCATGTTCTAATTTAACACCACTACTACCATCACGTGCATAATTAGCTTTAGTTGATTCAGTTGGAAGTGAAATTACTTCACTTGTTTCTTCCATTGTTGTTGATACTACTGCTGGTTTAGGTTGAATAATTGGAATAATTGATTTTGGTTCTTCCTTCTTAATTGGTTCTTCAACTGTTGTTGGTTTTGGAGTTTCCTTCTTTACAATTGGTTTAAATGTAAAATCATCATCTTCATCATCAAATAGAGATGATTTCTTTGTTACAATTGGTGATTGTTTAGGTGGAACAATAACTTCCTTCTTTGATGGTTTGAATGAGAATTCATCTTGTTCTCCATCATTTTCATCATCAAACAATGATGATTTCTTTGTTGTAGCAGAAGCAGAAGTGGTAGTAGTAGTATTTGCAGCTGGTTTTGGTTGAATTGGTTCTTGTCTTGTAAATGTTAAATCACTTGTTGATTCTTCTTCAGCTGGTTGTTGTTTAACTTCAGGTTCTGTATTTGTTAATTTTCTAGTTGAAACATAAGATCCACTTAAATTAGCTTGTAAACCTTTCATAATTGAAGATCCAAGTTTAGATCTAATATCAGATGGTTTATCATCTGCATCTGCATCACTCTTAATTGGAATTGAATTTGTTGTTGTAGTTGGTTCAACAACTTTCTTTTCTTCAACAATTGGTTCAACAATTTTCTTAATTGGTTCTTCCTTCTTAACAATTGGTGATTCTTCCTTTTTAATAACTGGTTTGAATGCAAAATCTTCACCATCATCTTCAAATAGAGATGATTTCATTGAAACACTAGCTCTATTACCAGCAGTAGTAGTAGGTGTAGTTGTAGTCTTTGGTTTGAATGAGAATTCTTCTTCTTCATCATCAAATAGAGATGATTTCATAGCAACACTAGCTCTATTACCAGCAGTAGATGAACTATTAGTGGTAGTAGTAGGAGTGTTGGTAGTGTTGGTAGTAGTGGATGGTGTTGTAGATGGTTTAGCAAATAAACTTTCCTCTTCTTCATCACCAAATAATGTTGAATTCATTGAAATCTTTGGAGCATTTGATTTCTTTGTTGTAACATTCTTACTTGTTGGTATAATACTAAAATCTTCATCATCATCAAATAATCCACTAGCAACTTTACTAGTTTCTTTTGGTTGTTGACTGCTAACAATAGTATTAACAATTGATGGTTGATTAGTTGGTTGTTTAGTTGTAATATTACCACCACCAAATAAACCACCTTCTTCTTCCTCTTCTTCATCAAAGAATGATTTCTTTGTTGCTTTAGGAATATTACTTGTAGCAGTATTATTATTTGCAGTAGTATTACTATTAGTATTGGTATTAGTATTATTAGAAGATGTAGTTAAACCAAAACCACCAAAACCAATATCCAAATCCTTTTCTAATTGATTCAAATCAAATTCATCAGAATTTCTTCTCTTATTATTAGTATTAGTATTTGATGAAAATCCAAATAAACCACTTCCAAATAATCCATCATCTTCATTATTACCAAATATATTATCAAGTGATTGTGTATGATTATCATTACCACTAATATTAGCATTATTAGCACCAACACCATTATTATTATTATCATTTGTTGTTGTTGTGGCTGCTGCTGTTGGATTATTTCTCTTCATTAATGCATTAGCCAATTGTGCACGAATATCACCACCACTACCATCATTATCATTTGATTGTTGTGATTGTTGTTGTGGTCTTTCAGTAGATCCAAAGAAATTATTAACATCTTGATCTTCATCGAATAAATTAACTTGATTATTAAATGTTTCACCTCCTCCCAATGTAAATTCTTCATCATTAAATGATCCTAATTTAGGTTTTAATGAAGCATCAGGTGGTGGAGGTGGAATTGAAAATCCATTCATTCCATTCATTGATGGTGGTGGAGGTGGAATGGAACCATTCATCATTGGTGGAGGTGGTGGAATTGAACCATTCATCATTGAAGGTGGTGGAGGTGGAATTGATCCATTCATCATTGGTGGAGGTGGTACACCATTCATTGAATCAAATGTATTCATATTCATATTATTCATATTACTATTCAAATTACTATCAATGGTAGAACCAACAAGTGTTGCATTATGATTTTCATGATGTGTCATTAATTTTAATTGTTCTTCTTCTTCATTTGGTATAATACCACATAAATCTGAATTATAAAATCTTGAAGAACCAATAATAAAAGGTAAAGTTCTCTTTTTCATAATCATTGGATCAATTTGTTGAACATAATCAACATTAGCAATTGTATTTTTCATAAATTCTTCTGCTTGTCTATTATGTTCTAATTCTTCTGCATCCATTGGTAATTCATCAATATCATCAATCATTTGAGAATCAACAAGATTCATATTTGTAAAATCATCATTACCTTCTTCTAATGGTATTGTACATGAATCTAATACTGCATTTAATCCATATTTAATAGCTGTTGTAAAACGTTGTTGTTTTTCTTCAGGTGTTAATTCTTTAATTAAATCAATATTTGAATTATTATCATTTATATTATTAGAATTATTCATATTATTATTAGAATTCATATTAGAATTCATATTAATATTATTTGAATTGTTATTTGGATCAATAGTATGATCAATAATAACTCTATTTTCAATAAATTGAGTATTAGATAACATTATAAATTCATTAAATGAATTTCTAACTTGTACTTCACAAGATTGAGTATCATAAATTAAATCATCAACTGCATCTCTAACATTATTCATTTGTGTAAATAATCTTTGTGAATATCCTTTTAGATAATCTAATAATCCTTCATCACTATCAATGGTCCATCTTTCACATTTCTTTAAATTATTTATTTGTGAAAAATCTAATCTTTCAGATGATGTTATAACTGATTGATTATCATCCATCATCATTTTGTTGTTGTTATTATTATGTTGTTATGTTGTTGTTATGTTATTGTTATTATATTATTGATAAAGAATCACACAACGATGAAAAATAATGATGTGATGGCGATGATGTATTTTTTTTATTAATGAAAATATCTTGTAAAACACTCCGTTGCAACCTCGAGGTAATAGAAAGGAGTTAGTTCATCATAAGTTACATGTTCTTGTTAGTCTTGATGATGATGTAAGAAAATTATTGATGAATAGATTTGCATATTGATCAAATTGTTATTATTATTAAATAGTATTAAAAGAACATGAACAAGTGCACTGCTGCTAAAAGGTAATATTTAGTGAATATTTAGGAAATATTTAGCCTTCAGTAGTTGGCGGATCTTGTGTTTTGTACCATATCTCTCAAGACATTGTTACTAACTCTAATTTACATTTCAAAATTGAAAAATAAATATTAAATTAATTATTTATTATTGTGAATTATTTGATGTATTTGAAAATAACTTGTTCAAAGTATTTAAAGTTGTATTAACATTTAAAGTAATATTCTTTACAACATGTTCATTATTACTTTCAATTTCAAATGTTAATTTTGTTAAACCCTTTTCTTGTGCATCTAATAAATTATCAATTTCTAAAATAATACTTCCAATTATATTCTTATTTAATTTCATTTCTACATTAAATATACCTGGTTCATTCATTGAAATATAAAAATTAATATTTCCATATAAATTCTTATTATTTCCATTATTATTATTAGAATTATTAGAATTATTAGAATTATTTCCATTATTATTATTATTATTATTACTATTTATATCCAAAATAATTTTATTTTTATCAAATAATTGTTTAAAAGTAAATTTAAAAATTTTCTTCTTCTTTTCAAATTGTTTTTTTCTACAATCATTAATAAAATCATTTAAAGATTTAATTTTATCTTGTAAAAATTTGTAATGTTCTTTTAATTGTTCTAAAGAATCATTTAATCTTTGAATTTCCTTTTTTAATTTTTCTCTATTATGTTTTTTATTTTGTAATTCTTTAATTAAATCTAATATTAATTTTCTATATTTAGAAGTATTATTAATTGATATTAAATATTTAATTTCTATTAATTTTTGTAAATCATTTTTTAATTCATTAATTTTATCAATAATTTTTTTAAACTTTTCAAAATTTGAATTTAAATTATTTTTATAATAAATTTCACATGAATTTAAAATTTCAATAAAATTTTCATTAAATTCAAAATCATTTGGTAAA